TTTTATAAATTTCTTTTACAAACTTTAAATAGTTTTTTAAATATTTATCTTTTTATAATAAGATATATTATATATCTTAATATAAGTTAAAATTAATAAATCTCTATTAATAAATATCTTATTTAATATCTTACTTAATATACCTCTTAATATCTTATAGAGGTAAAATAATAAGTATTTAATAGGTTTATATTATTAACTTAGCTTCTTTTATAAATATAATTATAAAATTTATTAGTTTAAAAGTAATTTTATACATAAATATAATTCTTAATAATAATAAAAGCTTTTTTCCTTAAGCTTTATTTTTTTTTTTTAAGAGACTTATATTTTTTATAAGCTCTCTTTTAATATATTTAGTTTTATTAATAAAAAGAATTTCTATATATAAATCCTTAGGAGGATATATTAAAGCTATAAATAACTTAATATTAAAAGAGATATATATATAATTTATATATTCTTATATATTATAAAACCTTTATATTATTTTATAAATATTTCTTATTATAAATATCTTTTACTTATCTTTCTAAGAGAGCTTATTTAAATAAGATTACCTAAGGAATTTAATAATATATTTTAAAGTTTATATATCTTATAGTATTAACCCTAGGAACCTTTTTTTATACTTAGAGATAAATTAATTCCTTTTTAATAATAATAAAATATTATTTATATTTCTTCTAATATAAGCTCTTAGTTATATCTTTTCTTAGTTTATTTCCTTAAATTCTTTTATATTAAATATAAATTAAATTAAAAATAATTATATAAAAGGCTATTTAATATTACTTATTTAATTAGCTTATTAAGGTCTTAGGCTTTTTGCCCTTATTACCTTTTAAGAAATATTAAGTATAGTATATTAAAAGAAAAATAAAAAGCTTAAAAAGGACTAAGTAAGGTATAGTAAAGATATTATAGTTATATTATTTTAGGGCGCTAAAGGCGCTCTATAGGGTAGCTATAATATATTATATTAAGTAATTATAACCTTAATAAATTAAGGTTATAAATAACCTTTTAGTTAAGTAGCTAATTAGCCTTATTACCTTATAATTATTACCTAGCTATTATATAATAATTATAACCTTAATCTATTAAGTTATTATATAAAAGTTATAGGTTTAATTCCTAGTCGCTTTATATATAGCTTATAAGGCCTCTACTAAGTAATTATAGCGCGTAGGGTATATATATAAGGCGCTATAATAAACCTTAGGGGTTTATATAATTATACTTCTTAGGCCTTATAGCGAGGCCTTATAGGGTATTATAAGGGGCTTAAGCGCTATAGTATAAGTATTATAGTATATTATAGCCCGAGGTTATGCCCTTATAGAAGTAGGATAATTATTATAATTATACTATCTTAAGGCATTAAAGGCGCCTTATAGGGTAGCTATAATATACCGCGTTAAGTAGTTATAACTTTAATAGATCGAGGTTATAGATAACCTTTTAGTTAAGTAGCTAATTAGCCTTACTACCCTATAGCTATTACCTAGCTATTATATAATAAAAGGGATTTAAGCTAAGGGTTAATATAAGAAATAATAAGTAATAATACTATCTTATAAAGAATATAAATAAATCCTAGGTAAATATTTTAAGTAATATAGCTATTTTACCCGCTAGATAAGATAAGACCCTCTTAGACCCCTCTGCTTATACCTCTAGGTTAATAACTACGCGCTTGACTAGGGTTAGAGGGTTATGGTTTTAGATACCTATGCTTATGTGGAAGCTACTTTTAGATCTTCAGGTGGGGGCACCTAAGCCGGGGTAAGGACCGGCTAAGCTACGCCTAAGGTAAGCCTAAGCTACCCTCCCTCCATAAAAGCGGCGACGCGAAGCGTCGATATTCTCTTTCTAAAACAAAGAAACACTAAAGAAGTTAATCCAACTTGTCTAGTGTTTTACTCCCCATCACTTGTCAGTGTCAATGCATCCACCAAGTTATGCGCTCCCTAGCCATGTTTACATGCGACCCCCCTCATTCCCGACAAAGTGTCTATGATTCTGCTCATTAAACATATCCTGTCCCGTCTGAGATCCAGACGCAAAGCCCTGAGAAGAAGAGTCTCCCATGGAAATCGATGGGACTTGCACCTGTGACCCCATGACCTGGTGAACAGAAACACCCCCGTACCCCTGCTCAGGCTGACTCTGGAAGCTATTCTGAGGAATAGGCGACCCCTGAAAGTTGACGTTTGTATTCCGAGGGACACTCTGGTTGTTCTGCTGGTAACCTTGATTGTTTTGTTGGTACCGCATGAACTGTCCATCCGGCTGCTGGTTCTGCATCATGCGAGGGTCCGTCTGACTTGGTCCCTGTCCGGCCATGCCGAAGCCCATGTTGCCCATCGGCGCCATCTGTTGTTGTTGCGGCTGCTGATATTGCCGGTACCCTTGCGAAGATACGCCCATGCCTTGGTTGGGCTGCATGTGCCCTTGGTTCAAAGGCTGAAACGGATCCCCTTGAGAAGCAACCCGATAATGCGAAGCGTCAGAAGACATGGTCGTAGCATGTCCGTGCCACTCTTGAGAACTCATCTCCTCCGCTTTCTGTGCAAATCGGCTAGCCTTGGTCTGATAGGGCGTATCCTGTCTCGCCCTCAGGCCATAGTCAATTGCCCTTCGATCGCCCTTTGTTCCGCGAATATCACCCAGGTACTCCCCGAAGCTGAGATACGCAGTCTGCACAGTCTTGAAATGCTTCAACTGCAAACTTACAGGGATACTCCTGTCAATAACAGCATCGAGCTCACCTCCTTGAGCGTCAAACTCTGCCAACGCGAGAGCCGTCTGACACAAGTTGCGGATCTGACGACCGTTCCAACGACTGTACCTGTGCTGGATAAAGTGCTGCTTCGCAAAGTCCTCAATGGAGGATGCGTCAAAGATGATTTCTCTACCCTGCTTCTTGAATCGGTCTCGGATGAGGTCGAGATTGAGTTCAAACACCTTGAGTGTCTTTTCCTCATCGAGCTCTGGATAGTACAGACTCATTTGTACCCGAGATGCAAACGCTTCGTCAAAATCGCCGATACGGTTAGTGGTTAGAAACAGAATACCAGTATAGTATTCCAGAACTCGGAGGAACACTAGATCATGCCATCAGGGAAGTCACTTATCGAGGGAGGCGTTTCAACTCACCAGCAACCAAGCCGTTTCGCGTAAAGTCCATGCGCTCTCGTGCAGATAGGAAGACATCAGCCTCGTCCAGAAGCAAGATACAACCCCATCGACTGGCCAAGGCAAAGTTCCTCTCAAGCTCCTCTTCAACCTCGCGAGCAGTAGTTCCAAGATCACCTAACAAGTCAGAACGGCTACCAAGGCATAGCGGGGCCAAACCTACCGCAAGTGATTTGAAACAGAGGCTTCTTGAATAGTTCAGCAATACCCTCTGTAAGATTTGTTTAGTCACGTTCACTCAGAGAAGCTGTTTCACGGGGAAGAGGCTCACCAGCAGTAGTCGTCTTTCCAACTCCAGGTGCTCCATGCAACAACATGATAAGTCCCTTACCTGGGGTGCATCAGCAATCATTCCGCTACCAAAATTGCGTAACAATATCTTACCCTTCCCCTTGATCAAATCAGTCTGCTCATCCTTCGTGAACGCCGTCTGTCTCGACCGAAAGTGCTGAATGACAAGAGATTTGACCATCTCTCTGTGACCCGCCGGCAACTCGAGCCGCTCAAACGCGTTGATCGACACACTCCTCGCGTCGGCATTTTCGTACCGAAGAAAAGTGAGATCGAGTTGAGCTGCCGACCTGTGTTAGTGCAATAAGGCTACAAAAGTTATGAGACTCACCCCATTTTCGACTTCGCAACACAAAGGCAAATACTCGATACGTCATGACGACAAGCTCCTCTTCAGTGAGCCCTTCCACGCTGCCCAAATCCTCCAATGGCCTAGGAGACAACAACAAAGACGGTGCTCGAAGAGAAGTCTTTGGAATAAGGCTTCTGACATAGTTCTCAGTCAAAGTCGAGTCGATATACTCGCCGTCATGCACAGCCTGTCCATCACAACAAGACGCCATACAAGGCTCATCATCCCTATCATCCGGAGCTGTACCAACTGGTCCAATCGTGGGCTCCCACTTCTTTCGTCTCTTCTCGTCAGCCAACGCCTCGTTGAAATCCACAACGACTTGACTATCAATCTCATCTCGCGTATCCAGCGTGAGACCCATGTAGTACATGGGCTTAAACTTGGCCACGTCGAGAAGCATCTTGCCACGCTTGATAAAATCCTCTTGAAGATGCTTGTTCTTGGCATGTCGGAAAGGATACACAGGAAGGGACCTGATATCCTTAAGTTCGCCAAACTGGGGAATCTTGAACTTTTTCGAGACTGGTCCAAACTGCTTGCCGTCAAAGTCGATATAGACGCAGTGAAGCATGACAGGATCCTCTCCCTCGTCATCATCTCCCTCATCTTCGCTATCACTGTCATTCTTGTTCGTTGGCTTCTTGTACCAACGCAACCACGGCTCCTCAACCTTGTGTCGCGGCGTCTGTACGCGTAGAATGACATAGGCCTGCTTCTCAGTCTGATCAACCACCCTGTCTCCTGGCTTAAAGAGGTGCCAGACATCGTGGAATGAGACATGAGTGTAGTCAGGGCTGTTCATATGGTCGAGCTTTGCCTTGATATTCTTGTCGAAAAAGTCCATCAAGCATCGGAGGTGAAGAAGCCCAGTGATGGTGTTGTGTTTTTCATCCTTTTCTTCATCCTCCTTACTCTCGTCTTCTTCACCCTTTTCCTCATCCTGCTTGTCCTGAGAATCAGTCTTGTCGATATTTTGTGATTCTTCAACCACGCCATTCGACTCCCCTGGTTGATCATCGTCTTTCTTCCCTTTAGACTCTTTCCCAGAAATAGACTCTGAAGCCTCTTCAGACTCATTTACTTCCTTGCCGCCCTCCTCCTGTTCCTCTGATGCTTCCGGAAGCGGCTCAGTTCCATCATAGCCCTCAAACTGTTTCTCCAGGTCCGCAAGATACTCCCTCAGCTTGGTCTCGTGATAAACCAACTGTCGGTATGGCCGCAGAAACACCATGGACTTGTCCTTGGCAACACTCCATTCCTTCTTGTCCATGATTCGGCAGAATATGGCCACCAACGGGCCAGAGTGAATCTTGATTCTCTCAGGCAGGGATCGTTCGCCAGCCGACTCTTGGTCTTTGTCCGTGTCCACAACGCGATGGCCTGAGGACTTTGCCTTGACTGGCCCTCCTGCACGATTCACAGGGAGTTGAAGAATCGTCTGAGGCTCAGGCTCTGAGGACACAACCTCGATCGGAGTCAGGATAGAGTTTTCAAGCTCACCCTTGCTCGCAATAAAGACCAGCCAATCGACCCGAAGAACCTTGGCCTTTTCTCCCTTGAGAAACGCATCAACACTCAATTTCCTGGACGACTCCGATTCCTTGCCAGTCAAGCTCTTAGACTTTGCCAACAACTCTGCATCTCGCTTCTCCTTCATAATCTTCTTGACCTTCAAGAGAGAATCGTGCGAGTCCCTGGCCCTTTTCATGAACCACATGGCGTCCCAGTAAAAGTCGAGATGCGCCTCGTGATGCATCGACAGCTCGTTCAGTGTCATTGACTCGATCGCAACGCCATCCTTCGACACCTCTTGTTCGGGCCTCTCGAGCTTCTCGAATGTTTGGCGGAGATCAACGATGCTGTCGATGAGCTTTAGCTTGGCTTCCATGGCCGCGAACCGCTCCTGGAGTTGTCCGACACCATGGTCCTTATCTCCGTCACTGTGTGGCTGCTCTGTGGTTTCCGTGAGGTTGTTTGTGTCCTTTTGCAGATCGGCCTGGCCGTTGGCTTTGTTTGAGGCCAGGTCTGAGATAGAAACCTCAACATCCTCAGCCGGAGGAGTCATGACTTGAGTTGTAACCGTCGCCATTGCAGTTGCCGACTCTGCAGGTGCGAGCCTTGGCTGAATATATGAGCAACAAATGAGGAATATTGCTCTCATCCAAGAGTACCCCCGCTCCTGCAAGGATCCGCCTCAACGACCGTTCAGTAACAAATCAACGAGTTATCAGCGCAAGCTGTGCCGTTTCAGGCCATCAGCAGCTGCACGAACCCTAGTCGATGCAACCAAGCTCTAGGCAACTACAGAGCCCCAGTTTCTTACAGTTGGGGGCCGTTGTGACTCGTCTTACATGCAGGCGGTTATCACCGTTGAGACTATTGGACATGGTGGTGGTGATATCCACATGGCCCTAGTCTGGCCCCCAAAGCTGAACATCCATCAGAATTCCTCCTTCTCTTCAAGCTGACATTTATCTCAAGGCCTTCGAAACCAATCTGAAAATTGACTCCTCCAAGCTAGTAGCAGTCATGTCTTACCAAATGCCCCCAAGAGACACATCACCACATCCAACATTCAGACTCCACACCCCAGCAGTTGACTTTATCGAGAACCGACTACCAGAATACCATGAAGCTTTCGATGTCCGAAGGGTCCGCTACGATGCCAGCCAAGGCCAGTTTGTCGCGCTTATTCCGTCGCAGAGCCTGATGGTCCCTGATGCCTCACCTCCCACTCAGCCCAGACCAACGCCAGCTCCTGTGGCCGACATGCAATTCTGGGATGAGATATTTCCCAGCGCCATGGAACTCTTGAAGAACGAGACTCCCACTCAGACCAAGTACAGTGAAGAATGGGGCATACGACACTTGACGAAGTGGCAGGAGGTTGAAGCCAAGCTAGAAAAGGCTCGTCAAGTTTACGACTTTGAAACAGGGTCACAAAACGTCGGCAAGGTCAGGAGGAAAGTGAGAAACCTAATGGATGATTACCACGTTATCGCACAGCAAGCAACTAAGCTGGTTCCCAACTCTGAGATTGCAACGCCCATCGTTGGCGTCATCAACCTCATGGTGGATGTAAGCACACATTACAGATTAATATTCCTGCTGCAAGACTGACGGGCTTCAAGGCCTATAGCAAAGCATCCCAAGTCCGACAGGAGGTCAACTCGAGCCTTGAAGAGTTGCCGGACTCGTTTTCCAAGATGGACATGTATCTTCAGTCTTACCCGAAAGACGCCAACATTATCAAAGCCTCCACCGATCTCGTGCTGGCCATCTTCAAGGCCATTGAGAACTCCATCAAGTTTTACACCAGCATTCAAGGCGAGGAAAGTCTTTGAATACTCAAGACTCTAACTAATGATATAGCACAGCCAAGAGAGCCGGGGTCGCAATCCTCACAGGCCCGCAGTACCAAGCAATCCTCGTCAAGAGTCTAACAGAGATGAAGAGCTGCTGCAGTGAGTTGGAGAATCAAGCACGAATGTCTTTTGATCACCGCATGATAGGCGGTAAGTACAGAATAGTAACTCGAAGGCCAAGACTGACTGTGAATAAAGACAACGATCGCATGTTCAGAGACCTTTCAACAATCATGCAGAGAAACACAGTAACAAACATGGGTCTCGGTGCAATTCTCCGCGAACAGCAAGCCCAGACAGCAGGCGTGCTTTGGATGCAGGACATGTTCAACTGTGTCCTATCCATCTTGAGTGATAGAGAGAGTATGTTGACTATTTACACTGACGAGTAGTTTGCTAACGCAGTTCAGGAAACTGGCAACCATATTCTCCCGTTCCATCAAGACCCGTAACTCCCCAGTCTATCCAGATGACAGAGCTCACACCTCGAGAACTATGGTCTCGTCTCGGGATCCCCAATTTTGACGAGACAGACCTACAACACATGGCATCTCGCGCAGAAGAAATGTTTCATCAAGATCAGGGTCGAGCTCAGCAAGTGGTCACAACGCAACTATTCCGCAACTGGCTCGGTAGCCCTAACTCTTCCAAGCTCCTCGTACACGGCGACTTTAGAACCGCGGGAGACGTATCCCCTTTCTCCACGCTCTGTGCCGTTCTCGCACACACATTCAGAGAGTCTGGTCGGTACATCAGCCTCGTCTTCTTCTGCGGTCGTCACCTCGCTTGGGATGAACATCACGGTGGCGCTGTCATGATACGGTCTCTCATCGCTCAACTACTCCGTCAGTTCCCAGGACAGTACTTTCAACCTGATGCCCAGATGTTGATGCAGAATATGGATCTCAGGAGTGTTGAATCCTTATGCAGTCTCTTTACCCATCTCCTCGGGCAAATACCACCGACACCAGTTATGTGCATCATCGACAGCGTCAACCTCTACGAGACAGATGATTACCTGGATGACCTAGCGAGCGTGATATTGAGTCTAGTCAGCTTAGTGGATGATGGAAATCGAGGCGGAAGACCCCCATTCAAGCTACTTCTTACCAGTCCGCGACCTACTGTCGAAGTAAGGAGGATATTCGACCTAGATCCACAGTCTTTACTTCACATGGATAGTCTACCTTGGATCGGGAGTAATCTGGGTGTGGGAGGATTTCGGGAACAATTATCTTCGGGGATGTAGGAATGTGAATATTAATACCAAGCCAATGGTAACGTTGACAATACAAGCGTGTCGCTAAAATTAAACCAAGCTAGACTATACTATTAGGTTGACTAAACTTCTTCGAATATCTCGCGTGTTTCAATAGCCCAGGAGGTCCAACAAGCCCCTCAAACACCAAGTCGCCAGTTCTACCGTTCGCCTACAACAATTTGTCCCATGTACAAAATAAATATTCCTTAACGCTATCCCACCTTTTCGTTGTCTATACATCATCTTCACTCGCCTATTCTCGCTACTCCAAAGATCGTATCAGGCCTCGGTGTCGGAAAAGCTCGGTGTCGACGGGCTGAGTGACGATCCTAACCCAAGACCAAGATCAATCAGCTTACCCAAAACCCAACAAGACGAATAAAGAAATGCCAACGTAGAAGACGAAGCGGCAATGAGTGTAGTTATTCTCCGCTTCTCAAGTCCCGGCGGTCGGTGCGCATGTCGAAAGTCCAACGGCAAGTCAAACACGGACTCGTCGTCATCGTCGCTCTCCATCTCGTCCATCACATCGCTCTCAGAGCCGGTTTCTGATGAGGTGTCTCGGTCGAATCTTAGCTCAACCTCAAAGTCTGTCTGGAAGGGTTGGGTTTCGAACTTGTTGACGCTTCGAGTCGCCTGGAAATAGGGTCTTTGTCTCTCGGCGAAAAACATGGTCAAGAGTAGCTGAAGCATAGTCGAATAATAGTACGAAGCTGCAAAAAGGCAGCAAATCAGTCGAGTCTATAAATCGCAAGTAATGAACTTGAAGCTGAGCAGAGAAATGATGAGAGAGTCGACGGCTTTGAGAAAAATGCCGCCAAATCCGAGTTAAAGCAAAGTAGCCGAACAAAGAATCTCAATCTCGTGGCTTTGCTTTCAACACTGTTCTCCTCTGTTCAACAATGATTCCTTCTCCCCTACGTCTAAGCTTTGACGGGTGGCTAAAAAAACCTGCCGTGATTGAGTTGACAATGTGCCAAGGAATAAAGGCATTGAATGATGGCATTGCAACATGACTTTGCATTGTTTAACTGCTTGAAAGAAGCTTGTTATGTTGCTAAAGACACTTCATACTCTTGTGCAGAGAAAGGACGGAGTGGTCAGCCTCGAGCACGAAGCATTGTAGCGTTCCTGTTCAGATCTCTCCCGTCCATCAAGACTCTTCTTTGACACGGACCATGTACCAAACTAAAGCCCTTAAGCCCTACAAGGTCGAGCACCAAAAAAAGAGACCTCCACAAAGAAAAAAAAGAACGGCGTCGAGCCTTGTGGTACCCGCAGAGGGGCCAGGCCGTGTCTTGTCAGCCGGCTCGGACGGAGTCACGATGGGTCCCGTCGGGCTTCCATTCTTCTGGAAGGATTAATTACCTTCTCCACATTGAATGACGTGCGTGGAATGAAGCTATGACCCGACTTGACGGGCTGTTATCTTCAGAATGTCTCTCCTAAGCCCTGATGGGCGGTCCTCAGATGGTCTTTCAAAGGACCTCTATCGCAATTCATTCAATTACTATTTCTGAAAAAAAGAAGAGCAGAGAATTTCCCTCCCTCGGCTTTACTCGAGTGCACTCACATGCAAAAGCAATACTTACCGAGGACCCGGAGAATCTCGCAGCCTGCTGGGCACAAATCCAATATCCAACAATGACTCTGCATGTGAGGAATGCAAGGACCATCCCAGATTGATTCAGGGGAAAATCCAAGCGCCAATCTACATCTCGCAGTTGCTGGGTTTCATCATAGCAACAGTCAAGGGTACCTGGGGTAAAACACAAACAAGGGCAGCATTCCAGTCGTTGTTGCGAAACGCTACATTTCAGAGCATCACAACCAGGTACAGCTACAGATGCACATGATCTTCAAGATCCATTCCAGACTTTTCTTACGGGGTAATCAGTCTCGTGCTCATTCAGCTGAATTAACCGCCACAAATAATGCTAGTCATTCGTTTCGCCGTCAAAAAAGCAACAATTTTGCCCCGAAAATAAATAAAACCCGTTTCACTCGACGAAAAGAAAGAGGACGAGAAAAAATTTTAAAGAAAAGAAAACGGAAAGGGAAAAAGAAAGGCCAGCGTCGAGACCACCACCACACGAAACAAAAAAGGACCCTTGTGAGAAAAAATTTGTGTCTGTGCCACCAGGTAATCTTATTTTGTCGTAAGCAACCTCACCCATTCCAGTTATCAAGATGGGCAACAGATGTAGATACGGGAAATAGGGCCAATGCTGATAGCTCCAATCCTCATACGAACCGAGTCAAAAGCTCAGACATACAAAATCAAGGAAAACAAACATGAAACCGATTAGATTCAGTTAATTCAGACTCTTCAAACGTCATCGGATCCATTCCAGCCACAATTGGGTTCCGGCTGTTGAGACCCAACCTGCCAAAGCATCCAGGGTCCAAGCTGGGATGACCCTGAGATTTTAAGATTACCTCGCCGGGCCTCTAGCCCTCCCATTGGAAGACACCCCTGGCAAGAGTGCCATTGGGCACAGTTTAGGTACCCTTGATGCACCCCGCGGTCGAAATTTGTTTGACAGGTTTTCTGTTGTTGTTGTGGCCCGTCCTCGGTATGCAGAACTGCGTATATATGACAAGCCAGCCCTGTCCCCCCTTGCGGAAGGCTCTGCATCTTCTTTAGAAGGCAACACGATCACCTATCCACGCGGGCGAAGTCTTTTAGTAGTCTTCTCAACTAGTAGTCCAGACATGGCTCCACTACTGACCTTCGCCCAGCTGGAGCAGGCTGCTCTATACGTGGTGCGTCTCATCGCCGACACTCCCGGTCTTGAGAACACGCGTCTGGCCATTATCGGTGACCTGGCCGTCACAAAGTATCTGCCAAACCATGGCCGTCCTGCTGTACGTTCATGTCTCACGTTACACTCTCAACACTCAACTGACATTCTCTTAGAGCATCGACCTAGTCATCAGCAAGTCCTCTTCTCCCGGTCGCGTCCGCAAGGAGATTGTCGGCCACCCCATCACGCCCCTCATCGAAAAGTCGGGCGCCGTCTTTTACCGCCACACCTCTGGCTGGGAGATCGAGGTCAAGCTCATCCCCGACTGGCTCTGCCCGTACCTCCCGGCGTCTGCGCGGCGCGTCCGCGACGTCACCGGCGAGGCGACCCTACCCTACACATCTCTCCAGGACCTCATCGTCTTCAAGATGGACGCTTGTGGTCTCCACGAGAACGACGCCAGCAAGCGCCGCGACGCATGCGATGCCGCCGCACTCCTCGAGCTGGCCTCGGAGCACGGCGCCCTCAACCTTGACGAGGACCAGGCCGAGCGCGCCGAAGAGGCCCTCGCCGACATGGTCGAGTTCTCTGATCCCGAACACGACAAGAACTGGTGGCAGCGATGCCTGGGCATGGTTTCGGACAAGCCCCGAACACCCCAGGAGATTCTCTCTGACCTTGCCGACCGACCCCAGACGGCTTCTTCCTCTCGCTCATCCATCCACTCGTCCATCTCGCGAGCTTCTTCCTACGCGAGCACCCACTCTTCTACCTCTTCCATTTCTTCTGTTGGAATGGATGAGAAGCCCTCCATGGCTGAGAAGAACGGACGTCCCCGCAAGATGAGCATCACCAAGAAGACGCCCCGACACAAGCGCCACACTTCGATCACCGGCCTCGAGGTGCACATGCACCGCCTCGATCTCGAGCGACCAGCCTCACCCGGCATTGCCCTCACGAACCGCATCTAATGCACCACCACCATTTTTTCTTTGGAGTTTTTTCTTTCTTGTTCTGTGACAATAGGGAGCGCATGGCGGGAAGCTACTTGTACTACATTAAGGGATACCCAATTGTGTCGTTTAGCGTATTGTTAATGTGTTGAGACCTATGGCAACGAGGTTTTTTGGTAAAAAGTTCTTTTGGTTAGGAAAAAAGTTTGGAGTTGGAAAGGATATAGACGACAATGGGTTATGGTTTGGAGGATGTATTATGGACCTTGTTAGAATACCTTCTCTCATGTTTTCATTTTCCTTTGTCTAGCTGTACTCTTCTTGTTTAGATATTAGATTAGCCACTGTATCATCATTAAGATATCCCATTGCGACACATTAGGTTCAACATGTGCATATTGATTCCCGTGCCAAGCAGTGTCCCCTTCAGCAACGATGTCATCGCCCAGGATAAAGCGCATAGTCCATGTCCCAGTGGAGCTTCCCGGGAGGGTCGTCTGCCCTAAACAACCGAAGTCACTATCGAAACCCTCACTCGAAACTCAAATCTGACTACACTCCATCCTTGACATGACTTGGACTGAGCTTCCATAACGTATGGTCCATTCTCTTCATGTTTCTCTTTCATGTCCGGTGTCTGGCAAGCAGCGCCTCAAACGGCTTCGAAACACCCGGCAATATCCACAGTCCTCAGGCTTTGGCAATACCCATCTCAGGGTTGAAGATCAGGTATTACATGTTCAATCCCGCTGTTGTTCTTTTGCAAAGTCCTTGCGACTCTAGGGCCTTCTTACTAGGGTCGAACTTTTGTGAAGGCCTTCCTGAGAACAACAATATCAGATGGGTATCAGGGCTAGAAAGCCGACCCCAGGCTGCCATCTCTTCGAAAAACAATCGACAGCGTCGGCAACTACATAGAAGACAAATCATGAAAAGTGATCTCATAATATTCCTTCAAGATTCAAGTCACGAAAAATGAGCCTTGGCACGCAGAGCATCTACATTGACTTGCAGGGATGGACGCTGTGCCCAAGACTATGCAGACATGGCCTTTGCTTGTAAGAGGAACCATGCAGTTTCTGTGTATGCATGAAGCTGTGGCCCTAAACCAGATAGATGTCATGCAAGCTCGTTCGAAATCTGGGGTAAAGTGGAAATGATGTCGCGTGACCACTGTGTTAACATCGGGTCATGATGTTATAATGTGTTTAAGATCTGTTCTTTATTATAGTTGCAGCCCGGCCCTTGATGGGTTAACTGAGCCCGAAGATCGATGTCGCGTGACCTCGTCCAAGTTGATCGCTACACAGCTGAAGCGTGATTGGCTTTGGAGTTTGAGCGGACTTTTTGAGACGCAAATATTGTTCATCAACGAGATCCCACAACACATCAACCAGCGTGTATAATTACATATATAGGTACTGCAAAATGCTCAATTTTTATCACTATTTTATTTACTTTAATTATCTTCACAAATCTCCCCTTCAACAACTGACGTCACTCTCCAAGCAAACTCCCACCCAACACTAGGGTAAGCCATCGGGAGCCACCCCGCATCAGCCGCAGTGGCGCACCTCTAACCGCTCCAACCACTGCAAGGAATTCCCAACCAACCACCCCTTATCGCATCCACATTATGTAATCCTCGTGTTCAATGAGCATTCCGTCACGACTCCAGGACACCCTGTTTCATCCCTCATCTCATCAACCCATCGCACAAATTGACTGTTCGCGTTGCTTTTCACCCCTTCACAACACAACAGTCAATCATGACTCCAAGCCCTAGGGCAAAGTCCCGCGACGGGCTGCCTCAGCAGGCTGAGCTGCTCCAGCAGGACACGGACCGCGACCATGAGAAGGCCTCCCTCGCTAGGAAGAACAGGGACAAGATTCGATCTCTTGACGGGCTTCGCGGTATCGCTTGTCTCCTCGTTTTCAACTACCATTTCTTCTGGCCCTGGACTCCTGCTGTGATGCTGGGCTATGGCGCCCTGGCCCCTCGTTCTCCCGAGCCTTACTACAACTGGCCCTCGCTGCCCATTCTCTGCCTCTTGCATCGTGGACGTCCAATGGTGGCCATCTTCTTTGCAATCTCGGGTTATGTCATCTGTCGTCACATCCTGAGGTCAATCCACGAACGTCGTCTCGAAGACACGTATCAGAAGCTTGCATCAGCCGTTTTCAGACGCGTCTTTCGCCTCTACATCCCTCCCACCATCAGCATGTTCATAGTAGCCATGCTAGCCCAGATTGGAGCTTTCAAGTCTGAATTCAACATCTACAAGGGTCCTGACTCGGTCTACATCAACGCCACTATCACTACAGCCCAGATCCAACTGGATACGTCATGCGTCAACGGGACTTCTATCATGGGCGCTGCAGGCGTCGCAAACTATCTGGGCTTGCAGGGTCCACTGTACTTGGGCAACACTACTGCCAACCTGACTGATTTGCTCTGCGTCAACTCCACATCGCGACTCTACGGGCCTGATAAGTTCTACAAGCTCGAGGGTGAAGTCGAGGCCGAGCTTGCAACGAACACGACAGACAACGCGACTACCACTGCCCTGGCGACTCTGGAGACTCTTTCACCGCGTTCGTATCTCAAGATTGGAAACGACAAGCGCAAGACCCCATCTTACGTCTCTGATCTCACTGAAAAGGCAGAGTCGTTGAATGACACAAACCCCGTCAACCTGACCTGGGTTCAGTTTGGTGGCTCTTGGGAGGAACACCCCTTCATCCACGACAACATGACATACGCCCTCAAGAACTTTACTCGGGCTTATGCAGAGTGGGCAAACCCCTTCAACTTTGGCCACTACCATCCCCGTTATGATCCTCACACCTTCACCATCCCAATGGAACTTCGTGGCTCAATGGTTCTGTACATCTTTCTGTTGGGCACGGCAGCTCTCAAGGCAAGATGGCGTCTCCGTTTTGCTGGTTTCCTCTCCGCCTACAGTCTCTTCATCGGACGATGGGACATGGCTACGTTCTTAGGAGGCGCCCTTCTCTCGGAGCTGGATATTCGACGATCTGACCCCAACGACCGGACAATAGCACCTCCTTCTGCGGGCGTTGGCAAATCTCGCCAGTCAGGCTTGCAATCCACCCCCATCCGCATCCTCGCCATCTTTGTGGCCCTCTACTTCCTCTCTTACCCAGATGTAGGTGCAGAGTACACCCCTGGTTTTGTCTTCCTCTCCTACTTTGTTCCAAAATACTACATCCCCATGTCAGGCTGGATGTTCTACCAATCTATGGGCGCTCTCCTTCTCGTTCCCTGCATCCTCCGCAGCCCGCTCCTCTGCCGCCTTCTTGAAGGCCGCGTGGCACAGTATCTCGGAAAAATCAGCTTCTCGCTGTACCTCGTCCACGGTCCTGTCCTACACTGCATCGGCTTCTGGATCATGCCCCGACTATTCGACAACTTTGGCCGCCTCACAGGCTACGCCATTGGCTACATTACTCTCATCACCATCACATTTTACCTGACGAACCTGTGGCACAGAAAGGTGGACGTCTGGAGCATGACTGTTGGAAGGAGAGTTGAGAAGATGCTGTCTGAATGAGTGAGGAGCAGTTGGGACTGGTTCCGTTGGGAAAACTGCATCATAGGGAGGCATCATGTGGCGCAAGGTTTTTTATTTAGAATGCAACTTTTCTTTTGGGTTATTTGGATATTGTACTATGAAGTATCTACTGGGAGAATGATATACTAAAAGTCCTTATTAACTGGGTATGTGTACTGGACTATGCATGTTTGGAATTTGTTGATGATAGAAACCGACATGATGTTCTTAAGGATGGCAGTCAAGTTAAGTTCTTTCTCCAAGTTAGCAAGGATCAATGCCTTTGGATATCTATCTGCTGATGTAGCTCGAAAGGGTTGCCTTTACAAGAGCATCACCTACCTAGTATTATGGCACTTCAAGGCACAAGTTTCACGAGTCATGACAAATGATATGGGCTAAATTAGTGGATTGTCCTAATCTAGAATACCTAGTTGTTCTGAAAGCCAGTCGATACCCGGGTTTCAATCTCATGAGCCCCCATGATCACAAGCAAAAGTCCTGCTCATTCATCACCTCTAGAACTTTCGAATAGCATCCATCAGCTCCTTCGCAGCATCCTCACCAACCTCATCCGTCAGCCATCCCTCGGCCTTCTCAACAAGCATCTCCCAAGTATCCTCCTCACTCTTGAGCTTGCTCTTGAAGAAGACAACCGCACAGGCAGTAGCAACAATGTCATCCTTCTGCTTGTGGTTCGCCACAGCGGCAGGCAGACTCATAGTCGTTAGATCCTTGGCCTTCACACCCAGCACACCTTCAAGCTCTCGGTTCCAAGACCAGCTGCCAGAAAAGGTCTGCAGAGTGATGAGAGTCTTTAGTGCAGTTTCAGTATTGAAAGCAGGAGCAGGGGGAGGGGGAGCAGGGGAACCCAAGTCTTCATCCTCCTCGAGTTCATCTGGAAGCGGCATGCATGCTGCCTCTGCCATCTCCTTCTGGTACTGCGCAAGAGTAGCATCGTCGACAGCCTTTTCCGGAGGTGCCAGTGCCGGCGCAGCATAGATTGGCGGCTGGGGGCCACCAAAGAGGCCACCTCGACCAAAGGGGGAGCTCCTGGTCTTTTCGACGGATTGTTGTTGGGGACCGCCGAATAGGGCACCTCCGGGTGCCGCGGGGGCTGGAGGAGGCGGAGCACTGCCAAAAAGACTAGAGGACCCAAAAGCAGCAGGCTTTGCCTGGCCACCACCTTGGGCGTTCCCAAAGAGTCCTCCCGTGCTGGAGGATGCACCACCTTGGGTGCTGCCAAAGAGTCCTCCAGTGCTGGAGGGTGCACTCCTTCCGAAGCTTTGTGACTGAGCAGCTGCAGCTGGAGCCGGACTAGTGACTGAGCATAGCTGGGCTGTTGCATTGTCAGGGCTGCTCCTCGTACCGAAGAGTCCGCCGAAGAGTCCGCCCCCGCCTCCAAACATGCCTCCACGAGCAGGGGAACCAGCCGTGGAACGGACGTCGGTCCTGGACCTCGCTGGAGCAGCCGACTTGACCATGGATCCCATTGATCTGAACATGTTTGCTCCAGGAACGCCCATCTTCTTAGACTTCCGGGCAGACATGTTTGAGGATGTCATGCAATAATTCGCAGAGCTAGGACCGCCAGCCATCAGGGCTTCAAGGGTAGAGGAAGCATCCTGGTCGGCATAGTCCTGGTATGAAGGAGGAGCGTCGTGCTGCTTCTTCTCTCCGTCCTTTTCCTCGACGGCGACGAATGAGCACCACTTGCCACCGACTTGGTAGGTGACACCCAGGCGAACAGCCTCTCGCTCGACGAGATCCGAGAAGTGTCCCTCGTGCTTCTCCTTGAAGAGCTTGCCGCTGCCATCCTTGGCATGGGTGATCCATCCTCGGCCCTCTTCCAGTTCCTTGACCTCCTTGCGTGCCGCAAGGCGGTGGATGACTGAGTCCTTTTCGGCGAGGGTGGTGATTGGGATCTCCAGCTCAAGGGGGCCATGGCGGGATGTGCCCTTGAGGAGGACCGACTTGGGTCGCTGGTCAGGTGTGGCATCGGAGAGGAGTACATAAACAGACGTGCGGTTGAATGGGAATAGGGGAGGAATCTCGCCTGGAGTCTGGAGGTAGCGAGGAATGGGGACGGCAGGGAGATGATCGTACTTGGAGTCGACGTCGGGCGCATCGGTCATAGCGGTGTCGTTGTCGTCGTCAACTGAGCGATCAAAGAGGGAGATGGGCTGCTTAGACTCGCTGGTCTTCTCTGTCGCCTCAACCTCTTGGACATCGATCTTGAGGCCATCGCTGACCTTTTCAACCAACTCGAACTCGTCGTCGTCGTCGGCCGAGGTGTCCGCCTTTTCGTACTTGATCTCAAGAGAGTAGTCGGTGATGTGAGGGAACAAAGCTCCCTTGAGCATGCGAACGACCTTCTTGTCCATCTTCTCGCCGTGGCCGACAGTCTGGGCGAAGCCATTACCAGCCCGAGCGACACCCTCAACCAGTGAGGTACTGGCGCCAGACCCGATGCCGAGGGAGAATACTCTGACGGAACCCTTGCTCTCAGCCACATTATGGTTGATGAGCTCAAACAGTCTGTCCTGGTCATAGATGGCGCCGTCAGTCAGCAGGAAGATCTCGAGGTTCATGTCGGTGTAGCGCTTCTTGAAGGTGGCCTCGACAGGTTGGTACATCTCAGTACCACCAAAGTCGGCATCAAAAGACTTGATGTGACGCAAAGCCTTGTCGAGACTATCCTTGCTGTAAGTCTGAGACCTGTCCCAGAGGAAGCTGAAGTGGGAACCGAAGCTGCAAATGTTGAACTTGACGCCAACGGGAAGAGACTTGAGAAAGATCTCGAGGGCAGCTTTAAGGTCGGGAATGGTACCGCCCATGCTTCCGCTGCGATCGCAAATAAAGACAATCTCGGGTTTCTCGGAAGGGAGCTTGAACTTGGGGACAAGAGTCGTCATGAGGGCACGCTGGTTGGGAATGGTGGGATGAGTCTCGAGGATGGCCGAAGGCTCTCCGATGTTTGTGGCGACAACCTGAACAATAAAGTCCTTTTCCAAAAAGGTGGCATTCTGTTGAAGTGTCGCAGAGGCCCGACGCAGAGATGGCTCCTCAGATTCGGTCGTGGACGTGGTGCCGATGTTGACCGAGATGGGGTGTGATGGTGACTGGATGGACTTGATGGAGGAGCCTTGAGGCATCTCAGCGTCAATACTGAAGGCAATTCCTTCATCTCTGATGACATTTGAGCCATCTCCGAGGCTCAAGGCCGTTCCATATCGAGGGACAATGTGTGTGGGAATAGTGAATCGGACACCGTCAACTTCGGCGTCATGCTTGAGTTCACCAAGGTAGGTGATGTCAACTTGGATCTTCTCACCAGCTGGGACATTTCCGATAGTGGTGGTGAAAACATCAGCAGACTCAAGCGACTGCTCCAGCAAGCCGGCGATCTCTCCCTGTGCCTTTGCCTCCTCGTACACCTGCTTAGCCTTTTCGCGCTCCTTGACTACGCCCTTGATGACGCGGGAGCCGACTGTGCAGGTAAAGGCGACAACAGAGACTCCATCGTAGAGGGGAAAGATGTACCGAAGCTCATCGATGGCGTTGGTCTTGTTGGGGTTCACAAAGGTCTGGGTGAGGTTTGTCCGGGATGTAGTGGCGAGGATGGTGGTGTGGGCTTTGACCTGGACCTGGGGGAGGTACTTGCGAGCATTCTCGACCCAGATGTAGCAGCCGCAGCCGGGCATTACTGTTCGCTGGTAGCCGAAGAACATGTTTTTGGTGGTGCTGGGTGATGTGATGTGGGGGTGATGATGGTGATGTAAGATGAGGGCACTTGGCCGGCAAAGATCAGTCACGTATCACCAAGTAGCGGGTATCAAAGATGGATGGCGATGATCAAAAAGGAAGATGAAAGATGATGAGACGGGGCGTTAGTCGTAAGTCTCTCAAAAGGTGCGGCTGGAGTTGGCGCAGCACCGGGTGAATGAATTGTCACAGTGGATTCTGGAGGAGATGGATGATGATGGAGAAGGAGAATGAATTGGAGGGGAATAGTGGTAGATCTTTATAGACGAGCGTTCTCAATTGCTAACACGGGGATTGTCCAACCGTGACGGCATTAGTCGCTGTTGTTCAAGCAATGATCGATGGATGTGGTCAACAATTGTTTAACTTCATGGCTGCCTTGGCTGCCTGTGCTATTCTGCCTGAGGCGATTCAACCAATAGAACTCGACAGCTGAGTCATCAGCCACACCCATCTCCCCATCTGATTGGCTCGCACTCCTACCTTCAGCCCTCTGCCCTGTTGCCTGCTTCACCGAGAAGCTCTGAAACAGCACCGCGCCCAGCAAAAAGCACCACGAAAGGATACCAATGCGCGTCGATTGCGCGGTTATTGATGCTCTTGCTTACACAATCACATGCCCTTTTGTCGCTGTTGGGCTGTGTTTCCGGCGTTTAAGCGTCCTTTTAGCGTGAGGGAGCCTACGCCTCACCACCAGCCACAGAGCTCATCCTGGCAATGGCGCCTTGGCGGTGACATGGGGCTTTGCCCAAGGTGACAAAGCGCAGTCTGCCTTGGCTTGAGATTGAGGTCGAGAGCTTGAGAGACGGGAGAGGCAGACGACGGACCCGACTACTTGGGACGTCATTCCCAATGTCGCATAGTCCATATCGTTGATGACTCTTCGGCAAATGAGGTCCTAGTCCTCCACTGCAACGGCGTCAAAGCTGAGTGATCCGGGCGCTTTTGATCTTCGACATGGATCCTCCTGGGATAAAGGCGTCCCTCCAAGTATCACAGCGTGATGCCTGACAACGCCGCACAAGTTCTACAGCAGCAAACCATGATTGCGTCGCGTCCCTGATGTAGACACCATTGCGATTTGCCAACAAGAAACCCGACGGGTGCTCAAGACCATGATACTCTAGGACTGTTTGCGTAAACCTCCCTCCAAACATGCGGGAGAAACCTTGGCCCAACTAGGCTTCCATTTTATACAAATGAAGCCTACAGACTACCTTCAGGCAAACCTCTCCTCCCCAAGGCGTCAACATTCTCTATCACCTTCACCATAATGTCACCGTAGAGTTGAAAGACTCCTCAGCCAAGTGGCGCCACAAAAGCATCACCTGTTGCCTGTTTGGGAAGCATCAGGGGCCAACAAGTATTCCTTCAAGAAGATGAAATCCTTCTCGAAGGATGCCTAAAGCCCGCAGAAGCATTCAATTACCGAGTGACACGAGTGGTTGCCAGCAATCATCACTCTTTGGACTGATACCCAGGCTTGTGTCTACGTTTGTGTCGTCGTCAGCTATAACCCAAACATGCTACCCCGACCCAGATCCTTCAGGCTACAGGGATATCAATCTACCCAATGCCTAGCTCTCTCCGATGCAGTACGACCCATCACACGTCGGGACCTGCCGTCCTGCAGACAGGAGGAGGCAGTGGGCACAACAGATCTCACCACCACCGCAGGGGTCAGACACACTTCTCGGAGCAACAGGCCATTCCCCAATGGCACGATTAGCAATAGGACGAATTGGAGCAAAGTATTTTACCCCGGGGACGACTCCAGCGATGAGTGCCGACAGTAAGATGAAGCCCACCTCACCCCCATTCATGCTGTATGTCAGTGCAGAAGCGAGATGATCTTGCAGAAGAGGCTGACTAGCTTGTGAGCGACTCCAGTAGAGACGCATGAACGAGGGGTGACCTCCGTGGTGCAGCATCAGATGTGATATCTTGGCGACGCAGGTGATAATGCTAGGCGAGATTTGTCCATCTGATATACCACTGTCAGAACTCCAAAAAGGTAAAACTAAGCAACAAGACACTGCTGGATAACCTCTAGTTTGGGAATAGTTAACATCGGCAATACAGATCTCGCTCGGATCTATAACTCTGGGCACCCCCTGATGCCAAACATCGAAAGACCCGTGATCAAACGAACCTCCCATCTCACCCCATTCCCACCGTCAGACCGGCACATGGAACCCGGTAATCATACGTTTCCGTGTCGTCTTGGCCAATTGGCGAAAAGTCCAAGAGATCCACGGATGCAAGGCATCACCATCGGTACCATTCCTTCGGTACTCGTCTCGGTTCATCAATCCTGGGAATCAACCCCCACGGATCAAGGGGTGTTGTTCATAAGATCGACCGGGATAGGTGAGATGTCAACGAGTGTCGAACGATGAGGAATCCGGGAGTTTGAGCTCGCGTAGTGGCCTTGCCCGGCCAGTACAGCAACACAAGAGTTGGAGCATCCAGTCATGGCCCAATTGAACCGAAAACACAAAATGGTTCAACTATCTAGGTCGTCCCTGGTCCTCTGGGTGTGTATCTACTCTAAAACTCCCTGTAATCCGCCAAGGTGCAGATATTGGTGGAGTAGAGATCATGGGTTTCCTTCCAGGCGGGTCATGTATGCAGGTTCCCCAGGTCGGAAGCACATGGAGAACCAATTGATGATGAATGACATGTCATCGTCGTTTTAATCAAAGGATTGTTAAGCCTGGTGTCTCATCGGAAATCTCGAAGCACGCATGATGGCTTTCCCCTGGATGACGAGCGCATCGTGGAGATAACCAACGAGTGACTTCAAACACCAAGCTAACAAGCCCAAAACAACCATTCACACATCCGGCAATTACAACCTTAACACCCCATCGCCACCCGCCCCGATCACGTTGCATTCATCTTACAGGACATGCCACTATTCCCAATGCCATCCAACCCGTAGCTCCCATTGGCCAATCCCCTTCCCGCCGGGCACTAATGCAACAAGTTTGACAGGTGGGGCCGTGATTCCGTCACGGGTGAGCCGGAGGTTCGCTTATCCTCCCCGAAGAGCTCCGAACGTGTGATGAGAACAAGATAGTAAGTAGAATAGTCTGATATCTTCCTTTAATTAATATAGTATTTATTGTATTTATGTAAATTTTCTCATAATTTTTTAGAAGAGTTATTTGACCTTTTTTGCCATTCTGGCGTCCCTGTCCGTGTTGACCCACAGGCTCCGATGCTACTCTATGCTACGTGCCAATTCTAGGGATGAGAGGCGAATTGCAAGATGAGCTTAAATAGTATGACTAAAGAGGTTCAGCCTTATGGTTACTGGACGAAACTCGAGAGTCACGGGTTCATGATCGAGCTATGGTGATGATATAAGTTGGGTGATGTCTTATGGTCTCTCCACAACAGCCAACAGGCGATCCATCACGCTACCCATGGCACTCTTTATAAGAGTAGAGTGAAGAAGATTTACCAGAAAACTCTTGGAGTGTCAGTTCAGTAGAGAACCCATACCAGGGTCAAATACACCAGTTGCTCTCAGCGAGTTATCGCGACTCAAGGCCATCAATATGGCACCTCCACGACTTTACAACCAACGGGTACCGTCGATATCACTTACAAACACAGCTTTGACCATCTCCATGAATGATTTCATTCACTTCATGCCCAATGCTTGGCCCAAATGGCCCAGTTGACGCCATCATCTCATCTCCTCCCGCGATAGCCTCAGCTCACTCACTCACCATCTCTTCCCTATCCAACACCTCCCCAACTCACCAAGCAGAGCTAAACGACATGCCCTCTCAAACCCACCAATCCCTTCTCATCGAAACATGACTCCCAATCACCCAGCATGCCAACCTCATCATCAACCACCGCCATCGCCCACAAGTCGTGACGTCAGATGTCTATGACGCGCAGAAGCCAAAACGCCCAAGTATATACTCACCCACTCACCTCTCATCGCACCGACGAAACCTCATTCTTCAAACGGTCAGACTTCTAAACCAAATGTCCCTCGTCCGCTATATTCCACGAACCGCCCTCGTCCTCACCCAGCGAAGCATTCCGCAAAGACACTTCCACGCCGCATCCAACTGCGCAATGTCGTCCACCGATCAAACCAGTGCTCCAACTTTCAAGAGCATTGGCATAACCAATACAGATATCCGTAAAGCAGCTGGAGTTCAACTAACTCCTCACCAAGAAGTCCTCGTCGGTTCGGTCCTAGATGTGAGCTCATAACTCAACCTCAACAACTCCCCCAGAGCAAATCGTTGACACAGACACCCAGCTCTTCGAAGGCCGTCCTTCCCTCCGCCATCTCTCCCTCTGGACCCCAACAGCAACCTTTCAAGATTCTATAACAAACGCCGTAGGCTTCGACAAGTTCGCAGCCCAGTGGTACGGCCTCGTAGCCCTCTTCTCCCCGATAACAATCCAGTCCCACGAAGTGACCTCCTCAGGAGACCCAATCTCCCTCCGCCTTTCCAACAAGTACGTCCTCAAGGGTCTGGGCACCGAAAAGGTCATGGACTCGGTCGTAGACATCCACGTCGGCCCGGACGGCAGGATCTCGAGAGTCGAAGACAAGTGGAATGACAAGCTCCCCCAGGGTCCCTTTGCAACTGCAAGTCTCACTCCCTTTCCCTCAAATTGACTCATTCACCCCTCCCCTCCCCTCCCCATGACCATTTTCCCTTTCCACATGACTTACAGTCAAGTCGTCCGTTCCAGCCGCGAGGTGTCATGTCTGTCAGCCACGCGTGGGCTATATACCGCCTGAGCCACCGGCCCATGGTGGTCTGATGCATCACGCCAGAGGCGCGTTACCATCTACCGAGTTTCTGAGCTGACATGCACGTGCTCTACTAGGCCTTCCAGAAGCTCAATGCCGTGTCGGTCCCTGCGTTTGTCAAGGTCCCCAAGACCCAAGAGGAGGACGATCAGATGCGGGCCGACCGAGCCCGTGAGGCTCAAACTTAGGACGTCTAACGTCTACCGTCTAACGGTCCAAAAGGGGAACGTTTTGAAGCATCACCAAAAAGACAAGTAAACTGCGGACAATATTAAGAGTGTATTGGAGATGGTATAACTATTCCAAACAAAATCCTGCCCAAGTTTTGATCCCAAGGCCCTCAGGCCGGTAACCAATGTCCGCTGCGCCAGGTTCGCGAATTTAATCAGTGTCCGTCCATTCCTCTCTTGCGCCAGAAACTCCAGGGATATCATGATTCATCACACAAGCTCACGTCTCGCGCTCGCTTTCTCCGCCCAAGAAAATTGCAATGCAAAAATCACAGTGTCTATGTCTATGATGCCTTAAGCCCAGACACCAGCGGGTGGCGCCTGATCTCGGGACATGACGAGCATCTCAAAGCCCTCGACGCGATTCCGGAGCTGGTTGTTCTCGCGTGCGAGGCTCTTGTTCTTCTTCTCCAGATGTGCAATGTATTCGGTCGCCTTGCTGAGGATGGTGGCCTTGTTGAGCTTGTGCGCGGGGGCGAGTCCACCGAGATCCTCCTCGGGATCCTCCTCGAGGCCATCAGCACCCTGGGTCTCTAACCGGTGCACCATGACGCGGAGAGCGGGGACTGAGTCGCGGAGGGCGGCGATCTTGTCGTTGAGGTTGGTGCGGTAGCGCTTCTCAATCATGTTGTGCGCAGTCTTCTTGGGAGGCGAGCCATGGCGGCGGGTGGCGGGAGGGGGAGAAGCAGAGGAGCGAGAAGAAGAGGAGCCAGAGCCCGAAGACTTGCGCTTGCGCGAAGGATATCGGTTGCGTGCGTCCTTGGCAGCCATGCTGTTCATGGCCGACATCTGAGGGTTGGTGGTGGGAGGCATCATGGAGGACTGAAGATGAGGAGGTTGAGAAGAGATGGAAGGCATGGGAGTCTGGAAGAGAGGCTGAGCGTCAATGTCGTTCAGGCCGACTCGACCAAAGGGAACGGCGTCCGGAATAGTGCCGGAGAGGTCGTGGGGGTTGATGGCGGGGCTGAGCTCCATGCTGTTTCGGGAGGGGATGGTGGAGAGGTTGATGTTCTCAAAGGGCTCCTGCTTGGGGAGGGTGTCAAGATCAGGAGAGAGAGTAGCCTTGTCGTCCCAGCTCACCCAGTCGCTAGAGACGGGAAGCTGATAGGGGTTGGCAAAAACGGGAGAGAGGGGCGAGTCGGGAGAATGGGCCGAATCACCGCTGAAGTCTGCGGGGTCGTAGAAGGATGCAGGAACACCAAGGTTCTGTGAGGTGTTAGGTTGGTCAACCAGAGTATTGTTGAAAGTGTATGAGAGTAGAGTGTATGAGTGTATAAGATGGTGTGCTTTGTGGTGTGTCAAGTCGAGAGACTAGTGGAGAGAGGCTTGGATATAAAGATGAGATGGATAGATGAGATAGCTTCTCAGAGCTAGGCCCAGCAAATGCTCAAAGAGGAAGAATGAGCTGAGATGAGGTGAGGTGAGGGGGAGGAGGGGAACATATGTGCCATAAAAACGAGGCCCCAGACAGTTGACCAGGGGGGGTGGGCAATTACATATGCCATAGTCAAGGATGGGGGATGTATTGGCAGTACACGAAAGGGCTTCAAAGCAAGGGAATCATCAAAGATAGAATTCAAAGCATACCTGTTTGTGCTGAGGGTGATCAAAGTAATCGAATGATACGTCGGCCATTGTGTCCAAGATGAAGTCGATTGTTGACTTATGTGTGGTGCTGGTTGATACTATGTATGTCTGGAGAGCGGGAGCTGGTGGCTGGCGATCTGGTAATCGAGGGGGGTGCGGTTACGGGGAGGGGGTGAGGATTGTCTCGCGTGAAGATGATTCTCTGGCAGTGTCTCGGGTCGGCGGAATGCTTCAAGGTACGATGATGAGACGATGAGACGACGAGATTCTGGATTTCTGTCGTGTCTGTAGTTGATTGTGGGTGAACGGTCCTGGGTAGGGGATAAAGCGTAGGGACCAAGTTTGCAACGGTAGGTGATCAAGATATCAGACGGTAGGTGGTGCGTGGGCGGTCGATGGTGGGGAGAGTCTCGAGTGATGTATTCGATGAGTGCATGGCACCAACAGGAGGGATGGGCAGACACTTGGATGGCGAGACGGGGCGAGCGATATATAGCTTGGCCCAAATGACAAAAAGAGGCCCTGGACTGAATGGGGGGGGGGGCACAAGCTGAAGGCCCAAAGCAGTGGCCCTTGGCCTCCAAGGATTGTCGCGGGTGCGAGGGCCAGACGTGAGCAGCGATAGCGCCCGACGAATCTCCTCCGCGTCATACGACCGTCCGGCCGAGGGCGGGGGGTGCCGAGCTTGGCGTGGCGCCGGGGCGGTACGACAACGCTGGGTCAACCAAGAGCGAAGAGGCGCCATGCGTCGACATGGATTAGAGGGGCGGGCAACGGAGCCGACAAGAGGGCGTGGGCTGCCACTTGGTGTTGACCCTGGTCTCCCTCCCACAGAAAGGAGCATGGGCCATGGGAATCTCTGGGCCAGAGCATGGGCAAATTGATTGAGGGACCCCAAGACCCAGGGAATTCAGGGATTCCATGGGTCGTTTTTGCTCATTCCGTATCGTTCGGGAGACCGGGGGTGCTTGCAGTCCGCGGCCGTTGAGTACAGTACAGTGTAATAGTTGTATAGACTCAAGCGTGGGATGGAGGCTATTGCGAGAGGACGTGGACAAAAACAGACCATGCATTGTCTTGTTGGATCTGCTGGTGGGTAAAAAACGCAGCGATTGCCGTGGGCACTCGGAAGCCCGTGAGTTTGATGGGTATCTGGATCCCTCAGCATCATGCCCTGCCCGCATCGTTTGGATTAGCCACACAGTGAAGCACAAGGCGCACCCGTGAGTCTCGGGAGGAGAAATCCAATCCTCATCGCGATCGCTGAGGCGGGCAATCGCAGGGTTGGTGTTTTTCCCCTCTCCTCTTCTGCTGGAATAGCTTGGTGATCGACACTGCACGGCGTGAGAAGGCGTGGACGCGCCGTTGGACTAGCGAGCTCTTTGGTGTTGAAGACCAGACAAGGGGGGGTGGGAAGGGGAGCTTCCGGTGTTTGTGAATGGTTGGTGGGTTCCTGCCTTTGCTTGTTGGCAGTAGAGAGTGACCCCTCGGTGAATGTGCCCTGTGCGGGAGAGAGAGGGGCACCCGAAAACGCCGTTTGGGCAAATGCAGAGCCCGTTTGTTAAAGCCCGTTGAAGATTCACAATGTTTGCTTTCTACGGACATCTCGGCAAAAGAAAAGACACAAAGCTTGACGACATTGATGATGCAATCTGTAAAGCTCAAATGCCGGACGCGGTAATCGAGGTTTTACTTTTCTTTTCTTCTTCCCGGCACATGTTGGCAGGGACTGGCTCTCAGCCGCTCTTCTTTATGATGGAGGGGGCGACGCAAGCCAGGTGGAGGCGCGGAAGAAGAGAGACACCAGGAACCCGACCCGAATTTTGGCTCTGACAAGCTTGCAACCGAGAAAAGCTAATACAGCCTCAATAGAAGTTCCTTTACTCTTAAAAAGTGCCTGGTTTATTTCCTTATGCGGTGCCGCAATTCATACACCTTTGACTCTGACCCACTGGAGCTCCTCTCGTTCCGCTGCGGCTCGGTGTTCTCGACGTTCTGGAACCCCGACAACAGAACAAGAACCCTTGCTCCATCACATCTCCTAAGCGAATGGCTCCCCATGATGACAACTTTGTTACTGATGATTCCTCTTCACCTATATCCGACTTGGGAAGTGTGTAAATCCGGCCAATCATTCCCTTCAATGCCCTGTTCGGCTCTTGATCTGGGCGCTCATGGTCAGCATCAGTAAACACAATGCTGAGCCCAGGGCTTCACAAGGCTTCCAGACCGGGTCTTGTAAACGAACCGTGATATTTCAGCTGGGTAGGCAACAGCCCAATGTAAACATCAATGCAAGAGACGTAGTCATTCAATAAACAAACAACGAATGAACCAGCTCATCCGGGATGCCTTCAGTTACTGGTAAGCTTCTAGCCAAGCCTCACAGCCAGCAACCTGTCAAATTAGAAGCCCCCCCTCCCGTGAAATGGATCCCGCGCTCACCGAAGCGACCGCTCGCTGGCCCTCCTCGCCTATCGTTCCAGACCTGGCTACATTTAGCAACAAAAAGAAGGGGTCTCCAGTTGGGAGGGTTACAGCGCATCTGCCTGTGCTTCTCTTGCTCGCTTTCGCACTGACCTTGAGCACATCCCGCGGGCTGCTCCCCCAGGCACAGGCCGCCCGCGGGTCAATGGTGATCCATTTTCAATAGTTGATTTAATCCCACCCGGTAACGTTCCGCGAGTGGCAAAAACATCGTCTAGAAGGCCAAGAAAAAGCTTCGAAATTTTTACACAGATGGATCTGACAAAGGCCCGCTTAGTCTAGTTCCATTCCTTCGGCGACACCATTCCCCAAATCGTCGCTTCGTGTCAGAGAGTGGGAGATTTAGGGGTCCAAGGCTGAGCTGTCCGTCCGTCGGGGGCAAGCAGCTCGCGGGAAGCCGTGAGACATGCAGATGATGTATCAATTGAGAGAGAGAGTCGTCAATACGGGCCTTGGGTCCCAATTGCTGCATTGCGGATTTGCAGGCTGAGAGGATCCACGAGTCTGGTCGAGACCTTTCTTTTTTCAAGGGTCCTACATTTGTACTGTTGGTCTTGAGGGTCCCGGATCCGAATAGCTTCCCATCCGTAACGTAACTATCCATGGACAACAGACGACACTCTTAACTCTGCACAACATCCATGCCCACCTAGATTCAATGCCGTGCATGGGATGGAGACATGCACCCGCACAACCCGAACCCAGGGGTGAGCATGTTCTATGTCGGTGTAAGGTCAACTACCAGCCTCTCATGGATTACACAGTAACTATTTCATGGATGGCATATCCATAAGACAACAACTCCCAGCAATATCATCGGAAAGATTCGCTTCCCACGAGGACAATACCATGTTGACCTTCTATCCCTACCCCGTCAATACCAGAGTAGAAACATGTCACAAGTCATGATCTAAAGAGTGCTTCCGGGGGTTGTCGGCGATTGACGGCAACCGGAAGAATGGCCCCGATCCCAGTCACGAAACCACGGGAACAAGCAAAAAAAAAAAAACACCATCATCGATGACACAAATGCCGCCGAACAAATGGTGCATCATGATCATATTGTCGGCGTCTATGGGCATTCTGCTCGCCGTTAAACTGGGATTCTTAGCATACATCGGACTCCCGTCACAGCGGTAGCTGTCCATCAGCAGGGGTGCCAAAGTGGCCTGATTCCCCCCATAACAGCCCATTCTGGGAGCACCAGCCAACCTGCCCACCGCGGGTGCAGAAACGCGTGAGCGGAGGGGGCCGGAACGGAGAGAGGGAGTTAGCGGAGGAGGTACATTCCCCCCTCTGGAAGAGTGTAAAGATACCTGGGAAACCATCTCGAGAAATTATCGTCAAAACGTTGCCCCTACCGTCGTCCGTTCGCGGGACCGTGCTGCCCTTGATGGGATGTTTTGCTGGCACGAGCATCACAAGTCGAACGGGTCCATCTCGGAGGCGGGCATCGCCTGCTGTGGCTGATGACCTCTTTGTTCAGAAACGACGTGTCGCGCGCCTAAGCAGCGTGTAATCTACACTGACAGGATGTGAAACTGGGCGTCTACTCGATCCCGATCTTCCATGATGTGAAGCTGTAAACCCCATCCTCTAGGTCTCCGCTAGCCTTGACGCTAGGGAGCCGTCGTCGCATTTCCCCGGGTCTTTTTGACGTCTGCTGCGGCGTCTGCGGCTTCTTTTTCTGCGGCACAAATGCGGTGTCTGTCATGTACGTGCAAATGTAGGTGATTGCTGTCCCCCTTCTTTCTTCCCCGACATTTCCATCCATGCTCTGCCCATTGTCGGACGGAATTGGGCGACCATGGGGCCAACGTCTGTCTGAAACCATGCCATAGAGCGGTGATGGCATTCCGATCCCGAAGTTTCTCTCCCCCCGGGTTTTCCTCTCACCTCTAGTTTCGGGTGTTTTTGATGCTGTGTGACCCCCAAACAAACTTGTCGGTGACGGTGAATTATGTGCATTTTTTCTCTACGGATACACACTGTTGGCTTGATTCCTGCGGTGTTGGCTCCGCATAATGGAGGAGCTGTGCTGTAAATCAGCCCTGTCCTAGGAACAACTCGGCAATGATCATCACCGCCTCTCGGATCCGCCGTCTGTTGTCGTCGATAGTTGAGTGGCTACCCGTGCTTGCTCTGTCTGTTCCCGTCCGCGTATCAAGAACGATTTCTCGCATTTCAATCTCGTCAATCTCATTCCGCCATGAGCCTCTTTTTTACTGAAGCTGTGCCTGTCATTCAAACCCTTGACCTGAAATCTCTCCCACACGCCCCCCCCCCCTTGTTCATCTTCCCCATATTTCATCCCATCCAATCCCGCGTTACGGGCCACGCCGTCATCGTCAAGGACAAGTCAAACGGAAAAAGCAAAAAGAAAGAGTCCATCCTTCTACAGCTGAAGAGAAGCCAAGCTAGACAAACAAAGAGAATCCACCAGCTGAAAACAGTACTACACTAAACCCAGAATAATCTTCTTGACAACTCGACGAGGCGCCCGTAGCCATGTGCGTTTCCCAACGTCCCTGCATTCGGCGGCGGGCCGGGTTCGGCTAACCATTTCCTGTCTTTCTTGACTCCTTATTCCGTCTTGAAGAGCTCCGCAAAGTGGACAAGGTAGAGACACTCCAGTGTTTTCCTTTTTGCTCGGCACTGCTGTGTTGGCTAGGAAGCCGTTGTCTGTCAAAATAAATTACTTTCTTTTTTGCTTTCGGTATTTACGGGAACGAGGCTCTGATGGGAAACCGGCGAACGGCGATGTTTGACTCTAACCAATACGACATTGATGACTTGTTCCGAAACTCGAGTAAACTACGTGTACAATGTGGACTCTTTTACTCTCTCTTCCGAGTCTTTCCTAAGTTGTCGTCAATTCTCCCTCAAATCATCATCTATCGTGACAGCTTCTTCGTTCGATGCGGAGAGGTCCGACGAACGACGACGATAATAAGCGCTCCGACTAAACACACAGTCCGTGCCTTGGAAAATGTTCAATTGACAGCGGCATTATCTGCTATAGCACCCGACGTCCCTCTTCTTGGTACGTGCGAGATGAGAGTCGTCCACCATCTGCCCTGTTCTACCCCTCCATCGTTCGAGTGGCAGCCGCCGCTTCTTGTACATGATATCACCTAAGATTACTGCCCGTGCCCTGACAGGCATTGAAGCTATTCGCGCGCGGGCGACAGGCGAGGCGACGGGAACTTGCGGTTGCGCCTCGCATCTAGATACACGAGATGACCAGATCCGTTTACTCTGGTGGGAGACACAATCACCGCAGTGACCCACCAACTCAAGATGACACCTGAACAACAACATCAACAACGAAAAAGACTATTTTTAAATCACATACTTGGCCTCAACTCTTTGTTTGCTCCCTACCCTGCATCTACCTGCAAACGGCCGTCGTCTTTACCGTGTGGCGTTCATCCGGGACATGTCGATTCTCTTCCCCATGTCTCACTCGTCTCCTTTTACCTACATACAAGACACACACACGCACACACACAAACACGTATATCACACACTCCACAAGTTCTAGATTCCTGCAAACATGCATTTCGTATCCTGTAGTTATCCTCTCTTCTCCCCCCCTCACCAACGAACCGCCCGCTACCACCTGTGAGGCCCCCTCCAATCCCACCTTGCCTTTTCTTCGCCAGGAAAATAATTTGCCCCGGATGTGACACCTCATAAAAAGCTACATAGTAAAAACATGACGTCTCACAAAGCCTCAAATCGCCGATTGTGCGTGTGTGTAAACTCTGCTGCTGCCTCTTTTCCCCTCTTTCTGTCTCTCTCCGGGTTTCTTTGTTTGAACAGAGTTGATCATGTCCTCTTCCGTTGTTTGCCCTGCTTTCTCCTCAGTTTGCATCGAGATCTTTTGCTTCCTCCTCCTCCACCTTGACACATCCCCCTTGTAACTCGGTACAGCCCCAATTCTACCAATTAACCCAATTCGCGAATCCGAGCCGTCAATTGATTCGAAACCCCCCAAGTCAACGGATCCATCCTCTTGCGTCCTCGGCCTTCGGCTCTCAACTCCCAGCCCGTCGTCCCGTCTCGTCCCCCTCCATCCTCGTGCACTAGCCTCCAATCCAGATCCAGCACGTCCTGCTCCCACGTTTCCCGACGGGAGCCTCTTTTTCAGGACAGCCAAGACCGTAGGCGCTGCGTATAGCCCTCTGCCTGCAGGATCTAGCCTCTTCCAATCTCACTTCCCTCGTCTTGGCTTCCTCGTAGACCCTCCAAACGGCGCCTCTCGCTACCTCGCCTCGCCCACTGATCTTCACAGAGACTTTCCTCATTCTATACCCCGGGGACCCTCAGCTCGCGAATCTGCTGCCCTCTCCCCAAGGTTGGAAAGCAGCTCGCTCGTCTCGTCTCGCTCTGCCCGGCGACCTATCCTTGTTTGACAACAGGGGTTCCACTTCCACATGCCACAGCAAGGCCCAGAGTAAAAAGAGCAAACGTGTATCCCTACCCGGACACTCTCCCCGGAACGCCGAGGCTGGCCGCCGTCGTCTCCCCGCTCTCACATACCCGGACTCCGGATCAGCCACGGCGGCGCCGGGTCCCTACAAGTGGCGTTGGGCATTAATCTTCCAGCGGCACAGCACAAACTATTGTATCAAGACATGGATTTCCTTGCAAAGAGAGGCTGAAAATTTGCAAGTCATTGATCCGCAGGTGATTACCACTAGCTCAGTGACAGACGCCTGCTAGTGAGCAAGATGGAGATGGGCAAGCCCTAAACTGCAGGGACAAGGACCGTTATCAGTCAGAGATCGACGGCGCCAGCGTGTGTGACAACGGCTAGTAGCTTAACTAGCTTGTGAATATCCTCAATATGATATGAGATGACGGAATATCCCATTTCGTGCCCTTCTTTGGCCTTGCTTGTGTTCCATGAATCCGGCTCACCGGTCTGAATAGTGTCGTTTCCCGCCGGATGCCAGGTGTCCACCAGCCTCCCACCGTAGTACTAGACTAAATGCTTGGCCGCTGGGGTAATTATGTACAAAATTGGTATCTGCGTGGCAAACTGCAGGGTATCTTAATTCTAGACCTGCCTTGCCCCAAGCTGAAGTTCAGCTACGGGTATTCTCATCCGTTGGCATAGAACGACATGTCTGGAAGCACCGGTACTACGCAAACGAAAAAGGCCAATCTTCCCTTGTAGTTCTTCATGCTTAATCTACTGTCATTGTGTTCTTGACATCATCGTTTCCGCACTGTCGTCATGAGCTCTGAGTGTTCACGCTCCAATGTTGGTGCCCAGCTACCCTATTGAGGATCTCAGATGGACAACATGAGCCATTCATGTCACATTTCTTGTTCACGATACTACTTGTTCTCCAAGTTGGCTTCATACATGAACACAAAGGGTTGTTCCTGTCCAGAGATAAACACTACCTCATGTTCATGTTCCGCCTTGCGTCTTGCACATTGTCAAATGGCAGGTAGGCTTCTCCAAGTCAACCATATGTCCACTTCATCACTCTTGATCAGACATTGGTGGACCAATTACGGGTTGGAATTATGTACTACCAGTGAATCGACGCCATGGGCCTCACATATTGCCCATTGCGTTCATCTCATCTGTGAGGTTGAACATTGACACCACTCCAACACAACGGCCCGTACACTCACCGGTTTGGGCTCTAGCAATCGTTCTTTCTGAACTTGGTGGACACTCTCGATCTCTGCATGTGTTCACCAAAGTCTATCAGTTTCCGGGTCTTGGAACTTCCCAGATTCTGGCTTGTCGCCATTCATAAATTGCTCGACGCCATCACCTCTTACCGCCCCATGTACCTTCGAGGTGTCGCTCTTCTGATTCAGCCCGTTGACTTGACATGCATATAAGGCCCAAGCGTGCATATATCTAATTGGCTGTCTCTGTACCTGACATCTCTGAACAACGGCTCATCGCTCCAGTGACGAGACGGTCTTGGCCAGTATAGCTCACAGATCAACTGAGCAGACAGTGAAACACATCGTCTCAGTTTCCAGTTCCATAGAAGTTCTTCGGTCAGTAATTGCTACCTCCCATGTTCTGTCGAGTGTTGTCCCCCAACGGCGTTCTCCTACATGACTATTGAACTCTCTAAATAGCCATCGAACTACAGAGAACATCAATAGAACCAATTCGTAGAATCCATGTTCCTCATAGCAACTGATGAGTTCTTATCATCTTAACTCACATTCCTCAATGTAATTCACCTAAGTATACAAGGCCGTACATCGCCGCACATGGCCATCTCATGAGAGTACGCCTGAAGAACACCATGATGACAACCTCATCGGTGAAGAACAAACCCTTTTCTCACGACTATAAATTGGCTCAATGCCCCGCAAGCCGTCTATTCTCTCGCTTTGATTCTCCAAACCTACGCATACATTCGACGAGAGAGAGCAAACGACAAGACCAAAGCCAACCGTAACAACTCAACCACCACCAGCTTGCTCTTTCTTACACCACACCTTCTCCTGAGCCATCGTCATGTCTCAGAACTCTAACAACACCGCTCCTCGTGGCACTGCCCCAAAGGAGACTGACGAGTCTTCCGGCCAGGGCGCTGCCCCTAACATCGCCAACGGGGCCGACTCTGCCAACGTTGGTCGGCCTCGCAACCATACCCGCCGCTGCAACCCAAGCGATCTAATTATCGTCGAAGCTACTGACAAGGCCCCTAAGGAAGAGCCAGCCATGGCTCACCGCCGTGGCCGTCGTTGCAGCCCAAGTGACCGTGCCGTCATCGACTTCTCTGACGTGATCCCTGAGGAGGAGCCAGTCATGGTCTCCCACGAAGAGGCCATCGTCGACGATGAGTGGATCAAGGACTTCCCCAAGGACGAACAAAAGGAAGCCGACAACGAGAGTCATCGTGATTAGAACCCCGAGGCTCTCGACGACATGGTTCACATGGGCGTGGAGGTTCATTTCCTCGATGAGGATTATGAAGCTGACGACGAGTTCGAAGTCGTAGACCACCTCAGTTATGAAGAGATGGTCGATCTCGAGTGGCTCGACTATAATACCGTGGCTGACCTGTTCATGCTGTTCCCCCTGGGCTGTGTCGCCGTTGACCAGCTCGGTCGAGTCCAGCCAGGCCCTCAGTAAGTTTGACTGCATTGACAAGTTGTGGACTGTGACTGATTAAGTAGTGCCGACTTGACAAAGCAGCGCCCTGTGAGGCGGGAACATAGTAGCCCGGGCTTAAGAACACGAAGAAACCCGAGTGAACAATACCAAAGAACAGACAGGGGCCTTTTCCTATCTTAACAAGTTCCAATCACCGTAGACTGCTAGAGGCAAAAAGTGCCCGGCAGTGAGATAGATAGACAGATTCCTTAGATAGAGAATCACTAGACTAATAATAGACTTGTTTAAACACTTGTACCTCCATCAATGCGAATTGATATTGTTTTACACTCTGGCATCATTAGAAGTAAAGCTTTGTAGCTTGCCACCATCTGCCATCCATCGAGGCCTTCCGGTCCTCCCAAAATGCATAAACATGTCTAAACATGACCATGGCCCATTCATCAACACCTCGCCATGATCTGGACTCCTTTCTGCGCCTTGCTCCATCAGACTTGCCCCATCAGACATGAGGGTTTACAATCTCCCAGTCGCCCAGGGGGTGGCCCTCGCTTCCGCACATTGAAGGACTGTCAGTCGAATGTGCCCCCTTGTTAAGGACTCTTTCCAAGTTGGCATCAGAGCGGCTGCTGCTGGGCGTGAACGTGCCCGAGCCGCGCTCATCGGTTTCCAGACCGCCCGACGTTGAAGAGACAATGCTGCGCTCTGCGTCTCTCTATTCCGCATTTCGCTCTGTCCCTCCGCGCCAGAGGCCGTAGAATCCCTCGCAGTTCTTCCATAGCTTGATGGTTCCGTCTTCCGATCCAGTCGCGTACAGCTTGCCGTCGGGGGCAAATGCGATGGACCAAATAGGACCGTGGTGTCCCTTGTGCGTATCAATTTCCGTCTCGTCGTCGTAGCGAATCACCTTGGCCCACGTTCCGGGCTCCTCACCGACAACCAGCTTCCGGCCCTTAACATCAAGCGAAACGCTGGCAATCGTGTAAGGGAGAACGATGCGCTTCAGCTCGTCCATGGCCCGGTCACCGCCCCAAAAGTACACCGTCTTTCCAGCTGACACGGCAAGCACTGGCTTTCCGCCGCCAATGTCGTTGGGCGAGCTGTATTCAGGTGCCAGCGAGACCATCTCACAGGACTTGATGTCTCCATCAAGCACCTCATGACGGATGCAGGCACGGCTTGGCAGGTCGAGCCATCGAATGGTCTTGTCCGAAGCGGTAACGACAATGTTGGGGTCCTGGGTCCAGCAAATAAACTTGATGGAGCCGGTGTGAACACCCTCGCCAATCTCGAAACCTGCCGAGGCGGGAATGACGGCCGGAGATCCAGAACCGGCGGCAGCGAGCTCCGTCAGGTCAAAGACACGAAGCTTCTTTTCCATGCCACCCGTGGCGACGAGGTCAGAGTTGTCTGGGGGGTATGCGACAGCGCGAACAATGTGGTCGTGCTGAAGGGTGTACAGCAATTCGCCAGTGTGAGTGTCCCAAATCTTGCTGCACCAGCGTAAGCAACACCGATGATCCAAGTTGAAAGAAGACTTACGCAGTAAAGTCGGCCGAGGCTGTAGCAGCGTTCGAGTTGTTGGGGCTTAGTCTGGCTTGCCAAACAGCACCCTTGTGACCGATAAAGGTGCCGATCCTGGACGAGTCAGAGGGGCCAAGAGACTTGAGGATCAAGTTTCATACCAGTCGCCAGTGAGACCATCACGGAGCATTGGATTGCCATCTAGTGCGCAGTCAGCACTTATCCTGCACGAGAGAAACAAGCGGCTCACCTTTGCAGGCCGAGATCATGTAATACGTATCATCCTTTTCCAGGGTGGAGAACGCAATGTGAGGAACGGGTCGGGAGTGACCGTGACAGGTCAGAGGAACATATTGTCTAGGTTCAGAAGCCATCGCGACAGAGTTGAATGTCGAGGAGCAACGGTTGTGTTTCTTGCCGAAGCCGAGGGAAGGTCTAGGCAGATTTTTGGAAGGATGGCGCGAGGCGAGGCGAGATCGTGAAACGGCAGGAGACGTCTGGCCTGATGGGACGGACGTCAGAGGTTCAAGTCAAAGGAGAGTATTGTTCGTAACGGTCGTTAAGCTTCGTGAAGAGCGGTCTGTGTCGTGACTCGTGGGAGCAATTGTCGCGTGTCGTCGCAGGAGTGTGGAGCGTCTAGAGCAATGACGGAGTTTCAAGGAGGGGAAAGCGAAGAGGATCGGAGACGGTGAATCAATCAATCAATCGTGATGGAGTCTGGGCGTATCGTGTCGCAAGGCAAAGCAAGCCGTAGAAGCGTGATCGTGCCCCAGATCAAAGCCCCCGCTGAGGTAGAATCAAGGGAAGAGAACAAAAAAGAGAAGAAGAGAGGCGGAGAAGAGGAAGAAGTAGGCGGTGGATGGATGGATGGATGGATGGATGGAATTTGTCACTGGAAATCTTCGCGAAGGAAGGACAGGGCAGGCATGGCAGGGAACAGCGGCGCGCAATCCAAAGAAGGAGGGTCGCGCTTGCCCAACTTGTACAGCGGGGTTGAGCGGTGGAGCCTCAAAGCCTGGCATGGAAGGAAGTCTCGAAAACGGGCAGGTGTGACGGACTGATTCTGCACCGCCACAGGGCGGGGTAATGTCATGTCCTCAATTTGGCAGCCGACAGCACTAACAATATTCGTACTGCAGTCTGAGAGTCTATCAACGGTTGCAGACTACATCAAGGTCAATCTGAATAGCAAGGCATGTCGGATTATGCCTTTTCAAGCTTCGCTCTCTCAATATCCTGAACCAGCTTCATCGTCTTTTCCCGCCACGGATCTCCAACAGCGCAGGCCCACTCCTGCTCCACCCAAGCTCTAACCCCCGATCTCGGTGCGTCGCGGCCGTCCAGCAAGCAGAGCACAGCTCTGATCAACTGTGAGATCTCAGGCTTTCCAAGCCCAGAAGAGAGACCAAGATGGAACCGACGAGTAAGCTCACTTCCTGTCGCCAAGTCTGCAAGATCTGCTCTACCCTGACGCCTCAGGCACGTGGAGAGAAGCTTGTCATCTACACAAAGACCTGCAACCCCTCTATGCAGGTTCCTAAGGTTGGCCGTGAACAAAGAAGGTCCAAACGCCTCGCGCGGTGGAACAAAGCGCGCATGCTGCCAGTTAATGACGGCAGTGATGTTGTAGTTCTTGTCGACAAGTAGATGATCCCCGATATCGCCAGCGTGCTTCAAGTAGAACCCACCAATGCGCGAAGGGGGGGTTGCCAAGATGGGAGCAGCCCGATCTCTCAGCATCCGGTAAAACACAAATGCCTCTTTGGGATATTCTGGGTAGAGCTGTCCGTCTGCAATTAAATGTAGATGGTACTCTGCGATCGAGGTAAAATAGTCTTGAGATGTGTGGAAAGGTCCATGTTTTTCAAGTGTACGGTCCCGATTGCTCGCGATGGGTCCATGTCTGATCATTCCGTCGCGTGGGACGAGGGAGAAGGCTTGCGTTCGAGGATGACGGCTAATCTCGATGAGAATTCTAGCGTATTGGTTATAGACATGTGTCTTTTGTTCGTCGGTGGCTAGTCGAGGGTTGAATGGCTGTCCTGGCATGGCATCTTCGAGGATATAGCTCACCCCGACTAGGTTGTCAGGATCAGAAGCGAGTCCATACCCATGAACTCTTGGGGTAGGAAATCTGAGACCCTCCAACCATTTGAGCGTAGCGTACTCGCTCTCGACTATGTACTCGGCAAGGTCGGAGGGAGTATCTGCAGAGGTTGCGTTCCGAGGTATTCGAGCGAGCCATACGACTCTGTCTTCAAAGAGAATCCAAACATGGTAATTCGAAGTGCCCATAATTGAACCACCGACATAATTTCCAGAACAAAACATGCAACGTTTACCGTGGTGGAGAGAACTGGCAACTTGCAAAAGCTGATACGCATTCACTTGGGTAAGGAGAGCCTCAACCTCCCTGTGCGCTTCTGTCTCCTCATCATCATCGACCTCGTCTCATTAGCACATGTCTCAGAGACAAGTTCCTTGACAAGAACTTACATGGTTGCCTAGAAGACAGAAGTGGTACTGTGGAAGAATATGAATAGCACACAAGTCATTCCAACAAGAATGGCATCTTCGTCCGCGGACGCTTGATCGAGTGCAGAATAGGTATGAGCATGTAGCGAAACGAGGGACCTCTGGGATAGGATTTGAGACTCGAGTTGAAATCTCTTGGGAGTGGGCGGACACGAAAGGGTCGTCCTTCCACTCGATCAAACTGGCATGCCACCACTTGTCCCAATCGAGAGGCTGGCCTTCAAATGTGGCAACCAAGCCTTGAAATGCGTCGATGGCCTCATCGTGTTCAAAGCTCACCGCCATCCCTAAGCCAAACAGCAGTCGACGTATCTCATCAGACTGAAAGAAGCAGAATGGTGATCCACGGCGTTGTAGTTCTCGGCCCAAGATCCTGTCCTCGTTGGTCAGTCCGACCTGGCCGAGGAACATATCGTCATTGTCTGCAGAGATGAGGGAAGGACCAAAAGTCTCGAATGGTGGCACTATTCTCGCAAAAGTCCAGTCAATGACGCCTGTGATTTGAAATTCGTCGTCGACCAGGAGGTGGCTGCCTTTATCGTCGGGGTGCTTGAGGAAAAAGGGGCCCGAGTTGAGATCTTTCCATCTGTCGAGCCAAGGCCCAGTCTTAAGCTGTCGCAGAATGTACTTGAACATGATGTACGCATCAAGAGAGAAATCGGAAAATATCTGCCCTTCAGTGATGATCTTGAGGTTTGCAACAGCCCAAGAGCTATAGAGGTCCTTGGCATGTTGGAATGGGCCCATACAAGGTAGCATTGCCGTGCTGTCGCTTGCCATGGGACCGACTTTGATTGTTCCGTCAGAGTCAAACCTCAAGGATCCCGACTCTTGAAAAGGGTGCGAGCTCAGAGTGCAGAGGACATCTGCCCATTGGCCTAAAACTTTGGTCTTTTGCTCCTCGGAAGCTGAGTGATAGTTGAAGGGTTGTCCAGGCATCTTGTCGATGAGCATAAAGGCAACGCCGACCTCGTTCTGGGGATCATTGTATAGACCATACCCATGTAGACGTGGTGCAAGTACATCGACAGACTCGAGCCATCGAAGTGTTGCGCATTCACTAGCCAGAATTTCGTTGCCAAGTTGGTTGTCAAAAGACCAGTATGTCTCTCGAGGAATTCTGGCAAGCCAAGCAGTCCCATCCTCAAAGATCAGCTGGAGATGGATGTGTCTATCACCCATCATCTGGCGGCCCATGGGGTCTTGACCGTTGAGTTGACATGGTTTGCCTCCAGAAAGCTCTGTTGCAAGCCGGACGAGAGCATCATGATTGATCTTGTTGCTCAACGCCGTCAACTCTGCCGTCTTGGCAGCGATCAGTTCGTCACCATCCAGGGGCGTATCCTTGAGATAGGCTTAGAAGATTGAATTTTGGCACGGGACATGCACCTCACCTCGCACGTGTGATGGATCGAATCAACATGGTTTGAGCAGTACATGGACTGGCACCGCTCACAGCCTCCGATGTCGATAGCAGCGTCTTGGCATCCGGCAACGGCGCAAGCCCAATAGGGGAACATGGCGTTGGAAGTGGTTCAGGACGAAAAGATAGTATTCAAGTAGGCTGGTCTCGGCAAAGACAGTCCCGAGGAGAAGCCAGTCCCGAGGAGAAGACAAGCCTCGACTGAGCGTATTTGGACAGTGGAAGACGGTGTGCTGGGAGGGAGAGGACAACAATATAATGGACAAGCACGGCAGCCATTTTCACTCGGTGAGACATGGCGACCAATGACTTCTGAGACATGAGAAAAGGTTGGCGGAAAGACTCATTGTATTGGTTCCCCGCATTGTGACCATGTGTGATAGCCTTTTTGTTCGGGTATTGCAAGATTAGAGGGGGGTCGGCCGCTGTGTTTGAGGCGATAAAGGTCTTGGACCGGCTGCATCCCGTCGTCTCCACCACATCGTGAAGGTGTCGATGACATTCGCTAACGCCCCTTGACTGCAGGGTTGAAATAGCCTGTGAGGGCGGGACGGGACGGGATGAGGGTGAACTTTGAACGAGAAAGCCTTTCCGCCGCGGAGCCGGGCCAGAACCTGAAGCGGAGGTGGAGGTGGCTGGTGTCGGTGACGCAGTGTGGCTGGAGCTCCTACAACGAGGGGCTCGGCCCAGCTCCGACGGGACTGCCCATCCCGCCATGTATCATCCATCTATCAGCTTCCATCATCGACCATCCTTGAGTACGACGTTACGATTTGTCAAGCTCTTAACAATTTCCAAGGCTGCACTGCTTTCATTGTTCTTTGGCATTTTCCGTTGTTAAGAGATAGCAGGCCTTGTCTTTCCTTGCCTATAATCACCACCTTGCCCCTCACAGAGCGGTGTCCCATACTCCTCAACCCCAGACCAAGATGGCCGACTTTAAGTTGTCGGCGCAATTGGTTGGCCATGAATCCGATGTGCGCTTTTCGTATATATCCAAGACCTTCAAGTACTGACAGTTCTCTTAGGTCCGGGCCGTCAGCTTCCCTTTCCCCGATACCGTCCTAACTGCCTCCCGCGACTGCAGTGTACGTGTATGGCGTCGCACTCAAGACTCCCCTCCATCGTTCGATCCATCCCTTCTTAGTCGCGGCTCCGAATACATCAACTCTATCGCCTACTTTCCCCCCTCAAGCGATCGTCCAGATGGTCTCGTCTTGTCCGGCGGAAAGGACACCATCATCGAGGCCAAGTCACCCAAGGCAACCAGCTCCGACAACGCCGAGCGTCTTCTTGTCGGACATGCTCACAACGTCTGCGCCCTCAACGTCGCACCAAACGGTACATATGCTGTCTCTGGCGGCTGGGATGGTCAGGCTCGTGTGTGGAATCCCCAAAAGTGGGAGACGGAGCTCATGCTCACGGGCCATGAGAGCATGGCGGTCTGGGCTGTTGTTGCGGTGGATGACCGCACCGTGTTGACAGGTTGCGCCGACAAGAATATTCGCATCTTTGATCTGCGACAATCTGTAGCAGGAGAGGTGTCGCCAAAGTCAACAATTCACACACCTGACGTTGTCCGTGCTCTCGCTCTGGTACCCGAAGGCCACCCCAGCGGCGCGGACATCGCGAGCGCCAGCAATGACGGAACGATTCGCTTGTGGAAGTTCAACGGCCAGCAAGTCGCTGAACTCCACGGCCACGAAAGCTTTGTCTACAGCTTGACCACCCTTCCCACTGGCGAGCTTGTTAGCTCTGGAGAGGATCGAACTGTCAGGATATGGAGGGGCACCGAGTGCGTCCAGACCATCACCCACCCCGCCATCTCGGTGTGGACGGTGGCAGCCAACCCCGAAACCGGCGATATTGTTACAGGCGCGAGTGATAGCATTTCTCGCGTCTTTACTCGAAGTCCCGAACGGACAGCCGACGAGGCGACACTCAAGGAGTTTGAGGAGTCTGTCAAGTCGTCGTCGATCCCTCAGCAACAGGTTGGAGGCATCAACAAGGAGAAGCTTCCTGGCCCAGAGTTCTTGACCTCCAAGTCTGGCACCAAGGAGGGTCAAGTGCAGATGATCAAGGAAGATAATGGCGCCGTGACAGCTCACACGTGGTCCATGAGCCAGCAACAATGGGTCAACGTGGGCACTGTCGTTGACGCTGTCGCCAGTACAGGCAAGAAGGTCGAGTACAAGGGACAGATGTACGACTACGTCTTTGACGTTGACATTGAGGATGGAAAGCCTCCGTTGAAGCTCCCCTATAATCTTTCTGAGAATCCTTATGACCGGGCAACCAAGTTCCTTGGCGATAATGAGCTGCCCATCTCATACCTCGACAACGTGGCCAACTTTATCACGGAAAACACCAAGGGAGCTACTATCGGTCAGACATCTGGGCCTAGCGGACCTGATCCTCTTGGAACTGAGTCGAGATACCGACCTGGTGAGGATACTCAGCCCAAGGTTCTCCCTCAAAAGGAGTACCTCAGCATCACGGCTGCCAAGTATGAAGGTAATTAGCTCCCTGTCTCGATCTCATAGCAAAGACTAATATGTTCAACAGCAATCTTCAACAAGATCCTCACCATCAACAAGAACATGGTCTCTTCTGGCCGCAAAGACGCAGCCCTCAACCCCTCAGACGAATCTCTCCTTGCCGACCTCCGCTCTGCCCTTGAATCCTCCAGACCAGTCCCTCAAACCGCTCTCCCTCTGCTCGTCCGCATCCTCACCCAATGGCCCTACTCGGACCGCCTCGCCGGTCTTGATCTCCTCCGCTGCGTGGCAAAGTACCCTCTGGCTGCGCAATTCTCCGACCCGGAGGTTGGATCTCTTCTCGACCTTGCCATCGCGGCAGCCCTGCCAGACGGCGAGAAGCCTAGCGACAACGCTGCCATGATGGGTCTCCGAACGCTCGCAAATATGTTTGCGTCGGCTAATGGCCGCTCCATCATCAGCGCGCAGTCAGACAAGGCCATCGCTCTCCTCGAGCGTGTCGTCGGCGTCTCTACAGACCCCATCGGCCCCTACAACCGCAACGTTCTCATCGCCACCACCACAGCAGCCATCAACCTCTCCGTCCTCGTCCACCGCGAGCGTCTCCTCACACCAGACCAGCGTCGCCGTTTGGCTATCGTCTTGGGTGCCATCATATCCCGCGACGGCCAGACCGACTCGGAGGTGCTGTATCGCGCCCTGGTAGCCTTAGGCACTCTTCTCTCCGCTTCCAAGGCCGAGATCAAGGGTCTTGGCGTCAAGGGGTGGATCCAGGGTGCCGCATCCGGCAGCGTAGAGGACCGCGTCAAGGCCGTCGCTGCCGAGTGCGCCAAGCTAGCTCCGTAGATGTGATTGTGACGAGAACTGTAACTCGGCGGCTATTGGGGGCCGCCAAGCCGGATGGATCTGGTTCCACTCGAGATTCCAGACGGATATACGGAGGTTGTACGTGTACGGATACATAGAAGTAGAAGCATTCAGAGAATACATGGATCCATCTGAAGTTTGTGCTCCATTCGTGAACTATGTAGTTTTCTCTCGTGTCAGAACCCAACCCATCACTCGAAATATTACCAATATCACGTCTCGTCATTCACGGGATTCTCAATGTTAAACTTCATAATCGTAGATTCATGTCTCTTACATCAAGACACCTCATCTCATCCATTTCCTCGAGATGAAACCACCCACATCAGGACTCTAGTCCAAAAAGGAATGAAGTAAAGAAAGAATAAATAGCTCCTCCAACACCGTAACAGAAACTTGCGATATCATCTAACCCAGACTTGGGGGGGTGTATTATCAGACAGTAGAAGAACTCCTCAGGGATATATAATTCCCCCATTCCGTAAAAACGCCATGCGTGAATTTGCCCAAATATACATATTTTTTCTTGACTCTTGCACGTCATATAGCTCATGCGAAAGAGAGAGCCCATAGAGCGGTTCCTACAAGAGGTAGTAGGGTAGCCCAGCTCACTTGATGAGGGGCATGTGCGCTCGAGTCTTTGACGTATTCGTCTGTGCCGGATTCCTTGGTGGTGATGGTAAAGACCTCTGCGAAGCCAATGTCGGTCGAGTTGAAGCAGTTGGTCTTGTTGACCTCGGCTAGTCTCTTGTCTCCGGGTTCGGCAAAGATGATGTCGACGCACTAGGATATTGTTAGCTTGAAGCTTGCTCGAGTCCGTTTTGTATCTTTACGTACAGAGTACAGGGCAGCGCCGTGGATGGCAAGCTCGACAATCTGGATAGTTGCCTTGTCGCCAGCCTTTACTGTCGTGTTCTTGGGAAGAGGCACTTGAGGGAGACAGATGGTTCCGGGGAAGGGGTTGTTGGTGGGACCGAGAATCTGGAACTGGGGAACCATGGGGAGGGTCATGTTGGCAGGGCCACCGTCTGGGCCGTCATCGCCGAATCCCATGTTGATGTAGGCAAAGGCAGTCTCGTGGCCTCGGAACCATCCAGGCTGGAAGGCAATAGCTCCTCCTCTCGTGGGCCAGTACGTGCGGTTCTGTGTTACGTTGTGTCCGCCACCTGCGCGAGTCAATGGGGTCGTTCAGGGAGAAGTTTGAGGAGGTAGGTCACGTACAAGGATACATCCATTGCATTCCGTAGGGAAAGGTTGCGTTGGTGATCAGGTTGTTTCCTCTCCATCCTGGGTAGGTAATGACACTATGTGCCGATACGACGGCCGCGAGGACGAGGGTGATGAGAGCTGAAGAACGCATATTTGCTGTGTTCTGATAGTTGACGAGAGGTTTGTCGAAAACTGCAAGCTCAGAGTAGTGGTTCGATCGAGCTGTATTAAGAGTGGTTGGTCTCTTCTCGCTCAACAGACAAGTCGGTGATGCTTGGTCCCAAGAATTCAAGGCTCAGCCTTCTTCAGTTCTTGGACATCTCAAGCAGGCTGACAACTTTGCAGGGAAAAGGAAAAATGTACGGTTGACGAAGCGCTAGAGTAAAAAGATCCAGAGTGAAAGGAGGAGTCGATTGCTGGGCGGCCGCATGGGCGTGGGCAAGTCTTAAGGCAGCTGGGGGCCATAATCCAGCCGCCCGACCTTGCATGCAAGCACTTGTCCCTCTGAGAGGAAAAAAGACCCCAGTGTGATGGCGCGGAGCGGCCCAGTCAGAGGCCGTTGAACAAGGGCCGCGATGCATCTCGGAGGGTGTGACCCCTGCCTCACCCTGCTGCGTGTCGCCAATGAGAGACGACGTCGAGGTGACTGGCGCACGTTGCGGCGGCGTCTTTGCTGGTCCTAGAGCTCTGGTTGGACAAGATTTAAGCGCCGGCACTATGCCAGAGATGGGGGGAATTGGGGACAAAGCGTCCAATGATTAACAGCTAGAAGGGATTGGAGCAGGGGTAGCACATCGGAAGTGTTGGCGGGATGGAGGGGCGATAAACCAGGGGACACGAAGCCGGCGGGGATGGGGAGGTTGGTTGGCAGGAAGAGACCTTTTTCGAGGCCAGAGATAGGTTCGCAAGAGGACATTTAACTGCCGCTCCCCCTTCCACTATCGACTGACTTTGGGATCGGATCGGATGAGTCGAGCCGGTACTGCCCTTTTTTGCCGTCGAAGCGCATTGCCCACATCCGCGCAGCCGCCAAGATCCATCCATGTGAAAGGCTACATGTCCGAGGAATCCGTTCCCGTCAGCAAAGAATGCTCTTTTTCACTTTTGTACCCTGCCGCAACAGGTGACTCTCCTGTGATACCGAGAATTCAGGATGCAACTCGTTCGATCATAGGCGCCGGTAACACAGTCACACCGAACGACAAAGTGGCACTGTCGTGAAATATCGGTGTCGCGGTGGGATATTCAGCGCCATTGTACGCAAGACGCGCAATATTGTAACAAGGACAAAGACCGTAAATGGCATGAGATGATGAACTTTGTAAAAACACAATTGTGAAAATCTGTAGCTTGGAAAATATCGGCATTGGCTTTGTCCCGAGTGTTTGGGAAAAAGACGCCACCAGAGAGATCGACGAAACGGCAAGTCCCTCACCGAGCCACTCACCGAACTTCACCTTGAAGGTGGGGTCGGGAAATCTCAGCTTCTTGAACCACCTCGCACAGTCAAGTGCAGCAGATTAGACTACCCTAGACCGTTTGCCTTGGGTGTTTTAATCATTATTTCTCTTCTCGGCGGACTGTTGGAGGATATCTAGACTTTCACACCAGTCCTTCATCATGCCCTCTCAAGACAAACCCGACTCTCAAGAATGGACACACGTCACACGCAAATCTCGAAAATCCCGTACAAAGAAAGCCTCATCTCACACGCATATCAACTCCCTCCCTATAACACCCCGCACCGACAACCTTCGCTCCCCCTCAGACCTCGAAGCCGACTACCACCGTATCCGTGACCGCTGGGAAGCCGAACCACCCTGTTCACGTCTCCGTGAGCTGGTCTCGGAAAAGGCGTCTCACCTCAAGACTGTATCCCGAGCAGTGAATCTCGGAGTTGGGACGTTTGATCCAACTGATGGCTCTTGGGAGGCCAAGAGATCGGCGTTTGTGCAACTCGCTGCGTTCCTGGTCATGGTAGAAGAACTAGGTTAGTCAACCTCAACCTCAACCTCAACAGACACTTGGACTCATGTATCTCTATAGAAAGGATAACGGACAGAAAGATAGACTGCTTCTTTCAAGATCCCGTCTTCAACACCTCAGACAAAGCTTTTCTCAAAAACTTAGGCCACACAGTAGTCGAAACACCAGCAGGCTGCGAGATGATTGACCAAGACACTCTCTTCTTCGGAGTCCACCTCTACAAACCCATCTACGCCATGGCACTAGAAAAACACCTACCTGCCATCTTTGTAGGAACAGGCTGGGAAGTTTGGGACGAGTGAGTTGTTTGTTCCGCCCCCTTTTTGTTGTTCTGATGCTGATTGATTTGTAGCTTGTTTGCGACGGAGGGTCTTGAGAGGATGGAAAAGATGCACAAGTCTTATGACAAGAGTGAATTCCCGCAAGAGTCTTTTGACTCGGCCTTTTCGAGCACGAGTATCTACTGGAAGTCGATTGAAGAGCCTGAGACTGTGTCTGAAAAGGGGCCTGAGGGGGAGAAAGAAAAGGAGGGAGAGGAAGAGAAGGAGAAAGAGGAAAAGAGAGAGGGAGAGGGTTCTAGCAAAGATGAATCTACAACTACTTCATAACCAATCCCCTCACAAGTTTGTACCGCCTATCCTCATTCCGTAGTCCAGCACTGCTGGTATCTCGACCGAGTGTGAATCACGGCCTGTAAATGCTTAGGGCTGAGACTCAGGATTCTCCTCCGACTCCTTACCTAAGTCATGATCCTCGAGCTCTTCTCAGCCCCTTCTCAAACTCTTCTTCACCATGATCCTCAGGCTCTCCTAATTATCCCTCCTTCATCTCCCCTCACAATCATCGAAGTCTCCTCTAGCCTTTCTCCATCGCCTTTAGAGAGGTCCTCAGCGTCTCTTCTAATACTTCTTCCTCTTCGCTGACGACCATCAAACACTTCTCAAACTCTTCCACCTCCATCTTCTCTGACAATCCTCAGAACCTTGTCTAACAATCTCTCCTTCATCCCGATCCACCATCCTCAGAGCCTCCTTAGGTCATGCTAAGAGTTTTCTTTACCTTAAAATCCCCAAAGCCTTTCCTCTTTCTTTGCTCAGCATCCTAACTTTGACTTCATAAATCTACTCAGAGCCTCCTCCAAGATTTTCTTCTTTACATTAAACCTCAATCGTCCGGTCCCTCTCAAGACCTCTTCCTCCTTCATCCTCACCACCTTCAAGACTAATCAACTCAACTACATTCAACCACGACATCAGTTGTCGCTTACCGATTGATTCTTCCCATATCCGGCAATCGCCAGCATTTTTCGACGTTTCCCCCCAGAAAACAAATTCGACTCGCGTTTTACTGTTCAGTGACGTCTCCCGTTCCCTTCAAGCTACCCCCACCATCAGAGCTCCTTCCTTCCTTCTATTCCATCAACAACCCCAACGCAAACGTCAACAATTTTCTTCAAACAACTTTCACAAAGCTCTCAATCCCTCATCCAATCAACCTCACCAACCTTCGTCAACGCTCCTCACAATGGCCGACTCTCCCTCCTCAGACGACGCCAAGCGCCCTAACCCCAAGTTGCGTGAGGCAGAGTACCAGTCCCTCTGGCAGGTCTGCGATCGCACCGCTCGCAAGAACGAGTACAAGTACGCCGACTACGCTACCCGCAGAGCTATCCTGGAAGATGCCTGTCACGCTCTCATGAACAGACGGTATGTCTATCCTCCTCTAACCTCTAGCTCATCGTTAACTAATACATTTGTAGTCGCGACGGAGGCAAGATCTTCTGCGGCACGAGTATCCCAGAGATGGTCGAGCGTCACCTCAAGCGAGAAGCCCACTCTCGCATCATTCATGAGGCTCGAGTCACGGGGCAGCTGCCAGATTCCCCTGTGCAGGCTGCTAGGACTGTTCGGTCCGCCACCCCCCAGGGCACCATGGCCGACCCTCAGCCTACGGGTTCCCGCATCGGCCTCCCCTTCGGCAACAGCCAGCCCTACGCCGCCAACATCGATCCCAACCCTCTGACCCTCCGCAACGAGATCGTCGCCTTGCGTCAGGAGCTGGCTCGTCAGTATGAGGATCAACAGGCTATCATTTCCAACATGCGGGGTCTAGCTGCCCGTCTCACCATCGTCGAGAACGAGCTTGTCGAGCTTCGTGGTGGCCAGGGCCACGGTAGGCTTTCGTTCAACGAGATGGATGTCCATCTCAGACAGACAGACCTTGCTTCCCGCCCCCGATCGGTTCTTATGGGCGAGAATGGCCTCCATCATGTCAGTGAGCATGAACAGAGAGGTGCTGCTGCTACCCAGATGACCGAAGGCGACATCCACTTCCGACCCAACTACACCTCCGAGAGCGAGGCCCGTCACCGGGCTCCCGGCCTGTTTCCGCACAGCACCTATCCCGGCCCCCTGTACCCCGATGAAGGCGTCGAAGGTCCCGGCTTCGGCCTCGGCGTCGGCTCCCGACCCCGGGAGAGACACCCCATGACGACCCGGAGCCATGCTCACAGCCAGGAGGACCTGGATCGACAGAACATCTAATGGGAGGCCAACGTTCTTCTAATGGGAGGCTAACGGAGCTCTAAATGGAGGCTAAATATCTGGGCTATTAGGCCCTTGGAGTTCAAGGACGGGGGGAGTTATTTGCAAAAATGGTGGGCTGAGAATTATGGATGAAGATAATGATGATGATGACAATTGATATACCCGACATGAAAGGCTGCAGATTAAAAGTAGCTACCTCTAAATACATGGGAATGGGCAAACTCTATACAAGAAAAAAAACTTGACTTTCAGCTGTGTCTCAGCCCCATACACTTCAAGACCGATGAATAGGGGGAAAAGAAGAATGCTGTGAAATGTACGTCCATTTGTTGCGGTTATGCACCAACTATATAACCCAGCGAATCATGGCTCAAATCCACCCCCTTTCCCATAAAGATCCCATTCGTACCAGTAGCCCATCTCTCTTTTTGAAACAGACAGACACAGACAGAATTACAACATACATAAGAACAGTTTTTACCCGTTTGTCCCTCGGGGCCCGGAACTCCAGTTGCAACAACGCAGAAAACAGAGATTAAGACACCAAACCGTGGGAAATCTGTTGGTTGTAGCACAACATCCGACAGATGATCCCTCTCCCGAGAAAAAAGATTCGACCCAGTACCTTGTGTGTATCGTTTCGCTAAAAAAGAAGCAAAGAAAATGTCGAGTTGGTGATCGTAGTCGTAGTCGTCTAGGCAAAATTCTTGTAGTCTTTGATCGTCTTGCCACCACAGCTCGGAATCTTGACGCCGTCCTTGAGCTCGCGGTTGACCGTCATGAGACCCCACTTGTCCTCCCACTCCTTGCCCTTCTCGTTAAACTTGATCTTCCAAGGCTCATCGAACGCCTCGAACCAAAAGTAGTTCGTCCCGTTCGTGAGGGCCTGGCAGACCCAGTTGTCCATAAAGGTGTTTAGCTCATCAATGCCAGCGACGGATCCCTCGGTACATGTGGTTGCTTGACCGCACGTCTTTCCGCCGGCAGTAGGCCAGCCTGTCTCTGAAATAATGTTCTTCTGCTTGTCTGATTTCCAGTATGGGCCGTCTCGGACCTCCCAGAAGTTGTATGTCCACGCAGCAGCCTCTTCCGCGGTGACGCCAGCAAAGAAGGGGTGGATATTGGCCATGATATAGTCACTATCCTTGGCCAGCTCGTCTGTCCAGTCGTCGCCCAGATCCGAGGTAGCAACAGGGAGGTCCAGGCTCTTCTTCTTGAGTTGAGTTCGGGTATCGTCCAGAATCTTGGCCAGGCTGGTGATCGTCATCTCCTCACGGAACAGAATCTCGTTGGCAATGATGATACCCTCGAATGGTTTATCTCCGTACTCGTCCAGAATATCCCACATCTGTTCCAGTTGTCGGTCGTTGGTGGTCTCGTTCTTGTCTAGCCACACTCCCAGCCAGACCTTGGTGTCGGTCAGTTCCAAACGGTCGATGGCGTGCAAAAGCATCTGTGTCTGGTTGCAGTCGGTTCCGTACAGACGAATCTTGTTGGTCAGTTGGCCCAGTACGGCCACATCGCGGGTAATGTTGTTCTGAGACGGCGGGTTGTGCATGCAGTCAGGGTACTGTGAGTTGAGAGGCGTATAGTCGATACCGGGGAACACTCGGTGTAGGTCAGGGTTGTTGAGGAGCTTCTGGATCTCGGCACTGCTCTTGCCAAGGTCACCGTTCTTCTTCTCATCCTCCTCTGCCGACTGCCCCTTGCCGCCGCCGCTGCTGCTGCCGCTTTTGCTCTCATGGTTTCCATTGTTGACCACACCACCAACAACACCTCCCACGATGGCGCCCACGATGACGAGGAAGACGCCCACGATGATGATCCACTTCCACTTCTTGCCTCTTTTGTTTTCGTTTTCCAGCCAGTCAGAAGGCTTCTCGTGGCCAGCATTCATCTCGTAACCTCCGCCGCCGCCGCCGCCGCCTCCGCCTACACAATGTTAATGCAAGTTGTCAGTGTCGTGACAAGCAACTCACCTCTATTCCCCATCAGGCCTGCAGCGGCCGCACCACCTCCAACCGCCGCAGCGCTTGCAGCCGGGATCTTCTTCCCGCGGTCCGAGTGGGACAGGCTCAGCATTGAATTCCTTTGGCTCTTGCCGTATGTAAGTCCATCATCTCCATCGTCGACAATCTCGTGAGGATTCACGACGCCCAGATTGGCACTGCCACGCGAACTGTTGGCATAGTATCCGCCGGGGGGGTATGGATTGTTGACGTAGGGATCACTTCCGTTGAAGTGAGATGTTGAGCCGGAACCTGGCGGCCCTCCAGGCGCGAGACCAGCCAAGCTTGACTGTGACGGTCCGTGTGCGCCATTGTCGTAGGAAGAATCGTAACCGTATCCACCATTCGAATCGTAGGGGTTCTGTTGAGATCGGGAGGGGGGCGGGGGCAATCCGGTGCGCTCCATGGCGTCCATGCCACTATTGCGAGGGTTACGGTCAGCGACGTCCCAGGCAATTCCCGCCATGCCACCAGACGCAGACTGGCCAAAGTTGTCTGCGCCGGGCGTTGTGTTAGCGTTTGGGTGGGCATACCCCATGTATCCGGCGCCGCCGGCAGCAGCAGCAGCGCCGCTCCCTTGGTTATAGTAGCCTTGATCGTGATGCGAAGGCGACGGTCGTCGAGGGCTGTCATAGCCAGCAGAGCCACCAGAGTATGGTGAGGCCGAGCGGCCTTGGCTATAGTTGTCTTGAACAGGCTGCATGCGATTGAATGCAGAGTCGGGGTGAGCGCTTGGGTGGTGTGCCCTCACGGGAGAGGGAGCGTCGTAGTAGGGCGTGGGAGATGGTGGTGAGTAGTGGTTCTGAGGTTGGTTGGGATGTCGCGGAGAGGATTCGTAGTAGTTTTGAGAGTCGAGAGGTTCACTCTCATAGTGATCGTTACGGTAATGCTGCATGGTGTCGACAGCCGAGGACGGTGGGATGGGATGACGATGAGCGAGGGGGAGGCAGTGCCAAGCAAACAGATGGATGGATGGATGACCCCAGCCGTCAAAGAGAGAACGGCTCGGCGAGTCGTATGTCTCGGCAAATGACTTGATTTCGATTTGCGGTGCGGGTTGAAACGAGTGAGAGACGCGGGTGAGAATGCGGATACGGACGCTGACTGCGCTGCAGTAAACGAACGAGCGGCGCACGAAAAAGAAGACGCAGTCAGAGTCGAAAAAAGGTGTGTATGCAGGAAGAAAGGTTGTTGATGAGGTTGTTGGAGAGCAACGGCCCAGTCCATGCATGAGCGACGCCGCAGTATGCGACCCAACCTCCACTTCCTTCCACTGACGGATGGACCTGAACCTGGCGCTGGCGGGTCCCCCTCGTCTAGCCCATGCACATTACGCACAGGGAGCCACACCGGATGCGGACCGAAAACACACCTCACACGGTGGACTTGGGGCTAAATGGAACCTAGGGATGGTGAGAGCCAGGTTTAGTGGCTTCTCCGCCCTGGCCAGGGTCACTGAAGTGGCCTGGCAACCGTCAATCAGGCCTTAGCCCAGCCGAAAGATCCAGGGAGCGGGGACCCGTGACGTGACGCACTTGCACCTGGTTCTGGATTGAAAATGGAAGTGATCCAAAGTCGGCCGTTCGGGAAGGGTTCCAGTCCATGAATTAATTGTCTAATGAGCATGTGCCGTGTTATTGTGTGTGGGAACCCAGTTAATTGAGGAAACGCCCGAGTACGGCACAGCCTCAATACCCAGACACGAGGTTCGTAAACTTGGTCTCTAATGGTGGGTGAGAATCGAGAAATCCGGGGCAGAATGCGTGCGCGTCCTTTCCATCTGACACGAGAACGGAAGGGAACTGCCGGGAGCGGGCTTTGAGAAAGCTGATCAAGCAAAAATATCTATATTCAGAAACAATCCAGACTTTCTCGTGTCTTGCCTTTGCGGTCTAAAATGTCGTATTTCAGATTTTGGGCTTGAACCCCTTATTTTGGCGGCGCCGCAAACTGACAGGGACTCAAAGAGGGAGGTGTTAACCAGCCTGGGAGGGTTCTTGATCAGCCGGAAAACATCAGCAGGGGTGATTATGAGGGTCGATTGACGATGATGGCCCCAGGTTCAAGGATGAGCAGCAAGCTTGACTTGGTGCGTGCGCGACGTATGTACAACATGTGTCAAGTTGACGACATTTGAAGGACGAGGCCATCATCAAGAATGAAGTTGATAATGACGAGGCTGAAGATCATTCAACAGAATTCACGGGTGCCAGAGTAACAGTTTATTTCTCTCGTCTCTCATTTCATTTCATCGTGTCCTTTTACCTCATGTAGCATCCATGGCATGTTCACCGTAGAGGTACATGCCCCACAACGTAAACAGCGGCACAGCCCATGTCTCCCCCAAAAACGCCATCAAATATCACGTCCCATCACGATAATTTCCATGTTATAAACCGGGCGTTGAACGGCGTCGTCCACCAAATTACGGCAGAATTCCAAGACCCTTTGTTTGCTTTCTTGCCGGAATGATTAAAGGACCCAATCTTTTTATTCCCTGTTTTCTTTTGGTGCGTGCTCTCGTCGATCATTCTGCAAAAGACAGGTTTTTGTTGGTCAATGTTGGTGGACAGACAGTGTGTTTGCTACTGTATCGTTACACTTGTCCACATATCCTGTTTTGCTTTCGCTATCCAATCAGCATTCAATGCGACATGTTGGCTGAGCGACTGATGAAATAGAAAAGCCCGTCAGCCGACTGTATTATCGTGAACACGGTGGCAGAGCCTTGTGACTACAAAATAGTTGACAGTGGCGGGCTTTGCTTTCAGCTCCTCCCCAGCCATCAGCATGTGGCTTGCGCAAGGAGACATCCCTAAGGAGACAACCCGGTTATTTCTCTCTCCGGTGAGAAATGTTGGCAACGGTGATTCACCCTGTCTCACACAGTTCTTGATGTCTGAAACAATCAGCCCTGAGCGACAATTTTGTTTTGTCTTTGATTGGCTGCCGTTGATGTTGCAGGGGAAGCATTGTCTTTGAACAGTAATATGTTGCGCCAAGTCTTGCATCACCTCGTTGTTGGCTCTGCATAATAATATTAGAGATTTATGAGCTGCTGTCGGGTCTAACAACACGATTAATGGCTCGGTTGAGCAGATGGGCTTCTATTCGCTACAGAAAGTTTAAACTTGGGCTGAAGTTGGAGTCCTCCCATGATGATCTTGGTCAACAACGGTTGTGGACCGCCAAAGCACAGCCAAGAACAAATACAAAAGCCAAGATGCCATGTACCACATTCAATACCCGTAAATATACTCCGTGTATCCATATATCTACAGTATATACCCAAGTCCTATTCCCCTTATCGCCTTATTTATAGAGCTCTATTGGTCATCACTTGAATCTCCCGTTTATCCACTCCACCACGAACCATGACGCTGATCTAACGCTACCACCATCCTCGGACCCATCGCTGCTGGAACTATCTTGCTTCGGATCGGGTTTTTCCCAGTGGAATAACCACCGAAGCTGGTCTTGGTCCACTGGTAGGACTGCATTCGCCCAGTCACGACTCCCTACTGTGTCTTCAACTAAGAAATGCATCATCCTCCTTGTCGATATCCTTGAGGGTCGGATGCTGAGAGGAGGCTGGTGACCCCCTTTCGACATGATGCCAGAGGAAGGTCGGTCCAAGTTGTCGGGGACGTTCTTTACATCCCTACCGGTATCGTGTCTAAACCCATGCTCTGGCGTTGTGGGCGAGTCTCTCTCGGGATACCACACGAATGAGTGATACTGCCGGACGTATCTGGTCTCTAATTGTGGCCAAAGCTCGACTTCGACCTGGCCTTTCTGTATATACCCGAACGGTTTCCAGGCCAAGAGGACCGAGGCATAGTCCTGGAGCTTGAGGTCGAACCGACATCGAAGCACGTCTGCCCTCGAGACTAGATCGGTCTGGTCCCCGTATGTTGCATCCTTCTCATCATCCAGGAAAGACTGCTTTGCACCTGTCCATGCGGATATTATTGGATCAGGAGCCGCCATGGACCCTGTTCCACCATTCTCCCCCAGCTTCTGGGTATATCTTTGTATGCAGTCCAGGACAGCTAAATCGCCCAACAGGAAGATGGCCACCCACCAGATCGCCACTCGGGGCCGACGGGCGATAAACATCTTCAGGATCACCTCCACATGCTTCTGCTTAATGGCTGGCTTCAGTACTTCAAGTATTGACGAGAGCCACGGCCCCACCAGGTTGCACTCGACGTCCGGCTGCCAGAAGATGCTCCACAGGACCGACCCAACCGACGGCGGATGACTACCGAGCGCCATGAAGTATCGGAGGTCGCTGTAATACTGTCGGATCTCCTGTTCATGAGTATCTTCGAATACACCGCGCTGTGACTTGCTGAGACGCGGCGTTGGTAGCTGTGGTTGGAGATCCATGAAGGAGTAGAACGGCAGTACGAGCGCGGCCAGGAAACCTGCTCGATACGGCGATATGGCTTCCCATTTGGATTCCTCGCTTCGCTCAGTTCCAAGGCGAAACAGGTCGCAGAGTTCAATGAGTAGCTCTATCGCTTCGGAAGAACTTGGCGCAGAGTGTGCGTCCGTGATCGAGATGGGAGCTCCTCCAATGACGATTTCAGCATCCTGGCTGAGAAAGGTGGCAAACATTGGAAGCTTCCCTCCATCTTTTGCACCCCAGCCAAACTCGGAACCGAGGATGGCGCAAAGCCATCTGACGAGCGCAGATGATGCACCGTCGAGATCGATCATGGGCGTCTCGTGTTGCCGCGGTGATAAGTGGTGGGAAGAATAGCACATTTGCCGGCCCTGCATCTCGAGGACTTGGACGGACAAGATGTACGACCAACACATTGTCAGAACGGCAAGGCTCCCGGTTGTGGTTGAATCCATGCCCATTGAGTACGAGGCAGCCTCCTGACTGATACTGCTGCGAATTGGTTCTTCAGCCTGAAGGAAAAACGCCAGTCGACGACCATGTCTCAGCGTTGGACCTTCATCATCCTGGTCCGTGGACTTTGGACTCGCAATGTCGGGAGATAGACGCCACCGAGGTCTTCCATACAGAACCCGACCGGTAGGGAGATGCTCCGGAAGACTGGGAACGTCCATCAAGGCGATGTAGGGATCCAACATGCCCGTTGGCCATAGACCCCTGGGCATCCTCCTCGCTTCCTGGAAGAGAGCATCCCACATGGCCTTTCCGTCGCGAAACGTCCGGCGAACGTCCGAAGCTGAGGGTATCAACGGGTCATCTTCTTCGCTGATGAACGGTACACCGTCCTCTTCATCCGTAGACGAATCCGTATCGTGTGTCGGAACCGGTCGAGGTTTGTTCTTGAACATGGTTGCGTTGCGATTGCGAAACGCAAAGGCGGGACATGGACAGGAGAGCCCCGTGGGGTTAATGAGAAAAACCCAACAGGCGGTGATTAACTGACCCCCCAGTTAATTGACTGTCAGTTGCGTGTGCGCCGTACCGCAGCGGTTCTAAATCACGTTTTGGTTCTTGGGTCTTGGCCCAACAGAAGCAAACTTGCCAAAACACACCGGTGTGGCGCACCCGGGAGTCCATGCATGACTGGATACTCGACGAAACCAGGCTCTGAGGAGGAGCAAATCAGATGGCTTAAAGTGAACAAGCGGCAGTTGTAAGCGATTTTGCTCGACGGTAACCGAAGTTGCCGTGTTTCTGGGAGGTGGTGCCGCACAGGGAAACGAGGGTGTTGGTTCGGATCGGGTACAGGCAACTGGGTTTCTGTTGGCGTGATTGACAAAAGGTTGGATAAGAAATATTCCGATATGAAGTGATAAGAAGCGGTCAGTGATAACTAAATACAGCGACTGTCTCAGACTGCTGTGTCCAGCCTTTGCACCAAGAACGCAGCTGCAGCCATTTGCTCAGGCTGAAGCACTTGCTTGCCCTCCCTGCTGCTAGGCCGCCAAGCCAAGTAACTCTTAGTGTTAAGAACCTATGCAAGTTCAGATCAACTCTGACTTGATCGACTCTTGGCCTCGATCCTGGACAGCCCAGATCTTGACCCCAGTACACCATCGTCAAGAAGACGACTTGGTGGCTAATGAAAACAGTTGGAGGCTTAGAAAGATATCTAACGACTAAGATTCTACTTTAAAGAGACTATAAATGTCAAGTGTTGGCGCATTGGCGACGAGTTCCTTGCTCAGGCAAACGACCAACCTCGGCGGTGGGACTATCAAGCTGCAGCACGATTGCCTACGGCAAGCGATACATCAAGCTAGAACAGCAAATAGATAAGATTGTGCAGTAATGTAGAAAGTATCAGATCGTCTACTATCGCTGCTGCTCGGGATAAGCACAGTCAAGGTCTAGCACCACTGAGACGATCAGGGAGGTGTGCATGATCCACAGGAAGACTCTCTTGCTGAGCGAGACACCTCTACGGAAAACCACGCTCGTAGATGCAAGCATGTCCCAGGACCTGGCCATGATATACGTCAAGTATCGGCAGAGACAGGAACAGCGAGTTGCGACAGGGAGGTCAGTCTTTCACGCGGCGCTTGCGATGCGTCTTCTCAATACTTGACTTGCTTTTTTACCATAAAAATGTAATTTTAGCTGTTGAATGAAATCCATTCATGTTATAAACCATCCTGCGAATCTTGTCCTCGCTGTAATTGACCTAGAGATGGAATTCCGGACATAGACTCCGGTGTTTGGACCAAGACATCCATCAACCACACCCAACAAACATGCCTAAGCGGGCATTCCCTCCCTGACATACCGCTTACCTAACGAAACTCTTTTCTATTATCATGTCATGCAAGGAAATTCTCGAGATCTTTCTCGTTTGGGCTCGTATGTGGTGCATTGCCCTGAAACAGGTCCGTGGTTAAAAACTCCTGACTTCCAAGCTCTGTGGTTGGACGTTGGAGAAAACTCGCTCAACAAGCATGAGCTGTCAAAATCTTTGCGAAAAAGGGGATTAGTGTCCGAATGGTTACTTACTTGTTGGTGCGCCATCTGCTGGTGGATGCTTTTGAGGCCAGACACCTTCAATATTACCGGACCATCTTACTCCAATGAGGAGTTCATCAAGGGAACCGAACACGACGGGAATGGCTCGGTCGCATATGTATCTTACTATAACATATTGGCTGGAATGATACGTCTAGGTCTAAGTGTGAGTAGTGGGCTCACACCTCTCATCTTGGCTTCTCACCTGAATACAACTTCCCCCACCGTCCACATCCGTACTCCCTCCATCTCCTGCATATCTTTCCTCCCGACATCGCAGGCACTCAGTCTCTGCTTCAAGAGGAATGTAATATTCAAGTAAGTCTCAAGGTACACCTATACTATGCTAATAAAGTAAACTGCCCCTTCAATAAGGTAACTTCGTTTCTTTGAGTCGACACTTGTCTGCCCACTGTCGCGAGACCCCCTGAGAGACCCCAAACAGTCACCCAACAATGTTCTGTAACCCCCAATGTGAGCTTACTAGAGAGGAGTCATTGATCTTGCGCTGTCAATAACTTTCAATGTCTATGTATGAGGAGTCCTCCATGTCCTCGTACTTGCAGTAACAGATCAGATGCAAGTGTAGTAGAAGGTCAGCACTCTGAAACCCAGACAGCCTTTTTCCGTTTGTACCTTCACTATCGCTAGTCTGCATCATGACGTTCAAGATGCCATCCCCCTCCACATCCCCAGCCAACGAGCAATCTCTCGGAGCTCACCTCCGTCTCTGCTCCACATTTCTGCAATATCTTCATCGATCGACTTGACATTTGGCACTTCTGCCAGGGTAAAATGTTCTGAAAGATTCTGAAATTGATACGTATTCCCTCCAAGACGTTTCGGTGAGATGGGGATGATGGTCGGGTCTGGATGAACGAGTCCATTGTGATGTCATGTCGACGTTGGTTGATGTTGACATCATACATCTGGGTCTGGGCATCACAGCGATTTATACCGTCCATTTCAGCGTGAATAGAGGTCTTCATTCTTACCGTTATCCTTATTCCATCTGTGAATACCTTGGAACCTCTCATTAAACACACCTGTGTATCACCGTACAACTTCACAATCTCCGCCATGTCTGTCAACCCCGACTCCGCAACTCCCGCTCAGGGCGAGTTCCGCAGCAAGGTTGCCCCCTCCAAGCCTCTCACCACCAAGGGCGTACGTTTCTCCCAGCATCTCAACCATTCTCTTACTTACACATGTCAGCATGCTCCTGGAGTCCTCGTAGGCAACGACGCCAAGCCCGAATTCCGCGCTGAGCAGTACCCCCCTGGCACTGCCCCTCCTGAGGACTCCTTCGAGCCTCAACCCTCAAGTGAATATCCCACGCAGGCCCCAGGCATGGAGGGTGGCGTCTCTGCTTCCGACACCCTTCAAGGCGCCACTTCCGCAGATGTCCACACTGGCCTTGGTCACCCCGGCTCCGGAATGACAAGCCAGGAGGAGCATGGTGGCAAGAGGAAGAAGGTCGGTGCTGGTCTCGAGGGTGTTGGTGCGAGCTTGACAGATCCCATCCACGACAAGGGAGCTGATCGGGAACATGAAACTGATTATCGGGGCAAGGGTGGTGAAGCCGCAGCCAACTACCCTGGCGCTGAGGAGAGAGTGGCTGCTAGTGCCGAGGAGGTTGCCAGTGAGCGGCGTTAGAAGCATGCCTGCGGAGCATGTAATGAACGATTGAACCTGTACTATTAGCCAGGAGTGGCATAATGTGTAAATGTCGAATGACAAAATCACCAAAGTCCTGATCTAGTTGTCAAGCAGTGGGGTATCTTGCAGTCAGCATGGGATATACTCAGATCATGGGGGACACTGAAGCAGAGAGCAGAGAGATGTCTGTGTCAATATGGCCACACGAGTTGTTAGATCAAGTGCCAGGTCATCGTGAACGGAGGCTGCAGCCCGATGCTCTGGGTGAACGCCTCTTATGGCAGATCAACTAACAACTCGGTCTCAGAAGCAATTCTGCCGCGTGATACGCAGAGCACTTGCTAAACGCGCCTAGTAGATGGACTCACGCCCCAAATCATCCATCTGAGACATCCATTGGCGCCTTTTACCGTTTCAGCTCTCCTCGTAGGGCATACCACGGCACTGCAACTTGGTAACCTGCATGAAGCCAAGGCGCCGGCATCCTGACTTCAACGACTCCAGACGGGACGGCCCCGTGGAGCATGATGACCCGCGTATGGGACGGGACCGAAGAGCTCGCCAAAGTTGATCGTGTGCCTCTTTGCCTTTTAGGGATGTGAGCTCGGAGGCCGAGTCTGGCCGGCTGTCCGCTTGGACAGTCCCAATACCAAGGCCCCAGCGGCAGGCAATTCCCACTTGGAGAGAGCCACATGAACCAAAGAGAGGTCCCAAGAATCCAGTTTGTCATTGCTTGGAACTCGTCGTTCACGTCTTGCTGGCTACACAGGGTCAGGGTCCTGTGGATTGTCGAATGCCCGTCGGTTCCCGGAAAATTAAACGCCATGCAGAGTTTGACAGCGTCCAAGCACGCCCAGAGACGAGACGAAACGACAGACGACACCACATCTTGCAAGCGAGCGCATCTCGCAACCGAGTTCGGCTCCAGGAGAGCCAAGGTCGCCTTGGGAAGAGCCGATCGCGGCGAGGAGGGCCCCAGTCTTGGCGTTTAACCGTCTCACGCCGAGCTTCGCGCCAGCGCATGGCGTCCAAAAAGGATGTCTTGACCTGTTTCTTGCCTTGGAGCCATCATGTACTGGCCGAAAGTAACAACGGCCGACTAGATGCGACGATCATCAGGTAGGTTGGGCCCCATGGGCCATGTGGCGCGAGGGTGGGAGTAAAGTTCCCCGAACTGGGGCCCTCTCAGCCCTGTTCATGGGCCTGTCCTTGCGGAGGGGTTGCTGAGAGCTGGTGATCTGACACCACTGTTGGAGCCGTTGGCTTGCAATGGGTGCATCGAGAGCGGGATGTACACTGCGATCCTGGGACACTCCCGCAGGGCGTCGCCGTTATTGGCGATGGGGGCCCTTGGTGCGCGGGATGGTGCTTCGAGGCATGGTGCAGTACCGGTGGTGGTGTTGTTGATGCGGCCAACACGCAGGCGAGGTTGCATGAGGTGAAATGAAGACAAGAATGTCAGTGAGGCAATATCAAGGCGTCAATAGTGAGCTGCCGGATCGGTAAGGATGGCAGTACAGCGTCGAAGGCGAGGACAGCCGGCGAGACTGAACAAAGCATGTATCTGACCATGCCTTACACATGAAGCCGGATGTTTCCATCATCACCACGAAAGCCGAAACCCTTCAAAAGCCGATGTCCCCATCTTGAAGCCGACGGAGTAGTTAGAAGCTAGAATCAACAACAGCCTTGTTTCGGCGCGGTCCCGTGGCCCCTGGCAATGATCAATTCAGGGCCCCTTCTCCACCGCGGGGGTACCGCGAGGGTTCGATTGGTGGTGGTTCGGCGATGGGTCCCAAGATGACAGCCAAAAACGACGATCGGTCTTGATGTTAAACGCGATTCGACGGAGATAATCAAAGTGCGGCCGACCCTGATTGATATTGGTGATACTCTCGGGGTGAGAGCCGAGAATACGACCCTCAGAAAGTAGGTAAAATGTTGGATTACCTAATGTGAGGAATTGTTAGCGGGCTGTCGCGGAACATCTGGCAGCTATGGGTTGATTGTGCTTGTAGGGCGCCAAACCCCCATGCTGTTGGCCGACTGGATCAAGCAACAACCTCATCGACATGCACCCTGAGCTTCTTTCAGCTACTAGTGTTGGATCTCGGAGCAACCGCCGCAAATAGTCTGCCTCGCCGGGACGGGATTGGGCGAATGCGGAACCAGAGATAATCAACCATTATCAATCAGTACCTGCCAGGGCCTACAATGTCACACTGCCCGATACGAGAAACTGGAGGCAAAGACGGAGGACTCTTTCGATTTTCCCGGCCAAGGGTGTGAGGACTGAAGCGGGAACGGCGGGAATGGTCCGGTACTCGGGGAGTGATTCGCCTCTTGGCTGTGTCAAGTCGTCCAGTCGTTCCAAATGTGGCTTTACTCTACGCTTTGACGGCGTGGGATGAACCCCGGCGGTCCTAGTGTGTGTCAATGTGCCTGGCCGCTTTTGGGGAGGGCATCGACTGATGATGGTCTCTTGGTGAAAGACTGATCGGCTTTGGAGGGACTTATGGGACGGATCTCGTGAAGCTTCGTCTAAAATGATGGGGCTAGTAGTAGGCAGGTACTTTTTTCCATTACCCAAATGTCCTCCCACCATGATCTAGAACTCACAAGAGAAAGTCTCCATTTTCACAGCAGGATCCATCACAGACCTTGGATGCACCCTGTACCAACGGACGGGATGCCTGGAGGACCGTGTGAGAGTCGAGAGCGTTCCGTCATGATTCCGCGCTCTACATCCTTGATCCTTTTCGCTACGTGACCGACTCTGATCTGCTTTACCTCGACTTTACTTGAGTTAACCTTGAAAATGTTGTTGTACCTTAATTTTTCTTCATCTCGACTTCGGATCCGGCGGCCTCCACTCGGCTGCCGCCCCTTCAGCCCCAGACCCCTGTTTGATGTTCTCATTTGGGGTACAAGCTGTCACAGGCTTTTTTGTGTGAGGCAACATGTATACTTTACTGGCGGATCCACAGCCACGCGCCGGCGCACATCTTCATCTTGTTCTGTGACGCACATGGCACGGAGGATTCCATGATGCCATGCAGAGACAAGTGACTGGTTGAACCGTACTGTTACGTCTTGATAATCTACAGATGCTCTTCACCTTGACTCACCTTATTCCCTTCTTATCCACTTCCAACGGACCTTGAACGGAGCGGACCCAGGTCCAAGGACCCAGGACCCGAAGGCCGAGAGGGACCCCCATCGTTCGCTTCCCCTGGTCACTTGCATTGCATTTCCCATGGATGCCCTCCCTCCATCTCTAAACAACAAACACTCGCTGCCAGAGGCGAGGGAGGGCCAGACAGCAGACAGGGCCAGACCAAACGGCTAGAGGGCTCCTCTCTCTCCAATCAATCTCTCGATCCCGTGACCAGGTCCCTGGCCTCAACCCACTCGCCTTTCACGCCTTTCACTCCATTCCAAGCCAAGCTAAACCCACCTTGTTCATCCATACATATCACTCGCCTATCCTATCCATTCATTGAATTATTTCCAAGCCATCCATCCGTCTCCGTCTCCGTCCCATCTACATCAACTCTTTGATCGCCGCCTCTCCCGGTTTTGACTTTTCACTCCCCTTGCTCTAATTGCTACCGCACCACACCTTCTTGCCCCTTACCGTTTAAACCTCCCGCCATTAACGCCCTGTGACAAGCGACCTGAGCCCACACCATCGCTACGGCTACGGCTACCACACTACCGGATCTTGTCTGCCCAATCCCCATTTTGGATACCGAGTGGAGAGAGACAAGTCTTGGCTCATTACTTGGCCACGGCAGAAGACATTGACTCTTTCGGCAAACCCTTTTTTCTTTTTCTTTCTTCGTTTGTGTTTGTCCTCCCAAACATTTATTATCGACAACTATCGAGGTTTCACGGCAGATGCACTCTTCCTCACATCGTTTCTCCCTGGCCAGGCGCCGCTGACGCTGCGAGATCCCGCCTCCACACAAAACGTCTGCGGTCCATTGAAAGTGTGCCTGACAGCCTGCCCGTTGCCGTTGTGGGTGAGCTACGTACCCGATTCCGAGTGCCGAGCTGTCCCCGTTGGTTCCAGCCAGCTGGGGTCCTTGGCCTTCTGCCTTGGACAGCTTCATTCAGCTCCTTGCATTGCATCCATTGAATCCTTCAGCTGAGTTGGGCTGAGGCTCCAACTCGACTTTACTCGAGCTGGCTGGCGATATAAGAATCAATTCCTTCTTTGCTGGCTGTAAAGCTGGATCCTCTAAACTACCACAATCATGGAGATCCAGTTCTCGCTTCCCATCAACACCGTTCGTGCCGCAACCAACGTCGGGTGAGCTCCCCCAAACAAAATCCTTGTCGCGTAGGAAGTCAAACTCTGATCAGCGCGTTTTTCGTATACAGGACGTCAAACGCAACAGGAAGGTCTGCGCATGCTGCCGCGGCGAGAGGCGGTACTCATCGTTTCGCCCTTGAAACCCGTACCCGGCATACCCGGCGCAGCTCGACCAGGGCGCGCACGGGATGCAGCACCTGTGAGTATATGTGCAGCTATTCTCCACGTTGAACGCGTCACTGACAGTTTGTAGGCAAGTATGTATAATCGAGCCCCTGCATTATCGCCAAGTGCCGGCCCCCGTGACATCTCCAGTGACATCTACCGGATCGTTAGACAACGCTAACACTTGCGTAACAGGAAACGGCATGTCAAGTGTGACGAGACCAAGCCCTCGTGCCTCAATTGCATGAAATGGCGTGGCTATTGTGACGGTTACACCGAAAACCCTCCTGCTTCATCATCTTCAACCTCTACTACCGCAGCATCCGCTCCCTCCGAACAATCATCACGCCCGACAACCGCCTCAACCTACCGCTCCACTTCCACCGTCAACTCTAGCTCCACGATTAGCTCCAGCAGTTCCCTGGGCTCCAGTACCTCGTTCAGCTCCTCCTCCACGAGCATTGCTACGTCAGATATCAAGGTTACCATAGGCTCCACCGCCGTCGTTAGGCCAAGGACACCACCGATCATCGAGGAACCCGCTGTCAACACCGTCTGCTTCGCCAATAGCGATCAACGCGCCTACTTTGACGAGTGGTCCAACCTCACCATCAACTTCTTGAGTGGTGGCCTCGGGAATTCGCGACTATGGACGATTACAATGCCCCAACTTACACTACAAGAGCCCACGTTGCGATATGCGGCCATGGCTGTTGGTGCCCTACGCAAGGCCTCCAATGTTGAGTTCGAGGCTTCATCACATAATCACGACCTCATGAGCGATAACAAACACTATCTCAATGCCATAATCTACTACTGCGAGGCCCTCCGCCTCCAGTCCAAGGCCCGACCATCGAAAGAAGGCCTCCGAACAGCCATGCTATCGTCACTCCTCTTCATCTGCTTCGAGACGCAAAGGGGAAACATGCCAGCTGCCCTCAAGCATGTCACGCATGGCTTCAGTATGCTCAATGAGCTTTCTGCTTGCTCCGAAAAGGCACCCGACCTGGTCAGCATTGCTCCCGCGCCCCCTGCGTTGGTCCAGGAGATTCTGGATTGTTACAAGCCTCTGGAGTTGCAGTCGCGTTCGTTCATGGGGTCATATAGGAAGTTCTTCTTCCCCCCTAAACCAACAGCGCCCGCCTCCAGTGACCCTATCGCAAGTCGAAGTTCCAGCCCTGGTGGACCGATGTCTGTTGTCTCCAGCCCACCTAGTCAGCCAGGTTCGCCATGGACGAGTTCTCCAACCCAACAAGTACCGACAGGCCTTCCCAGTCCCCAAAGTCAAGGAAGTCCATGGAGTGCTTCAGATCAACAGACACCTCCACGGGCGCCTCAGGGTCCTCCACAAAGACCACCGGGGATTGCCCCCTTTACCAAATATTCTCCGTACTTCAAGCCCCGAATTACGAGCATCACCAAGATCGAGGACATGCCTCCGTCATTCAGCAGTTTCGAGGAAGCTCGTGACTATTGGAGCCTGCTCCAGAGGCAAATGGTTGGACACGTCCCCATGCTTACTGTGGTAACGGCGCAGCTTGGCCTCACCAAGGTCAAGGATATGGGGGAGCTCGAGACGAAACTATCGAGCGTGACGAAAAACCCCAGGATCTCCAAGTTTGTTGAGGAATCACGGTATTGGCTGCAGAGGTGGTCACAGTCGTTTGATCCCCTACTTCAATCTGCTTCCAACAACCGGCAGAACGACATGCAGCCATATTTGGTGGCTATCAACTTGCGTGTCGAGTTCCTGATCCTCTACATTTACACCGCCATGCCGCGGTATACCGGCATTGAAAAGGCTCGTGAGCTTACACCGTATTACCAAGAGATCAACACATTGGCCGAGATACTGATCTCGTGCCGTCCCAGCTGCGGCTTCGCCATGGACTCGGGCTGGACCTGGCCACTCTTTGTCTCGTCATTCGGATGCCGGGATGATTCCGTTCGAGACGAAGCAATCCGTATTCTGGGCCAATATCCCATCCGCAACGCCTTGCGCGACAGCCGAGTCTTCCGAGCGATCGCAATCAAGAACCGCGAAGTCGAGATGATGAACTCGATGGAAGGCGACGAACACGACCAGTGGCTGCGACTCAGGAGACGAGAGATTGTGTTTGAGGATCTGGGAACCAACATCATCTTCCGATCGGCTCAGAAGAACCCAGCCACTGGCGAATGGGAGCTTGTCGAGGAAATATCGGCCTTCCTGGTCCGTCCTGACGGGCTCCTTGACTGGCACAGACAACCCGTTTCGGACTCGGCCTCGATCCTCTCGGGCGTCTGTTAAAGCCAACATTGACGCGACATGATAGATGCACATATAGGTACATATAAAAGGTGGGAAAGGAGGAGTTAGACAGTTTTGATGGAGTTTATTGGCGTGCCTGTTTTTAGACGACATGATATCTGGCCATCGGGCTACGGGCTTGGGGATTTGAAGGCGTTTTAGGGTCAATAGGGGCCCTGTTTTTATTGTAGGATATCGAGATCAGAGACAATGCCTGGTTGGATATGGTGTTGCATGCCATCGGTTGGTGGACTGTAGTAATGAAACGAGATGCCCTCTAGGCTTAGCATTGCTTGTGCCTCCAGATCTCTCACTTCAAAGTACCTCGAACAGTGACTGAAGCATCATCCCATCCTCCTTCTCCAATTCCTTCCAGTTGTCTTCCTCCAGAAACTCCTCCACATTATCCCCAGCCCTCTCGAGGTACCACACTCCAACCTTGAAAATCTCGTCAAATCTCTCATTCCCCTTGTAGGATTCACATGCCTGGTTTACCATCTCCCGGCCATGCGTGATAAACGTCCACCTCATAAGCCGCAGCGTCTCATCGTCCACCCGCCTTGTCAACCGCAACCCTGCACGCGAGGCGTACCCCGCGCAGAAGCGTAAGGAAAGGGCCGAGACGGCACGATGAAGGGCCGAAGTCTGGGGGTGCGAGAGCAGCTCGCAGTGGAGATGGGCAAGGAACTGCGCCAGATCTCCGTCCACGCCACGGCCGTTGAGCTGGCCAAACTCCCAGTCCACCAGCGTGGGGGTCCAGTCTTGTTCTGCCTCGCTGGGATCGCGCATTAGGACGGAACCTTGGGTGAAGTCACCCATGGCGAGGGACCAAGGATGCGCTCCCTCCTGCGCCCGAAAACCTTCTTTAACACGAGCGAATAGCTTGTCGGCGTTGGGAGTGCTAGCGAGACGAGTTCGGAGGGGTTCGATGGCGGCGGTTCGCACAATGTCTCGTGTAAGCGAGTGGGTGAGTTTGGCGGCTGCTAGGGGATTCGAGGTCTGGACTCGGATGACTCTCTCGGGGCTGTGTATCGCTGCAAAGATTCTTCCAAGGTCGTAACCTAGCTTTTCGATCTTGGGGTGTATGTCGTCCCAGGATTGGTTGGATTGCTGGCGGAGGAAGTCGAAGATGTTGACCAGGTTACCAAGGTCACTCAGTATAAGGACTGAAGCTTCTTGGTCGGAGGACGAGAGTCCAAGGTCTGACTCTTTGCCTTCTCGATGGTGCAGGCAGCGAGGAGAATTCCAAAATGGTTCCCGTCGGAGATAGGATAGTGCGCCGTGCTCTGAGAAGAGGTCGAGGAAGATGGCTTCAACCTCCTGGACATGTGTTACCCAAGCATTACATCAACGAAGGAGGAGAATTACCTGACGCTTGGTTGAAAAGGCCCATTCTGGGCCTGCGACCTCAACATATGGCTTTGCATGCTTGAGAATGACGGACGTGGGCGCATCCGGCTGGACTGGAGAGGTCTGCGTCGCGCGGAGAGTAGTATTGACAAGACCGCCAGAGAGGCGAGTAACGGACCATGACGTCCCAGCGTACAAAGAAGAAAGATATTTGCCGTAGTCTGCCTCCATTATGTCGTCGGCCTGAAGTTTTTCCACGGTGTCTTGGAGTGGATTTCCGATGCTTTTATGCTGAACAACGGTGAGGGGTTGACGGGTTGTGCAACGTCCAATGACAGCTGCTTGGCAGATGCAAAGGCCTGAGTCACTCACCGTTGCTCAAACGTTGCGCAAAAGAAATTCTGGAATGTTTGATCGGTCAAGGCTGATCATGCATGTGGCTTGAGAAATATGTCAATGCGAGGTACAGTGAGACTTGGCCATGCAGGTATCACGAGCAAACACATCATATTTATTCTACGCCCAGCTGTTTGCTGGAAATTTACAGAAAAAGACGGGAGACGGGAGCGTGATAATAATAGAACTGTAACGAAGCAAACGGATTTCTGTGCAAAAATCTACCCTGCTGGGCAAACTGTCAGTGCGAGTGTGGCACTAGATGCAGCTTCCCGATGCCTTCAATATCTCTGCCGCGTCACTCCGTAGAATTTCCATGTCCCCTTTCCATTTCCTTCTACGCACAGAATTACCATAAAAATCCAATTCTGTTCCACCCTTTTTCCTTTTCCATTTTCTGGGATATCGACAGCAGAGCTCGAGTGTCAAATCCCAGTTTGCCCCTGACGCTTCCTCAGACACTCCTCGACGAGAGACGACGCAGGTGTTTCTTTCTTTTGGATAGTAGGAATTTTTCTTGAAGAAGCTGGAAGTGAGTACTCGTCCCTATATACCTTCTATTTCCATTGGAAGATTCATCCAGGAGACCGTCCCTGTCTTCCAGCATTCAGAGCACCAAGCTCCTTCCATCTCTCTTTCCGTCGCCGCTGACATCTTCTCACTGTTACAGCATCCAATACAGTTCATATTGCATCACTCTACCTTCTCGAAGCCTACGGAGCCTTCCAGTCTACGACAGCTTCCGAAAATTTCAACCAAGTCCTTCTACACACGTCGACTCCCGCACCACTTCGAGGCATTCGAACCGAACCGAGACCGAGACGGACGAAACATCCCTGGCACTTCCTGGAGAGCGATTTCTGCCGCTTGTAGAAAATCTGGGTCGTGATTGCACTGCGGAAATACGCGACCAGGGGCGAGTGTTGGGCGTCGTCGAACCATCGTCGCTGCGCATTCTTGTCCAAAAGATCAGAAAAACAGCACGCCCTGCATCCGAGACCGCTGCACCACAATCAAAGCCAAAGAGTCTTGCCAGACGCCCTGAAGATCTTCCCAAAACACACTGGTTGGGTACTTACCGGCAAGTGTTATCAGCCAATGACCACTCACCTCCTTTGATTTGAACGCACCTCGTCGTTTAATTCCAAAGCGAGCAGTGCATTTCCAGTGCCAGGAACTGCCAGTTACCGTGCGTCATTGCTTCGGTTGACTGCAGCGTTTCTTTAGGTAGGTATCCCCCTAAAAAAAACCCTGGTGGGTAAACTCCTTCCCGAGTTCTCTCACCTTCCAACTCCCGCCCGCACCTTCCTTCTTTTTTCTCTTCTCTTCATCACACACCTTCTTCAGCTTTCATCATCCTTTTCTCATCGCTTTTCACTGTTGTGATATCGTGCGAAGAAGGCTCGATAGTTGCTGCATTTTCGGTTTCAGAGCTGGTGGACAGAATCGCATCGACACACCTGGCTGGTCACCTGGGCACCTTCTCTGGTTTGTTTTGATCGCGACGATCTTTTCGGTGGTCTTTCAAAGTTGGTTCCTTCTCTCTCCTTCTCCTCCCGGGCTCTCATTCCTCCCTTCTTATCCCCTCGTCAATAAGAAGAACACGCTCCTCTTCTTCCCGTTCCTCTTCTCTTCTCCATCATCATCATCCCCGTCATCGCCTTGTTCTGTCCAGAGAATCACTGTTCCAGTAAGCCATTTCTTTGCTTTCCATTTCCCTCTGCTCCTCTTCTTTGCCCTTTCATGTATCTCCCCAATATCCTCCTGTACTCCCTCTTCTTGCCTTTTTACCCATACACCAGCTCCAACCCATGGATCAGTACTGACACCAGTAGACACGGAGAGGCCAATTTGGTATCGGTGCCACCATGAATGGAGGCGAGCAGGTAAGTCTTCTCTCTCTCCTCTCTGCGCGTGCTGACACTCTGCCTAGCCCCAGGCGGAGCCGATTTCCTCTGAAATCATTTCCCGGTATGTCTTGAACAGACAGCTGGAGTCTGAGGGGGACACTCCACTCAAGCCATGGCAAACGATGCCCGAGATCCCGGAGCCCGGAGAATTAATGGCTTCCGATCCTCCTGTGGTGCCCCCAGCGACAATGGACGGCGAGGCGCTCGAAAAAGACGGGTACTTGGAGTCCCAGTACCGCATGTGCCGTTTCGAAGGCACAGAGCTCCTCCGCAGAGCTGTCAACGAGTTCCGAAATCGCCCTCAGATGGAGGAGGGTTCAGATTTCTACATCTACACTCAGGTTCGTCAAAGCCCCTCCTTTGATCTCTGGCATTCTGACTCACTGTTACAAGGTTCACGTGCAGGGCTACATGTTTGCTCGGATTGGGCCAGCCTGTAGAATCTCCTTCTCCACGGAACGCTCTCCTGCCCAGGTTGTCTGGAGCCAGTGCACACGCCTCACCTCCGGCACTCTTGTTGCCCTTTCACCCAGCCACGACAATTTCAAGACTCAGTGTTACGTCGCTGTCGTTGCCGCACGGTACCTCATCGGAGGCCTCGAGCCCAATCCGGATGACGGAGAGAATGAAAATACACCTCCCCGAATCGAAATATTCTGGTCCAACTGCCAGGACTCCATCCTCGATCCCTCTGTCGAACTAGTCATGCTTGAGGCGAAGGGTGGTTATTTCGAGAATGTTCGTCACGTAATGGTTGGGCTCCAACATGCTGCACTGTTTGAGTGAGTTTCTCTTTGCCCCTTGACGCGGAAGCAGACTGACCATGTCCCAGATCCAAGTTCGACAAGTACATCATCGATGGGCACGCCCGTGATCCCAAGGCCGCGTACCTTCAGGACGCCCCAGGTCAAACTGTTGTAGTTTCAGAGGGCGCCGACTCGTTCGATCCATCCCAACTCAAGGCGTTCAAGCGCATGACGTCTCGTGAGCTGGCCGTCGTCCAAGGCCCCCCTGGCACCGGCAAGACTTTTACATCCGTCGTTGCCCTAGAGAGTCATGTTCGCACACTGCAGGAAATCTATGGAAAGAAAAAGTCATTCCCTCCAGTGTTGGTTGCTGCCCAGACCAACCATGCGCTCGACCAGCTCCTCACTCGATGTGAATCTGACTTTGGCGCCGTCCTTTGCCGTCTCGGTGGTCGTACTGAGGACAAACAGATCGAGCCCCGCACCTTGTTCAACATCAGAAAGCATTCCAGTTTTTCGCGTGGGCATACCAAGGGAGAAGGTTCCCGGAAGAAAATCCTCCGCAAGATCGACCACACCTTGTCCACCTGTTTCCCATCCAACTTGATCTCTGCTGAGGAGTTCTTTCAAGCAGAACTCATCACGAAAGAACAGTTCGACTCTCTTGACGACGATGAGTGGGAGTGCGCACCCTTGGTGAACGAGAACAACGGAGAGGTCTCTTCCAGCTCCATGGTGCAATGGCTTGATGGATACATCGAATCGGACCAGACCTATGTTTACCGCCCCCCTAGCGGTCAAGCTGCACCTCCCACCATGGATGATGACCCCACTGAAGCTGAAGACCTAGAGGAGGACGAGAGAGAACGACTTCAGGGCCAGTTTTTTTCAACTCAGTTCAGTGTCACGGGTACTGTCACAGGCGCCAACTCAGGAGAAGCTGCTTGGTTTTACAGGGCTTCCAAACTCTTGGCCATGCACCAAAACTTGTACAACATCAAGCCGGCGCAACGTGGGATGGTCTACCGATATCTCCGGAAACGACTTGTTAACCAGGTTGCCGAGAAGTTTCCCACGTTTCTCAGAGAGTACAAGGCAGCGTGCGACGAAATCAAGATTGACAACTGGGAACAGAGTGCCAGAGTCATTCGCCACGAACGCATCGAGATTCTGGGTTGCACAACGACAGGATTAACCAAGTTTCATGGGCTCATCGCTGCGTTGAAGCCTCGCATCTTGATGATTGAAGAGGCGGCTGAGACCAGAGAAGCAAACATCACATCGGCGATGTATCCATCTCTGGATCAGATAGTACTTGTGGGCGATCACCAACAACTGGTTCCACACGTTGATGTTCGCGAGCTGGGCCAAGAACCGTACAACATGGACGTTTCCCTGTTTCAACGACTGGTCCAACTCGAGCTTCCATTCTCGATGCTACGCGTGCAGCGTCGAATGATTCCCGCCATTCGAGAAGTGGTCAATACCTTCTATCCAAAACTGGAGGATCACCACTCTGTCACCGATCTCTCTGTTCGACCACCAGTTCCAGGCATGGGTGGGCGAAATCTCTTCTGGTTTCATCACCCGTGGTCCGAGGCGCAGAACCCTGACGACTTTTCCTTCTCGAACCCCAGAGAGGCCGACATGATGGTTCGGTTTGTGAGATACTTGGTGATGAACGACATGCCGCCATCTGCCATCACCCTCCTGACTTACTACAAGAGTCAAGTCAACCTGCTTCTCGAAAAGCTCCGACGAGATCAGGTCCTCTTCAACCTCCATCCCACCAGGGAGTGGTCCGTCCGAACAGTTGACGGGTTCCAAGGCGAAGAAAACGACATCATTCTACTCTCTCTGGTTCGAAGTGACAGACCCGGTTTCGTTGACAATGAAAGCCGAGCAGTGGTTGCGCTGAGTCGAGCAAGGCGCGGCATGTACATCTTCGGCAACGTCTACAATGTTTTGAAGAGAACCGAGACGAGCCGCAAGACCTGGTCCAAGGTGTATGATGTCTTCGTTGACAACGAGTGCGTCAACGGCTTTCTCCCAGTCACTTGCAAGAAGCATGGCAGAGTGACCAGGATCGGAGAGGTTGATACATGGGATACCATTCCCGGAGGTGGCTGCAACCAGAAGTGTGACGAGAAATGCCCCAACGGTCATGCCTGTCAGACGACCTGCCACCCATGCGACCAAGCCCGCCTCAAGTGCAGACACGCCTGCGAAAAAGTCCTATCATGTGGTCATGGGTGTGGTTCCTTTTGCGGAGATCCTTGCGAATGCCCTCACAAATGCAACAAGGCTCCCCCAGTCTCGCTGCCCCTTAGAGGCAGGCCTTTGCCACAGGGCCGAGGTGGAAGACCAGGAAACGGGAATGGCGCTTCACGAGGTGGTAGGAACTTTGGCAACCGAGGTGGCAGAGGCGGACGAGCTCATCGAGGAGGTCATACCCAGAACGCGCCATTGCCTGCCAGAGATGTCCATCCCACAGGTGGAATCCGAGGGCCCGAACCCCAGGTTGTCCACCAAGAGCCTACCAGCGAGGAACTGATGGAGATGGGCTACTATGCCCACATGTCGCAGGCCGGGCCGAGCGAACCGAGACGGCTGGACAACTCCCAGACGCCGTTTAAGAGCGGTGCCATCACGTTGACCGAAGACTCGTTGTCGGAGAAGTGGAGCCCGCAGAAGGTGCAGCGACGAGATGTCATGCTCCGAGAGGGCATGAAGCAACAGGGACCGTCTACCTCACGTCCGATGGAGGTTCGGGTGTCGTTTCGCCAGACAACCATTGCGGCTGATTGCACGCGTGTGTGTGGGCGTCCATCGCACACCAAGTACACGATCCCAGCGCCGTCGCCGAAGCGAGGTGCTGAAGTAGCTGACAGCGAGGTCAGTGTCGGTGCTGCTAAGCAGCCGAGCAGGAAGCACATGGTCCTTGATGCGGCGGCGGGGTTCACGAGTATGGCAGACTACGCTGGTTCGAGTTCGGCTGAGTCGCAGAGTGGCCAGGGTGATGGTGATGGCGATGATGGAGATGATGACTTGATTAGTTTTGAGTGATAGTAGGTATGGGCATGGGTACTGGTATGGATATGGGTATGGGTAGGGCAGATGGCACTTTTTGTACTTTAGGTAACGGCTATGGAGGACTACAAATGTTTTGATAGAGTCTTGGTGTTGTGTCTTGGTGATGATGTTTGTGACATGTTATAGATTGGTAGTGAAGTCATGTTTAGGAATGGAACCAACAAAGAGGGACTTGATCGGAACAGGGATTTATTACAAGATGGATGGATTGGATGTTTTGTCTAACCAGAAATGATACAACTACTCCAAGCTGGCGTGCCAGTTTACTTACCCAACTCCAACGCCAGAACAAAAGCATGGTGATAGAATCCAAAACCTCATCCGCCCGTGACGTTGATCTCGTATCCAATCAAGACCTCTGTGCTGGTACCCTCCCAACCCCTTGTGCCGGCAGCACTGAGCATGAAGCGACTCGTGGGATCGATGTAGAGACTGGAGATGACGCCTGCGCGAGGAGGGCCGGGAATAATCAGGAAGGGTACGGTGGAGTGCTTAAAGGCGCGAGATTCTCGAAGGTCGTAGAGACGAAGAATATCATGGGAGGCGCTGGGAATTGTTAGCTTGCTACAAAGAAAGGTCGGAGAGTATACACTTACCACACGAGATGTCTGCCGTTCAACATGGGTCTCACGGCACTCACGGCACCACTACCCGCAGGAAACTTGAGAGAACGCTCAGGCTCCCAACCTCTCCTAGCCTTATGAATATCATACTCCTCGACAGTACCGTTTCTTCGACCAGCGTAGATGATGTTGCCGTTGGGACTCCAACAAGTACCCATACACCAAGGGGGAACACCAGGTCGAGTACCAATACGAGCCACGGGGTCTGGTTGTCGCTTGTCCCAAACACGAATAGGACCGTCGATAGCAGCTGAGATGAATGTAGTTGAAGATGTTTGTGTTGGATCATGCTGTGTTGGGGCGTGGTTGGATGTGTAGAGCATTGGTGACTGAGATCGCTTAAGAGCAGTTACTTCAGCGCTAGCTTGTTGTTGATCTTCTTGACTCGGTGCTGCCGGTTCTGTAGTCTGTGTTGGAGCAGGATCCACGTCCATGGAGTCTCCTGTTTGCTGTGTAGGTGGTGGCTGCGTCTCTGGTTCCTTTGCAGCCTCGAGACTCGCCATGTCTGCTGAATGGTCCATACCGCTATCATGTCCATGTGCAGGCATCATATCCATAGAAGTAGCGCCAAACTCATCATCGTCATTACCAAACGGCTGGTCTCCCTTTGTCTCGCCAAAAAGACTCCCTGCGTCACTGCCACCGAATAGACTATCGTGAGCTGGAGATGCCTGGCCCTCGTCGGCGCCGTTCTCGGCACTAGGCTCGTCGATGCCATCGTTTGTAAGACCGTTTGTAAAGTTACCACTCGCGGGCGGAGCGCCGTTGTTTGTCGACATGGTGGTTGACGGGATAGGTTCGTCCGCTTCTTCAGGTATGGGAGCGCCGCTCGCAGGACGGAGTTCGATGGCAGAGATCTGACCAGAATGACCATCGAAGCTCCGTGCTGTTTGACCCGTGTTAAGATCCCAGTCAAAGATATTCTTGTCCCAGCCGCCGCTGAGCACGCTCTTCTCATCCTGTGCCAGCGTCAAGACGCTCACGGCGTTTTTGTGCTGCTGCAGACAATGAATACGCTTGCCCTCGTCATGACGTACACTCTGCAGGTTTATACCTCCCGACTCGAGACCTGAGAGTAACCAAAGAGCCTCGGAGTTTACGGCGAGAGAGTATACAGGAGACAAAACATGCTCCTGGTCGCCCCTCCCAGGAGGTGAAGGCTCCTCGTTCTCCCAATACGACATGAGTATACCAGCCTTTGTAACGCTATCAACAAAGGGGTGCCTCTGCGCAACCGTCAAGGGTAGCTTTCCGTTGATGGTGTTAGGCCCGTCGTATTTGCGAATGTACCCATCAGATCCTCCGGTGATCCAGTACCTCAGGTCCGGTGTGATGGCCATGGCGTTGACGCTGGTGGACTGGGGCGCTGCCATGGTAGGTACAATGTCGTATAGCTTCGCGTTGATAACCTCGGGGCTAGGGACGGGCCATTTCGTGTACATCTTGGGAGCTGGCGTGGCCGACTTTTGCCTCGACTCTGCTGTCGTCTCTGTCTTGACCTTGTCGTCGGGCTGGTCGTTGGAGTCTGTAGCGGGAGCCTGACTATCCTGCGCATCTCCTTCAGCATCACCCTCCGCGTCATCGCCATTATCATCATCTTCGTCGTCGTCGTTGTTATCATCGTCTCCGTTGTCATTGTCATCGTCGTCGCCGGCGTCCTGGTCGCCATTATCGTCGACATCCTCCATGGCCTCGTCGGCATCGTTATCCTGGTCGGGGCGGTCATTGTCGTGGTCCGACTCGGCCGAGCTCGCCGACAGGCGGTCGTCGTCGAGGGTATTCATGGCAGGAGGTAGGTATCTTCTAATAGGTAGTTCAAGACGAGGCTCGATCGCATCGCATCGCGTCGCGTCTCGAGGTGGGTCCTTTTAATTGGTGGGTGATGACATCAACCCCAGAGCCCAAGGTCAGCAACTGAACAGCTTGAGATATTGAGTTGCTAGGGTCGCCAATGGTGTAGTATTCGATTTATATAGAATTTTGTAGAAGGAAAAAGGTCGCTTTTCACTGTATTTTTACAAGAGAAACTCTGGATCTGTGATGTCTGCTCAAAGGTCATGCGTGGTCACGTGCTAGTGAACGGTCAATGTCGTCGGTGCCTACCGACCTAGGAAGGAGCCTCACTTACACTCCAACTTGACGATTTCTGGTACATTCATCCTGGCATGTATGCTTTAGCATGAGCAATTACTATTATCTATCTTGATAGTGGGCTTCATTCAGTCTTGGTGAAAGATTGACCAGTTAGGGAGTCGATACGGATCCCAATTGACCTTGGATACTTCTCTTACACCAAGATGGGTGGAAATGCCAGTTGATAACGGGTCACTGCCAATGGCGCGGCGTTGGATTTATACCAAATGGCAATATTTAGGTGTTATATGTCCTCCTTTGCCTGCTACCACCAAGTTACCTCCTCCAACCTGAATAACTATGGAAATCACATTGACAAGACATCTGCAAAGTAAAGTAATAACAGAGGAAACAAGTCTATTGGTATACTGAAAAGTAAATGACTGATGCACAGTTATCTTAACCAGTCTACATCGTCAAACCTCCACAAGTCAAATCCATCAAGGTTCGCCATCAGCGCAGCAACTTTGTCAAAACTTGCCCACCACTATATAAACCGACTGCACTCGTCATTGATGGGTCCAGAGGTCTAAAATTACAGAGTCCATTTCGTGCTCTCAGATGGCTTCGCACTCTCCCGCGAACTCCGCGCAATCTTTCCCCTCCTGTACAGTCCCTCATCCTCTGTCTCGCCAATGACACTGATACTCTCACTAGGCCCAACAACATCTCCAGCATCAGTATGAGGACCAGGCCATGCGGTAGACACAGAATTACGTCCATCATCAACCGGACGCAAGTCATCGGGGACGCCGTCAACTTCGTTAGACCATCTCCATATCCGTTGATACCCAGTCGTCATGCTAGTCTCATCTGGTTCGACAGGGGTGGAATACCCAGATGATTCTGCTGCGGGGAGGTTTCTGTACATTGGTGGAGGCGGAGGCGTATCTTTTCTTTTCTTTTTGTTTCTCCCTTGCTGCGTGGGCTCTCGTCGTCCCCCGCGCAGCTGATTATTCGGAGGGTTCTGGCTCGACTCGCGAGTGAAGCCTGGAGGTTGAGAGCTGCGAGAGGGGATGTCTCTTTCATCTAATTCTGAAAAAAAGTACGACTCGTCGCCACCCATAGGAGGAGCCCATGATTGTGTCGACTCAACCTGCTCATTGTCAGCGCCCAAAGATTCCACATCCCTTGTCTCAGAGTCACTACCACTTGCCTCGTCCTCATCCCAGGGACATGGACTACTAGACTGAGGAGTCCAATCACTTCTAGATGTCTCTTCTCTAGCCCTGCGAGCTTGTTCAATCTCCCACTCCCGCTGCCTCTCCGCTCTAGTCTTGCGTATAGGTCGTGGGCCAGCCTCCAGACGACGGATGGCGTGTCTGCGGAGTGTGGGGGGTGCAGCAGCGAGGATGATATTCATGCCGATTCGAGCGCCAAGGGGCATGTCCCCCGTCAACTTTCTGGGATTGTTGTGAGGCTTTTCGTGAGGCATGGTGGTCACTAACAGCCTGTACGAAGGAAGATATCGTCGAGGTGCACTGGCGAGACTGGCAATGCAAATGTGACGAAATAGTCATCTGTGGCAGAGAGACACTGTATATACAAGTTCAAAAAGGGTTAATTACCATTTCTTTGGTCGTGTTGCCTTCTTCAGGCATGTAGTTTTGATGTTCGTAGCCGTCGTCCTGTTTTGTTCACTTGGATGCACTACAAAGACCCCCGGAACAAACGAGCATTGTTACAGCCCATTGACTCTTTCTTATCCAACAGTTCATCTTCACTGCGTTGTTCCCGGTATTATTAGTTGCGCAGACATGTACTCAAACAGAATGAGAACGACCGTTGCCTATGGCCTTTCTGGGCGAATTGACAAACTCAAGATCCGTTTGTTGTACTTCACTTTCCATCAGGGCCGTTTCCTCGGCCGTCTTCTTTGTTTAGTTACCCCTTTGGAGCCTATGTGACGACGTCACCGTCAATGGGACTCGGTAGTGATGGCTAGCTCTCATAGGCCAAGGAATGAGTTAAACTTTGAGCCAAGCATAGATACTAGTTACTATTCACATGCAGAACAAGACCCCAGTCACTCGCCATTCAGCCTAAACAACTCAGTTGTCACCGCCCCAGTTTATTACCCATACTCCAAAGCATAACTTGAACTGGAGCTTGCTCAACTCGCATTGGCTGTCATGTCTTGTACATAGACTGAAACTTGACCTACATAGGGACGCAGTCTCAACTGACTATGCACGTCCAAGACATACATCTCCCTCCACCGCTCATCTCAATCTCACCCTCTCCCTCCAACGCGCATACATACACGACATACAGACGCCATGCAAGCAGGCATGTGTCCATCAGCCCTTGTCTGAGACAAACTGCATTCCTGTCAAGCCCCTTGCATTAGAGCTCAACGCCCTCGCACATAGATAAAAGCCACATTCCCATACCGACACACAAAAGGTTTCTCAAAAAGTCATTCAAAATCATCCCGTCCGGGTTTTTCTATTCCTTTCCATGTCCTATATATCTTACAGCGAGCTGCTGGCCAGCTATGCAGCATCACCGCAGCTCGTGCATCAACCTCCTCCATTTGTCTTCTCTCTCTCCCTCGCTTTGTTCTTCTCGTCCGTCAAGACATTCAAGGAAATCAATAAACACGACACGACACAATGCCTCCAACTCCGTTTTTTAAATCCAGGACATAAGAAGCCCCATACATTCCATTTCCAGCACCTGCCATGACAAGATGACAAACAAAACCACAGATGCCCTCACCTGTCGTCTCGATGAAGGGGTATTATCATTATCTACTAAGGAAATAAAAGGAAATGCTCGCACAAGGACAAGTCGAGTCGGTCCAAGGTGATCGGTTCAGTTGGGTTGGGTTCAATTCGATTCAAGGAAACGTGGTATACCCAAAGTTGGGTAGGGTTGGGTAGGGGGGTGTTGGGGCATGTTGATACGCAACCCTTGCTCACAAGGGGAAAACAAATGGCTCGGCAATGTCCAGAAACTCAAAAGAATGGCGAGCTCAAACGAGGTAAGCTCATGATGTGACCCGAGGGTCGTTGAAATATTGCACCATACCCCAGTCGGCTGGTGCTCCGTTATGTTGTTGTTGTCCTGGTTGCTCCAGGATGATGCTCTCCCAATCGTCAAATACCACAGGAGCCGGGGAATACTCAAAATCCATCATTGATTCACCAGTCTCCTGACCCTGACCCTGAGGTGGTGGTGGCAGCTCGCGCTTGTCCAGTGGCGAGGACGCGGGCGGAGGCATCAGAGGTGAAGTCGAGGGTCCCATCGGGGAGTGAGACGAATCGGGAGATGGTCTCGGTTGGGGTGTGAATGGCTGCGATGGCACCATTATTGTGTTGCGGAAAGGTGCTGCAAACGAAGCCTGTTGAGGATCCGGCGAAGGCATCATCGACTGGTGGCCAGGGTGGCCCTGAGTAGGAAGGGTCATGAACGACATGCGAGGGTCGTGAGGGAACGCCTGGGGTGCCAGGCTCGTATGCGAGTACTGAGGCGAAGGAATAGGCGCTGAGGTGAGGACAATATCGGCGAGGTCGTAAGCTACACTGACAATCCACTGAGCCTCACCCTCATCGCCAGAGAAGAACTCGAGGAGATCCTGCAGCTGGCCGGGGCTCTCATTCTCCAGGAAGCCCTGAGCGCGGCCCGTCTTGCTTGGGTGCCAGCTGAACTGGGGTCTTCGACCATTATATTCAGGCTGCTTGCTGACGACAAGTGCGTCCCAAGCCTCGTGGATCAGGGGTTGGTGTAGGAGACCATACACCACCCGAGAGTGCATCCAGTCACCCTTGGTCATACCAGACTCGAAGTGACGGGCGACGTGCTCAACATGGCGTTCGCGAGCCGGGTGAAGAGCAGAACAGAAACCGCAGGCCCAGTACTTGCGCTTTCGGAGGAACTTGACCACCTTTTCGGCATGGGGACACGTCTTGCAGCCGTGGCACTGCTTGTGGTGCTGGTTGAACGAGTTGGAACCCCAGAAGCTTCGGTTGCAACCAGGCTCGGGGCAGGGGTACTTGCGCCAGCGCTCGTGGAACTCGTCCTCGTGGCGCTTCCAGTCGTACTTGCGCTTGAAGCTCGTTTCACACGAGGTACACCAGTAAATGTTGGTCTTTCCGGCGGTGCCGACTGGAGCACCAATGGCGCCAAGTGGTCCGCTGATCGGGTTGGATGGAGGGAGAGGGAGAGGCGCCTGAGATCGGGCGCAGTTTGAGGTTGATGATTGCCAAGACATCGATGACTGACCCGAGTTGGTGGACCAGATGGAAGCATGACCGGAGGATCCGGAGCTCGTCGAGGAGACGGAGATGCGAGGGCGGTGGTTAAAGGGGGCCTGGGGCGGCATGAAGATGGCTGCTTCATTGTCTTGATTAGCAAATCAGTCAGCAAATGCAGAGAAGCAAGGAAATCGACGGCAACTGCGGTCAGGTAAGCATGACATACAAGGGACCTCCTCGGGAACGGTTTCGCGCTTGATCTCGGCGGATGGAGTGGTGGCAGTTGATGAGTTGCTGGAAGTTGTCGTCACGGTCGGGAGATTCGGAACAATAGGAGGTGGAGGAGGGCATCGCATCGGCGGAGGAGGAGCGAGAGAGGCAGCACTGGGGGCGGGATTCGGTTGTTGAGGTTGGCTAAAGGCGGGAGGAGCCTGCTGCTGAGGTTGAGAGGGAATCGAAGCCATCGAGGACATGGCGCTCAGGCCCAAAGACAGCGACTGGCTTTCATCGACCCATTGATGAAGGAGATCCTTGGACAGGCCTGAATCGATCAGGACCTGGAGGTTCTTCCTTGCCTCGGCGAGGACATCCTGAGGAGTGGCGTCATGGTGCTGCTGGTGAGACGGCGAAGGGCTCGGCTGCTGCGACATGATGTGCTGCTGTTGCTGGTATTGCTGAAGCTCGAGTTGTTGCTGCTGCTGGGGGCTCTGGCTCTGATTCTGGCTCGGATCCATGGGCAGCGCTCACATGGAGGATAGACGGGGAATCGACTGCAGCGTGTAATCGGCAACGACGGTAAGTTGATTGTTCGGTTATGTGAGCTTGTTTTGGTCGAGCGAGCTGAAAAGTGGTGTTGTTTTTCCTTGAATGCGTGATGGTCGTTGAGAAGCGAACGTGTTGGTAGTGGCGAGCTGATTATACCAAAATGGCACAACAGAAAGCGGTTCGAGTCGATTTCCTTTCTTCCTTTGGATTCCCGGAAACGAGCGAAGAACGAGAGACAATAGCGAGTGTTTTAAAAGTTCTGAGGTAAGAACTTTCGGTGTTGAGCGAGAGTGTTGAATCAGAAACAATAAGAAAAAAGAATAAAAAAGAAACGAAAGAAAACAAAGACTGGTGATGCTCTGGGCTTTGGAGTTGTCAAGTGCAAGAGAACGAAACGGAGGGGGAGGAGGAGGAGAGGATGGAGGCAGAATGGGGGTGGGAAGGGTGGTGTAGAAAGGAAGCTACGGGCGCCGGGCACTGGGCAGCTTGGGTCCTTCTTTTTCCTTAGGGAAAATGTACCAGGGACGAATTGATTGGGAGAAAGGGAAGGAAGGGGGGTCGAAGGGGGGGGCGTGTGTGGTCCCGGGATATTTCTCCGAATATAATTAGATCGCCTTCTTTTTTTGCTTGTGTCCGGGGGGTGTAGGAAAGAGCGACGGGAACGAGAGAGTGCGAGCGCGTGGGTGCAGGAAGGGGAAGAAAGGGAAGGGAAGGGGCGAGCGCGCTCAGCGCCTTTCTATGTATATGCAGGTGCACGCACTGGAAGGAAGGAGCCTGCTGCTCTTCTCCAGCGGGCCTTGCCTAGGTTGCCTTGCTTGTGCCTGGCTGGCTGGCTGCTTTGTGTGCTTGGACCACTGGCACCACTTTGGCGCGGGCTGGGGAGGACCCAGAAGGAAGGGACGGGAGAGGGTCTCTGCAGGTACTTTGGTTCGAGTACCTTTCCTCAAAGGCTTGCCGCGCGCTCAAAGATCAATGTCGAGTTTCACGAGAATTGAGGTTCATCATTGTCTTTCGTGTCTGTTCCCGTGTGGAGATTTGAGGGATTGAAGGGCAACTGTTGTGTTGTCCGTGTGTGTGTCCCGAAGAAATGGACAAGGAAGAAAGGGCATGAATAAAGTGACGTGACGTACAGCGAGAGGATGATGAGCATGTCGGCGGGTTTGAGGGATCCATGGCTTAATGGATTGGATCATGGTTGGAGTTCAACAAGCGGGTGATGCCGCAGAAGAAACAAGAAGTAGGCTAGTTGCAGATAAGGGGCAAAAGTTGTCATGACCGTTGCGGATTCAACTTAACCATCTTCATTAACACTCTATTTCTTCTTCTTTGCCATTACCAATTCAACTCGGCTTCTTCATCTTCTCTCATAACTGAGTCAACCACATCACGATCTCACTCTTCCCCCAGCACCGACCAAGCCATCAGATCAAGGACCAACAATTCCTCCCAGTCGTCGACCGACAAGCGGGGACCTTGGAGGATGATCCCTGCAGTGCTGGACGACGGCGCCGCCGCCAGGGGTTAACCAAAGAGAAGGGATCCCTACCCAGGAGGATTTTGTGAGTAGCACATGCACCACCACCACCACCCAGAGCACGGGTCATCAAAGCCCAGCCAGCTCACGGGCGCGTCATGGCTTGCAGTGCCTGTGTGTCTGCTGCTGCCCATTAAGGCGTAGATGGCTTCGAGTTTCTGCTCGAGAGGTTGTACAACGGGAAAAGGCGTTGTTTCACCACCATTTCCAAAGATAGAATATCTCTCTCTCCAAACTTCTTCTTCCCCCTGTTCAGCAATTCAATGCACAACTCGTCATGTCGTGTTCGGGTATCTCCCCCCCCTCCATTGACACTCTGCAATCAAGGCAACGAAAAGAAACTGCAAAAGAAACGAAGGATTTTATTCCCCAATACCAAAATGATCAATCTGGTTGTTGTCAAACGAACGGAAAATGTTCCACTGTCCACGAACCCCCGGCTCCAATGTCCCAATTCCTCCATGTTCCTCCGGGATTTGGCTCCATTGTCGTGTCCCCCAGTACGGATACCTCTCAGTCATTATTTTGTAATGAAAGCCTCCCAAGCCCAAAAAAAAAGCCCCGAACGCCCATCCCCAGCCGCACGTTTTCTCTCTTCTCGTTTCTCGTACTTGCGCGCTTTTCACAGTCCCTCAGATCTCTCTTTTTTTTTTTTACTCATGCTGGAACACGCTCTGTAACAGACAACTCTCACCTGAAACGCGCGACAATCAATCAGCAAGCATGCTTCTTGTCTCTTGTGAGTGTGTAAAAAACAACAACGGTCTGCGCCGCGCCGCCGAGCGTTTCGAAACGGTTTCCCGCCAATCAGAGACGTGTGCCTGTAAGACGACCTTGTCCAGGGGGGGCGTGAGAGGGGGGGGGGGGAGGAAGATGGAGATGGGGGCGGAAAAAGGAGACCCCTTCTTTTTTTGGTGTCTCCATCTCTCATGATCCCATGTGTATGTACATGGGGTCTTGTTAAGAGAGATTTCAACTTTTGATGCGAAAAGAAGCGTTGGTCGTTGCGTCTACGTTGCTTTTCCTTTCTCTCCCTCTGCATGTCGACCGTTGAGGAAAAAAAAGGCGCAAGCATGGTTCAGATCTGCCGGATCAACCCAACCCATCCATGATGATGACCATCACCCCTCGCGATGTGCCCCTGGATCCCTGGCTAGGGCCCTAATGTGTGCTTGTCAACAGGCTGCATCGTCATCATCGTGTCTGCAGCTCGCAACTCTACTTATTGGACATCCATCGTGTCGTACGTACGTACCTCTTGCTGTGCACAGCCTTGACGCCTCTTCCTTCGACCCGGGTCTTGGGTAAGCTACAGGCGTCTAGTAAACCCAGTCCAGCTCAGCTTATGATATGAGAATATTGGATCCCTCTCAACAAAACCCGCCCTTGACACAGACCTTTTCTCGGATCTTGTGTCGTCGACTGGACTGGCCGGCCCCTGGATCGACGCTGTCATCATCGTCATCATCGCTTGTCTATCTGAGCTTTTGTCTCCCCCACCCGAGCAACGAACGACAAGGCAAGCGAAGGGAGAGCCCTTACAAATCCAGTTAAACGCGGAAAGAGACAGTGGGGTGTATATTATCTCACTTCTCTTTCTACCCGTTGTAAAAGCATAATTTAATGAAACCTTGTCCCTCTTGCTGGCTTAGTGCGTCCCAGCACATCGTAAGCTTTCACTGGCGCGGCGCCTGTGGAAATTGGAACAACAACAAACAACAACACAAGCAAGGCTCCAGCTCATATGACTTCTCTTGACATAACTTCCAGGTCGGTTAGCAAGCTCCCTCTGTGATGGATGCCGAAGCCCCAGCACCAACAGGCTGGAGTCACACACGGGAAGGGAAAAGAGGAGGAGAGCCATGTGTTCGAGAAGCGAACAGGGCGCACGGGGATTCCTAGTCTTGCATCATTTCGCGTATCACGGGGTCCCCTTGTTTAAATGGATCCATCCAGTTGCCCACCATGTTCGCCCCCTTTCAACGGGCATCAAATGCAAGCGAACAACAGCCCATAGCGTTTCCCTTCCCGCGTTGCTTTTAAGATGACGATGTAGCATTCCGTTGTCCTTCTGTCTCCAACCTTGTCGTCTTATCCTTTCGCTTGTCTTCTTGTCTGTTGGTTACCCGTTAACCCCTTGATCCTTGTGGCACCCTGATTTGCCCGTACCCTTTTTCGTGCTAGTCAGGGACACACAGAGGATATCGTGACACGGACCAGGAGTCTGGGTGCGAGTTGTTTTCTGATTCGGGTATAGCGGCCGAGAAGGTCTTGGGCTCTGATCATGAATCAATTGGCTGCGCAGTGAAGCCACTAGGATGTTGAATCATGGTGGACAAAAAGCAAGCTGCCCTTTAGTAACCACATGCCATATAAAGTGTACCTGTATTTTTCTCAATAGCCCGCGCAAGATGAAGCTTCATGGGGTACATGCATGCACTACCTCTGCACATTTCCGTATCTCGGTGCTTTTTAACGGAGCATCATTCATATAATCTTATTAAACATGCATATTCCTATATCAATCCATCTTCGTATTTAACTCGCAGATCACATGCGGTCAAAGCATGCCCTCGGTTCGCTATCTTTTCACAGTGTCCGTCATATTAATTAATGTTTCTGTTTTTAAACATAAAAAAATCCATCAATGACTGACTGTCTTGTCTCTGATAATGTCACCCGTCCTAGTCTTCCCGCTCTTCCCGTGTCTTCGTGCCTCAGCCCGGTTCCCTCTCCTTGGGACCTGATGACGAACAGAGTAAATTTCGACGTCAGTGTTTCACACAAAGCTTTTTACAATATTTGCCACACACCCTCTCTTTCACTTTTCTTGGCTCAGCTGACGATCGTCGACGCCGAAGAGCGGCACAGGCAAAAACAAGGAACAAGAGACCTTGCTGCAGAAAGATCAGAACGTTTCTGCCCGAGAATGGGCTATAGTCCGAGGAAACATAAGACTGCCAAAACGAAATGCCCATTAAACCGAATCCCTGCTTGAACTCTGTCTCTCGTCATTCCCATTTCCTGTTTTTCCTAAGGGTCCGAATAATAGCATGCACTTATAGGTTACATGCTGCAAGGCACCGAGTTACACTCGAAGAAACTTGTCTACCGATTGCAACTCCAACTAATTTGTGTGGTCGACAGACACAACACCACCACCAACAATCCCAAAATATCCCCTCCCGAGACATTTCATTTTTTATCCCCCGATGCACGTCAGGTTTCTTCTTGGTCCCAACAGCTCGTTTCTCTATCACATCCAATCCAACATGTTTAAACAGCCCACCACACACTCCTCCAACTTCACTTGAAACCCGCATTCAAAACCCCCGGCCCCCCGACCCCGACCCGTTGTTAAACCCCCGGCACCTCCGTGTTTCTTCACTCCCCCCGGACCCTTGCATCTTCTGCATCTTTCCTTGCGACAACCAACAGACATGATCCACAGGCACGGGCTCGACATGTTCTCGGCCGAGCACTGCCACGCCCTAAACGTCACGGACGGTTCCTGAACTCTACTCTGCCAGTAGTCTCGATCTTTCGTTTCTCTTAGACTGATTAACTACTTGCTTGTTCTGTCTTTAGTTCGTTGTACACTTTCTACCTCGTACCCGTCCGTGCTCTGCCCCCCGGCACCTTTCCGCAGAGTACATTGCACCAAAACCAAGCCAAACCCACAGTCGGCCAACTCAAAGGCCACCAGAACGCCTGAGTGTCTCCTCCGTCTCCCTCGAGAGTTCCGAAGCTGATCGGGGTCTCCTCTTGATCCCGAACCTCCTCCTCCACTTGCTCGTGATCATCCCCAACTCCCCACTGGCGCCAGGCACTATACCGGCCATCATATCCCGAATCTAGACATGGTTGACGAGAAGAGAGGGATCAAGGCTTGTCATTCCGTGTCCGTCTTCCTGTCCATTACCCGATCAAACGCCCTCCCTATTTGCTGTCCTGGTTCCAAACATCCTTCTCTTCCGAGACCAACACCAAAGATCCATCTTGGAGCATATCTGCCCATGTCAAAGGCTACCTGTTTCGCCACCTTGCTCCGAGCCTTACGCACTCGTGCTAAAGTAGTAATTCTCCCACAGATACTCGTAGTCCTCGAGGATCCCTCCAATGAACGACGGCATCCTCTTGCTGACTCCTCCTACGACCCCCTTGGTGATGTTCTCGTAGCAGGCGCCCCTCATCGCCCACCATCCCATCGCCCAGCCTCTCTTGTTCCACTCTTCCCGCTCCAGGGACGTTGTCCGTAGCCCGCGCTCCCGGAGCTGCCGCGCTGCATACTCGACGGCAAAGCCAATTAGCCAAGGCGCCCAGGCCTTCTTGCTGCCCCCTCGTCTGCTGTTGTGCGCCATGGCTGCAGCGTATATGAGCGGTGACAGGATCTGCAGGATCTCGGCGCCGTGGCTGCTCCCCTGGAGCTTGTTGAGCAGCTTGGTGGCCGGCTTGATGTCGTCGGCCGTCAGCACGCGTCCCAGCAGATACGAGCTGATATCCCCGGCATCTGGCAGAGACGGCAGGCTCATGCCCGTCCGGGGCATGGCCCACTCACGCTCGTGCGGCGGTTTCATGTGTGTCGATTCAGAGTCGGAGCCATTCGCCGACACATCGTCCATCAGCTCACTCTCGCTGCGATAGGCCAGCTCTTCCTCCTCAGCCGCGGCTGTCGCATTCTCGGGGATGGGCTCCCGTTCAGGCAGCACCGGTGTCACCAGCGGCCGCGACCGCGTGATGCGCAGGAGCAGGAGGCGGCACAGCGCCTTGAGTGCTTCAAGTATTACAACCACCTTCCACCGCGACCGCTCCCCGCCCCGCCGCTTGGCTGTCATCTCCCACAGCATCTCGGTGTAAATGATCATCTGCAGGAACATTGCTATCCTGCGGTACGCGCTGCTCCGCTGGGTCCAGTGTCGCGTGTATCGAGCATGCGCCGACGGCATAGACGCCATGGGCAAGCGCGCAATGGCTTTCTGGAGGAGGGAGTCATGGTAGAGGGAGAGGAGCTGAACGCCCGAGTGGATCGACTCGGATGCTATCTCGGCATCGCGGAAACGGCCTGGAACATGTCAGAAGGAGTTCCTTGCAGGTACATGTACAAAACATGAGTGAACTCACCTGGTATGATGTATGTTAAACTCCGCAGGGCGCTCTCGATCTGCGATACCTGGCCGGCGTTCTTTGTGATAAATTCGTCATACATAGAGAGCCATTGCGGAGGTAATGAGAGGATGCGACCGAGGGATGGTCGCGACGAAGACGAAGCTGTAGAATAAAAGGAATATGAAGGTAATGAGGTTGAATTAGAAGCAGAAGATGGCGCTGGGCGCGTCGATGAGGAATTCAGGTCCCCCATCTCGACGTCAGCCGCGTGACGAAAGGAGATCAATTAAAAAGGAGAGGCGCGCGCTATGGATGTGCAGGCGTCGGTCGGTCGGTCGGATCGGGTGATGCTTCAGTCGACGGCCATGACGCGAAGTCTATCGTCAAGGGATTATTCGTCGGAGATGGCGCAGATGACAAGCGACAAGCGCGATGGGATGATGAAGGTGGTGATAATCTGGGGATGGAGTTGAACAGGTTGAATTGAATCGAGGTCCCCAGCTTCCGCCCGCCGAATCCCGAGGCACGTCACCTCTCGCGCCCAGAATGTGGAGGGAGGGAGGCGGAGGTGGCGCGTGCCTGAGGCCGTTGACCTCGGCCTCGGCATCCGAACCGACTACCCTAGACTTGCACATGAAAAAGGGGATTAACGCATGAATTGGCTTGATGTTTTATGCGTTTTTCATGTCAAGGCATGATGTTGCTTGGATACGTTCTTTATGGTAAGATCTATCTATAGATATTTTTAGATTTCTATAATAATTGTGGTATAGTGTGAATTTACTGACTGCATTGACCGTTCGTTCATGTTGGGAAGAAAGATATTCACATCTGTGATTCTATCACGAACGAAAATTAGGACAACTTGAACTCAACAACAATGTGAAACTGAGTTAACCTAAACTATATACGAACCCAGTGGCATCAACTACAAGATGTCATTGCTTCCCAGTTCAGAACTTCATTCACAAGTCAATCCCTCCTACTGACTCAACGTCCTCTCCTCTGCAACATACGACCAATACCTCCCAGCAGAAAACTTTCTCAGACGCTTCCCCCAAACAATCATGCAAAGGAAAGTGCCAGTGACAAAGAGCGAAATCATGGAAACAGAGATGAAGCAGTTCTGAAGCCCCAGACTGTCGATCCACGGGTTGATGGCATATCCAAACGCAAAGCCCAGCGTGTTCCTGATGAGAATGACGGCGATCAGAGACTCGCCTGCAATCTCCTTGAAGCAGTCGACTGTGTATGCCAGCGCGATGGCACCTCCGCAGACGACGCCGAATGTGGTGAAGCCGATACCAAAGATTAATCCCATAAAGTGAAGGTCATGGCTTGCTCCGACTCCCCACATGATGAGTCCTCCAGTAGACATGAGCGCAGAAAGAGGAAGAGCCCATAGTCGATGTTCAGGTTCACGAATACCCTTGTTGCGACGCGCCAAGCGGAGAGCAATCTTGTCTGCGAACCAGCCAGACCACAGAGAGGCGAAGGAACTGGCGACTAGAGGGGAGAGGTATGCAGTTCCAACCATGGCTGGAGCAAAGTTGTACGGCTCTCCGCCCAAGATGGACGACATTGTGCCGTTGATGACCATGTACCATGCCAAGTTAGCGCCGTATAGGAGACCGGCCCAGGTGATGTTTGGAAACCAGTACAGGATCTTGAAGGTGCGCCACACTTTCATGAGAGCCTGCTTGGGTGTTGGACGACCGGGAAGGAGAAGAACAAGCTTCAACTTTTGGACATGAGTTCTTGGAGGTGGGAAAGAAACCTCTTCCTGCGTTGTCTCTGCCATCCCGGTCTTTTCGTCCACCGCAACAGCATCGGTTTCGGTCGTGTTTCTGAAGTAGATGGTCTCCTCCATAAAGAAGAAGAGAATCGTGGAACAAAAGAGAACCCAGATGGCGGCAAAGTACATGACCCAGTGCCAGCCAGCACCATCGAGGATGAAACCAGCCAGGAAAGGGGCGATAAAGTTAGACCCGAACAGCATGAGGGCGTAAATGGCCATGTAGCTTCCACGCTCATGAGCAAAGAAGAGATCAGGAACTGATAGCTCAGGGAGCGACTCGATTGGAGCGGCAATGAAGCCGAGGATGATACGGTGGGCGTACCATTGCGATGGCCCATGGGAGAAGGGTGTCCAAAGAACAGGTGGGATGCAGAGGACGATGGAGACGAGGTAGACACCCCTCCGACCATACGTCGTAGCAAGAGGTTGCCAGAACAAATTACCCCAACCAAGAAACAAAAACATGAGGCCAGTTCCAAGGTTAAGCTGACTGACAGTGAGAGCCTGTGCCTCAGCAATCTGTGTCAAGACAGAGTAGTGAACGGTGGTGCAGATACCAACACCCAAGACGTAGAGGTATGTCATGGAGATGGCAACCAGCTTGCGTCTTCTCGACCAGTTCAGGGGGTCTTCAGGGTCTGAGCTTGGCTGAGGTTGAAGAACGACCTCGCCGCGATGGCCGAGGTCGTTGCCGTGGTGGGATTCATCCCAGAGCAAGATGGTACCGGGGACATCGTCTGGATGTGACATGATTGAGGTAAAGACAAGAATGTGATTGATGAGGATGAGAGATCGACAGAGGGGGGAAAGCCGAGTTGATATAGACTTTGCCAATTGATATAAGTCGGCAGACATGAATCGCTCAACAACATGGATGTCGGCGTTCCGACGATATCTCTACCCCGCATACCAACTTATCTCCTACTAAAGCAACACTACAATCTCTCCTTTCTTCTAGTGTAGCCGCGATTGAAGTCCTCCTGATCAAAAACGCGGCAATCCTCATGATTGGAGCAAGTGTCCAATCCTTCAAGGTTGGCGATGCGAACTCGCTTAGATGATCCGCGCGCCCTCTTGATAAGCCCCCCCCCCCCCCCCCCCCCGCACAGCACCGTCTGCCAAGCCACCCTGGTCCCCGGATTCCCTCATCCGGAAACAAGCTTGATGGGAGAAGGGAGATTTATCATCACTTGGGCTGATGGTTGTGCCTGGCGCAATTAGTTCTGATTCGTCCCACACACCTGGGTCCCCGCTCTAGATAGTGTGTGGCAGACAGCCATCGTCCATGTTATAAATCATTGTTATGCTGTGCTCATTTACAAGATACTCACTCGTCCCTTCTTTTTCATCACACCACAGAAAGTTAATCCCAAGATGCCCCTGCAAATCATCCAACCTGTTCCTACACCTTCGGGTTCGGCGCAGTATTCAGCCCTTCGAGATTCCATCCTCGACGAGTTTGCTGCCTCTGTTCCTCAAGACCTCTTCTTGTCCAAATCCATCTTTGAGAATCCTCCCAAAAATGTCACGGCTATACCTAAAGAATGCGGTTTGCTATCTCCTCAAGAGATAGAAATCACAGAGGCATATGATGCTGTTGGTCTTGCTGATGCTATTGCTTCCAAGAAGCTCACGGCTGTGGCTGTTGCAACTGCTTTTGCTAAAAGAGCCATCATCGCTCATCAACTTACAAGTTGTCTCTCTGAGTGGTTCATGAGCGATGCGATTGAGCAAGCCAAGTCTCTCGACGCCCACCTTGAAAAGACCGGTCAGACAGTTGGTCCATTACATGGTGTCCCCATCAGTCTCAAGGAGCACATCCCCTTGGCTGGTCATTGGAGTAGCGTCGGCTACCTCGATACCAGACGCAAGGATGGAAATGACGCTCTCATGGTTGCCATCCTTCGCAAGGCTGGTGCTGTCTTCTACTGCAAGACAAACCAGCCTCAAGCTATCATGCATCTGGAGAGCACATCACCTCGTGGTCGTGTGCTCAACCCTCACAACATCAAACTCTCCGCCGGTGGTTCTACAGGTGGTGAAGCCGCCCTGGTTGCCCTCCGAGGTTCAGTCCTAGGTGTTGGAACCGATATTGGCGGTAGCATCCGAGGGCCTGCTGGCTTCTGCGGCATCTACGGCTTCAAGCCAACATCTTATACACTGCCCATGAAGGACTTTCTCCCCGGAGGTTTCGGCGCAGAGCTCAATGTCCTGTGTTCTACAGGTCCAATGTGCTCTTCACTTCGAGACATGGACTTGCTCATGTCAACCATCATATCTGCAAAGCCTTGGATAGGAGATCCTCGCGTTATCCCCATCCCCTGGACAGGACTCAAGACACCACAGAGTCCATCCAAATCTCCCCTAAAAATCGGCTTCATGATGGACGATGGAGACATCATCCCGCAACCCCCAGTAACCAGGGCTCTCGAATGGGCTCGATCAAAACTCCAAAACTCCCCCGACTTCACCTTCAAACCCTTCAAGCCATACAAGACCGCCGAGGCAATGAAGTACATTCGTCTCGCCTACTGGCCTGACGGAGGCAAGACGGTCAAAGCGCACCTAGCAGTCAACGACGAGCCCATGTTCCCCTTGACAAAGCACATTACCCAAGACGCAGAGGGCCCTGAGCTGTGCGCCAGCGATGTTCTCAAGCAGCGCCTTATCCGTGATGACTTCCGCTGCGAATTTTCCCTGAACTGGGAAGAGCAAGACGTTGACATTGTCATATGTCCTGTCTTTGTCGGTCCAGCATGTACCCATGAGACTGCCTTTTACTGGAACTACACAGCCCTGTGGAACTATGTCGACTATCCCGGTGTCGTCGTACCCACGCCGATCAAGGCGCTGGCAAAGGGACAGGAGACATATTCTTCATCAACACCGCTGAGTGAGAACTGCAAGCATGTTAGGCAACTCTGGGAGGAGGGAGACTTTGAGGGTGCGCCCGTCAACCTGCAGATTGTGGCGAGGAAGTATCACGACAATGACTTGTTTGCTGCCCTGGATCAGTTGAAGGATGTTTTGGAGTTGAAGTAGTTGATAATTATCTCGCCGATGAATTAAATGTCTTGACGAATAGCTCGAGTCTCTTTGGACTATCTATTCCATCCTTATACTCAGGCATATTCGGCGTGTATATCCATCAGGCAAGTCAGTCTGCCATGGCCGCTCGTTCAGCTCACACCATAGAAAGACTCCATATCATCCTAGGCATCGCGTCATTTCAAGTCTATTTATATCATCCCTTCACTCCCGCTCATATATCATTTTCAGTCCCATGTAAACCCCCGTTCATAGATCATACCTTTGTCTATGAGTATAACAAAAAAAGCTTTCCCAGGTTTGATTCTCAGGAGCAAAATGACATGTCGTGACATGGTGTTTTCGTATCTTGTCCATGCAAAAATGCTCAACATGTCTGATAACAAATGTGGCTGAGGGAATACAGGTGTAAAAACAGGACAAGAACGAAAAAAACACACAAGTGTCCGCATATCATGAGCAAACACTGATACCAAAATCATGGGGAGCCACCATCGTACCGTACCTAGTCTTTCGCTTCCAGATCATGTCCTCATACGTCTTCTTGCAGAAATCAAGATGCCTCGGTTGAAACAAACAGGTAGCATCTTAGCAAGGTCGTCAAACAGAAAAAGACCAACCATGTATGTGGTGCCCCCGGACTGTCGAGTTTTGGTTCGTGTCTCTCTGTATGCGACATTCCAACACGTCTATATTGCCTTTATCTCTTCCTCACCTCCGTTGCCCAACCATCGATGCCTTCGCCCCGGCCTCCTACTTCTAAGCCCTCGATCTTCAACCCCTTCATGCCAGGTGTATCTTCCAGCCACAGATGGCCTGCCATACCACCAGCATTCGCCCTCTTCTCTGGTACCAGCTCCAACATCGGGGTCAAAAAGTCCGAGATGCGCTTCGCCTCGTCCTCCTTGAAGTGGTACTTCTCGCGTAACACATCCGGTAGAGCCCAGTGCCGGAGCCTGTGAATGTTCCGCAGCTCACCCTTGCGGTTGAAGATTTCCTGGCTCCATTTGCCACTGAGGCATAGTGACTTGGGGAAGGGCCCGAGGAGCTCGATGATTTGGGCAATGTGATCGTCATCTTTGCCGTATTTGGTGCCCGACTGGGGGTCAAACAGATAGTCGCCCGTGATCAACTCAAAGACCTGACACACGCGTATGTTAGCTCATCATTCTTGCGCAACCAATAGTCATCCCATTCGGGTGAATCAGAAGTCTTGGTCATACCATCGCAGCCATACTCCAGACGTCAGTGCTGGCACCCCACTTGGCACCCAGGATAACCTCGGGTGACCGGTATTGCCTCGTTTGGATATCGTTGGTAAAGTGGTGGTTGACCCAGCAGGCGTTGCCCAGGTCTGCAATCTTGACGCTGATAACGTCAAAGGCGTGGGCATCCTCCGCTTTACGCTTCTCGCCGGTTGACGCTGATGGTGAGTTTGACTTGTCGAGAGAGATGCCAGAAACTTCACGGCTCAAGAGGTCGCTATATTAGAGTCAGCACCTGCCAAACTGATACTGAATCACGGCGCCATCACTTACGCAGACTTTTCTCGCTGTTTCTGGGCGTCATCGCCTGGTTTAGGAGATGATTCCTTTGATGTCTTGCCTGCTTAGAGCGTGTTAGCATGGTTGCACACAAACCTGTCACCTCGATTCATTGGAGCAAATATGTCTTACCTTCGTTCAAAACACCAGCAAGACTAGAGTGAGGATTCGGTGAGGGAAAGAGGTTGGTGTGGTTGAAGCTGGTGTTGAGGGGGGATGGCAGAGGTTGGCTGCCGGTGATGAGAGTTCTCCGGCGTCGGCGACCATTCCTGTTGTTCTCCTTGTCGCCAGCGTCGGGCTTGACGACGCGTTTGACGATCTGCTCGACATCGCCAATCTCGATGAGGACGTTTTCGGGCTTAAGGTCGGTGTGGATGATGCCGCATTCGCGATGGAGATAATCGAGACCAAGGAGAACCTGCTTTGTGATCTGCTTGACCAGAGGCATGGGGATTCCGCGGTGATTCCAACGCTTGATAAGGCCAAGCAGGTTCTCGCCGAGAACCTCAAACACCATGCATACATGGGTGCCATGTGGCCCCTTGTGCTCAAACGAATCAAGCAGACTCACGACGTGCTTGCGACCGGGATGGTCAGGCTTGGCCTGTACAATCTTATTGAGGAGCTTGATCTCGTCGATGGCGGTCTCGGTGTAATGGGCGGCGGAACGGACAACCTTGAGGGCGACATGCTTGCCGCTCGTGTTGTCGCGGGACAGCCAGACGGTTGAGAAATGACCCCATCCTAGCTTGCGAACAACAGTGTATTTTCCGTCCTTGAACTTCTCTCCGACCTGAACGGGATGGTATCCGCCCTTGCAGTAATCCTCAGAATCCTCCTCATCTGCAGTATTTTCGGCGGCGTCGTCGACCGACGAGGACGAGGGGGAGTGGGTCATGGCTGACAGTTGATGCGATCTAGAGTCGGAAAAGAGCTCAACGTTAGCGACTGCGATGTCCAAGGCGCAAGAGCGAGATGTGAAGATGGCAAGTCAAGATTGCGGCGGAGCCAATGCAGGCAGATCAAACAACCACGGTCGCAAGATTTGGCGGGAGCGGCGGCGGCGAAAGAGCTGGTGGTCATGGAGCGCGTGGTGGGGGACTTTTGCCGGATTGGGCTTGGGTGAGGTGAAATGGCGGGGAAGCATCAAAACATCATCCAAGGCCATAGCAACCCGTTGAGGCCTTGTTCGGAGACAATCCGGGATGAGGTGCAAGATGCGACAAACTCTGGGCTACCAGGAGTGTATAGAATATCAAGACCCGAGGCTGACGAGGGAGAGGGCAAAGTATGGGGGCGGCGATGGGGAGTGCAACCTTGTTTTGAGGAAGCTGTTCATGATGATGTCTTCATGGCGCAGCTTGCGCTCGCGACTGGCTTATAGATGTTGTTCTCTTCTTCCTCTGTTCGCTTCTCTTGCCCCTATGCTTGGGGAAAACACTCGCTTGGAATGATGAAATAGGGGAATTATAACAACAATCAGGTAGCGAAGCGCGGTTGACAAGCGGGCGAGCGGCGTGGCGGGTTATGGGCGGGGGATAAAGAAGGACGAGGGAGAAGAACAAGGATCAGGTCAAAATGACGATGGAGATGACAAAGACGGAGAGGATTGGACGACACTGCGCGCGGCACCTTGGAGAGCGGCTGCGCTGCGCTGTGCTGCGGTAGCGGCTGCGGATGCGAACAGGGAATATGCGAGTGAGATGGATAAAGAGAAAAGAAAAGAAAGCAAAGGCGAGGGCAGTGAACAATGGTGAGAAAGATTTGCAGGTTGACTGGTTGGGGCGTGCTCCTTGTCTCGAGTTTTGATTGCTTGCTTCTCTTCAACCTCTGACTGTCTCTGGATCTGCATCGCCTCTGGCTTCTGATTTTTGGCCATGGGCCATGGGATGGGATGGGATGGGGATGGCTGGCACGCGGCGCAACACGGAGCGTCCCGCCCGGCGAATAAAGGGTCCCTTGGATTCCTAGGCTCAAAGAGTCCAGCCCGCCACCGAGAAGCCGGCAAAGACAAGGGAGCAAGCAGCGGCATGGCAGAACGCAGAGTGACGGCACCGGTCAGTCAGGTGGTAACGGGCATGAGCACCACCACCTTGGCTATGCCAGACCATCACATTCGCATCCTGCACCATCGCCAACCACCAGACCCATGGGACATGCCTCGGGTGAGCTAGAGCCGGTCCAGGTAGACTACCTTGGAAGGGCAGCAAGCAAGTGACGGATACCCAAGCCCTGAATCAGGTACCCAGGGATCCAGTGATCGATGGATCGAGTGATTCAGGGTTGATGAATGCCCAAGACTTATGGGATCCGCCCTCCTATCAAGGCCCAAGCACACACAGTCCCAAGCTCCTGAATCCCAGCCATCGTTGGCGGGGGGAGCCAGTGGTTGAGTGAGCAGTGTCCACACTCGTTTCAACCTGCTTCGCTGCCCGCTGCCGTCTTCTGTAATGTGATGCAATACCGCGCCATGTGTCGCCGCTGACCGTCCTCGGACAAGCCGCTGGAATGGTGCTTGGCTAGAGGCCATTGGGCACTCACAGAGAAGCGCAAGGAAGCTGTCGCTCTGGTCTCATCTTCGTATTGGCGTCTGTGCTGTGCCTTGCCAGCACCGAGCCAAAATTAGTGCCCAGCAGGCACTTCTGCGACTCCGTCCTCGACCGGCGTAAAAGAGTGCAAAACACAAGAAATCGTGTAGGTGGGGGTGAGACAGCTTAGGTTGCGACCCCTCTGGCCTGACTGCTCCAGGGCAACCTTCGCAGAGGCGAGCGCAAACTGCTTAGATTCCAGGGAACGAGACCGCATATTTCGATGCCGTTGTCATGAGGAAACAATGTGTCGGGTAGTCAAGGCGATGCAGGCAAGTAAAAAGTGTAGAGGGTGACAACAACAAACAACAAGACGAGATGAAATAAATCTTTGTACATACCCAATCGCTGGGTGAGGACTTGCCCCTTCCATGGTGATGATGGGCTTCAGGCCGTCCTTCTTGCGCTTCTTGGCGGCAAGACTGCTGTTGGTGCTGGCATGTCCATTGGTTCCGGCCGAGGAAGGCGGTGGCTTCTGGGATTCGGGAGATTCTGTGCCGTTCATGATGGTGTTGTTGATGCTACCAGCGGGGGTGTAGAATGAAGGGTCAAAAGAGGAGGGAGAAATTCAGCACCAGTATCGCTATCGCCGCCGGTTCGCCAATGGATTTGGGCCGTCGCGAATGTTGCAGATGGTCTGGTCTGGTCTGTCGTAGCGCGAACTGCGACGAGATTCTTTCGGCGCTGAGAAATGGATGGATGTCGAGGTGGGGGTGAGGGGTGCTTGTAAGTGCTCGACTCGGTGGGCGGGCGTCTCAATGGCGTGGATTCGCAGCAATCGGGGTCCCAGCAGAATGGGAATCGGCCGAGTAATTGTTGATGAGGGTTTTCGGAAGATGATGGGAGATGGTCGACGGGAGAGAGGATGGTATCTGCGTGTTGGTGCGGCAGTGGCGCGGGATTGGTCGCGTCGCAAAAAGTCGAAACAAAGATATTGCGCAGTGGCGGCGCAACCTGGCTAAGATCAACGGGCAGAACGAATTGGCCGATTAGACTGGTTGGATCCAGTCTGATTGATCAGAATGGATTGCGCTGGGGCTCTGGGCGGGCCGCGAGAAGTGTAGGCGCTGTAGACGGATCTTGGGATGAGATTGAATGAGAAGAGGAAAAGTTGGGAGGAGGGGAGGGAGAAGAAATTTGGGTAAAGATGGATGAAGGCGGGAGACGGGAGGCGGGAACGGGAACGGCCTGAAGCGTTGGAAGGGGAGGAGCAAGGCCAGGGTCTGGGATGATCAAGCTGTACTGGACGAGGTAGGTATCTTGCAGCGCAACACAGCGCAGTCCAGCTGGGCCAACAGAACAACATGGCTTCTTTTACAAGTACCAATAGCAGGAACCCAATCGCCGGCTTCTGCGGCCCAAGGCCTGGTACCAGCTGAAGACTGGGGAGACATCTTCTTGTCAGACGGAGACGGAAGTAATCATTCAATTTTATACAGCTACATTGGAAATACCAATGCCAAGCTCGGTCGATATTGACGAGTACAGCAGACGGTTATAAGAGCCAGGAAGACTTGAATCATGGCGTCGCCGAGACATCCATCGCGATAAGCACGACGATGCATTGGTGCAGAACAACGGATGAAAGATGGATGCATACCTATTTCCATCCAATACGTGGACCTGAGATGTTCAACGCAAACAACACCATCACGAGCCAGAAAAGAAAACAAGCTTCTTCCTCGCAACTCAAAACCCTCTTCAAGAAAAAACTTGTTCACCCCCGTACCTGAACGATCTTCGGCCAGCGGCAGTTGGAGGTGATTCGGAGTAACGGCAGTCAAAGTGGTACACCCGCATCCGGCGCTTAGAGGTCGCACACGCGCGCAGACTCTAAGGGACTGACGCCATTTCTCCAACAGCTCACAGGTACATTGCTTACGCGGGGTACTTTCAAATCGGCCGGGCCGTTGGAGATGCGCTGTAGGGAGGTGCTGTAACTTTTCTGGTTTGGGGGGGCATATTTCTCAAAGTTAATTCTGATAAAGCTTGACGAATGGCTTTGATTCTTACCAGATCTCTTCTTCCTTATTGGGATCTCACATACTGCAGCGTCGATACGATCTTGGCCAATATCCTTTTCAATATTCCAAGCTTCACTCGTGGCATGGATGCCAATATTTCTGTGCAACCGCTGCAGCCCCCAAAATCTAGAGAGGTTGGGCTGACGTCACTACGTCCCTTGTCCAAGAAAAAAAAAAAAGGCCTCCTCCCAGGGGACCGGACCACACACCATGGAAGGAGTTCTCTCCGGCGACCCCGTCATCTACCCCTATCGTGAGAAAAATAGACTTCTTGGGTAACGGGCTTTACGAAACTGGCATAGCATTCCCGCTTGAAGTGGGTTTCTCGACGTAATGTCTCTTCCTTTGTCCTCCGATGCCTTGCAGGAAAACGAGGTTCGCAGTGCACCAGTACGACATGCCGAGCTGTAAACAATACCAGATTTCACCAAAGCTGCGTTGGAGAGACTGTTTAGAAGTGGTGCAACTGAAAAAGTGATGAGAGTTCCGATAGGTTGACAGCTCAAGTCACGCTCTTCCAAAGAACGAATTGAGGCTTGTTCCCAAGAGTCAGTCACCTGGCCTCTCTAGGACTCGATGGTGTGGTAGGTAGACTTAGCTCCATAGCAACAGACAACAAACACCTCTGAACGTTTCCAATTTCACGTGTCAGCTTCAGAAAGAGGCTCGACGAGATGAACGCATGACACGTGGTAGAGAGATCGCCATATCATATGCCACTAATCCACCAACATCACAGACTAGATTATAGTCACGCTTGACTCATGACGAGATGGCAAAAGTCTGTTAGCCCATCAAATTATCAGGCCTTCTTCATTTTCAACTAATAAGTTTGACTTCAAATGCTTGTACGCCAAACGCCAGTACCTATCCCGCCAACACCAGCCAACGTCTTTGATCCACCCCCAGTAGCTTACAACCTGTATGCGTGCCAACACGTGCTTCCAACCAAGAACCGATGCCAAATATCAACCAGTATTGACTTAGTTGTTGTTCTTCTTCTTGCTCTTCTGGGTAAGCTTGCGGAAAGCATCCATGCCTCCGGCACCCAGCGGGCGGTGGTTCGAGTCACGGGCTCCAGTGTATGTGCTCTGGGGCGCGATGGTGTAGCTCGATGGCAAGTTGACCATGCGAGCCGAGTTGTTGGAGCGTGATGGAGCGAGGAAACGCTCGCGCTCAATATCCCTGGAAGACTGAGCAGGACGCTGGGAGAGGCTGAACTGCGAGTTTGCCTTTTGACGTTGAGCAAGCTTGGCGGCCCTGGAAGGACGGTTAGTACACCAGTTGGATATGTTGGCAGGGTAAACACATACTCATAGTCAAACTCGCGAGTCTCGATCTGGCGCTTCTTGTAGTCGTCAGTCCGCTTAAGAATTGGCCGACTCCATTCACCAAGCAGTCTCTGAGCGATTCGCTTGATGCTAGGCTCAGGCTTCTTGCTTCGTGTATAAAAGACAACTACTCTTCCAATGCCGCTGCTGAGGAGTGCCTCCTTCTGAACGTTGAGCTTGGCAAGAGCCGAGAAAATGTCACGTTGGATGTTGTACGCCGGAAGGGATCCGTCGTTAAGGGGCTCCAGGAAGAACTTGACATGCTGCAAAAAGTTTGTGTCGGGATCCAGGACAGCATGCTGAACATCATTGCGGTTCAGAAGGCCAGTGACTTCGGGGAGGAGCTTGAGCTTGTGGAGGGCAGGCTGGCCAGATTCACGAGCACTGTTGTCTGCCTGGCAAGCTTGCTCCATTCGGACCTTGAGATCTGCCAACAAGTCGTCGAGTTCGTTTTCGAGGTCCTGAAAGAAACTGAAGTTAGCCACGTTCACCTCCAAAATATGCCACTGTAAAAACATACAATCTCGTCCTTCTTCCTGCGCTTGGGTCCGCTAGGCTTCTTGATGGCGGCATCAAGAGCTCGGTCAATGGCCCGCTTCTGCCTCTCCTCGGGTGTGAGATTTTCCTCCTTGTCGGCTTCCGGTGTGGCAGCCTTGGCTCTGGGGCGTCCCTCGCTCTCGGCTGCGCGTCTCGATCGTCGTGGCTTCTTGCCCCCATCGGCATCATCCATGACAACATCCTCATCACGATCTCGGCGCTTCTTGTCTCGTCGACCTTCTCGAGGTTTCTTGGCGACTTCTCCCTCTGTGCGCTTTCGCTTGGTCGCCTTCAGCGTGCGAGCAACATCTTCATCAATATCGACGGGTCGGTCTTCGATATTGGCGGTTTCAGGGTCGTAATCTTCGAACTGGTCCTCGTCGACTTCGGAAAGCGCATCGGATTCACGATCAGAGTCGGCCGCCGCAGCAGCATCATCATATTCCCGCTCCTGGCCATCGTCAATGGGATCGTTGGCGCGCTCGCCAGCAGGGGAGCCTCCTTCGGACATGGTGTCGCGTCGTTGATCGCGTCGGCGACCTCAAAGACAATTTATTTATTGCGTAATCTTTAAAGGCCGTTCTTCGTAAGTTAATTCTCTCGAAAGAGTCGCGAGGGAAGAAAAGCGGATGGATGAGAAGCTTTTAGGGACAAGGTCGCAAACTCCAAGTTACAACTTTCTTTGACTCTGAGGCGCCACAGGCATTGATGAGGCGCACCCTGGTCGCTGACATAATCAGTCACTTCCCATTCCGGCAGCTGCAGCCTCAGGCAAACAGACAGCTGGAGCTTTGTTTACTTTGGCGCTGGTTGCCATTGACGATTGATGCATGCAGGTTGACAAAGGTGGCTCTTTGCGGATGACAAGCCTGTAAAAATATCATCGACCCGCACACGCAGACTTCAGACAGAATCACGACTCTCAACACTCTAACAACGAATTGGACAGTCATGGATCGCCGGACTTTCGAGGGTCCCATGGACTGGGAATATCAGGACAGCGGTCCATTTGATCCTACGAGTCCCTTTACACATGCAGCAAAGAGCAACTCACAGAATGGTTGGTGATACCTTTGGCCAGTGATAGCTGGTGTATATGCACAGCTACTGCACTATGGCAGTGGCAGGAACTGGCAACAGCTGCTAACCGTTGACCTATAGTCTTTGCATCACCCTCAAAATCTTTGCGACCGAACCCTTTTGCGAACTTGGGCACACCCACAAAAGCTCAACCACCCCAGACTTCCTTCTTTACACCTCAACTACCATCCAAAGCTGCTGCTCCGCCTTTTCGAAATCCCGCCTTCACTACTCCCCGACGGCCCTTTGAGGATCTGGCCTTGTCAGAAGCTTCTGGTGCTGAAGATAGCCCTGCTCAGACAGAGGTGTCTGACTACCCCAACGATACTCCCGAGGCGGATCGCATGAGCGACGTTACCATGAGCGGAGTCTCGAGCCCGTCGAAGGTCGACAAGTCATTTCGCTATGGCAAGTCTCCTTTCGCAACCAAGAAGCACACATCTGGGAGAGGAGAGATCAGACCGGCCCGAGACCTCTCGGTGACCGATATCATGCGCAAGAGGAAGAGGCACAATCTCGACAAGGACGTCAGCATAGTTCGCAGCCGTTGGGAAGAGTCAGATGCCGACTCCGATGATAGTGTGGCACCGAAGCAGCACCGATCTCGAGGCAAGAAGAAGGCTAAGGAGCCTGCTAGGGGTTTCGTAGGGAAGCTGTTCCATATGCTGGAAGAGCATCCCAACGCCCCCGACAATTTGTACCGGTGGATAAAGCTACTGGTCAACTTTTTCCTGGTCTCAATCTTCGTCTACATTGGTTGGTCTGTAGTGGACACTATCAGAACCGACATCTACAACGCCAACGAACTTGCACGTCTTGAGATCACGGGCAAGATCGCAGAGTGTACTAAAGAGTACACTGTGAACGGGTGCCAGAGGGAGACCCGGCCTCCAGCTCTCGACCCACTGTGTGATGCATGGAAAACCTGCATGGAACAGAATCCTGGGTCTATCATGAGGGTCAAGGTCACGGCAAAGCAGATTGCTGAGATCATCAACGAGTTCTCAGACACAATGAATCTGAAGGCCTGGGTAAGAGTTTTTAGGAGAGATATTACGATTCCCATACTAATTCGGCGGACAGGGGTTTTTCTTCGCGATCCTCATCTTCTGCTCAATCGCAAACAACTTGGTATTTGGCGGCTACGCCAACAAGGCACCGGCGCCCGTTCAGTCACAGCCGGCCACTGTAACTCATGATGCTTCAATGCCTCCAGAGAGTGGCCCTGGATTCATGTGGATTCCTGTTCAGACGCCTAGAATGCAGCGACATAGGATGCTCGATGAGGGTACGGACACGGATAATACGCCGCCCAAGATGAAGCCGATTCTGGCGGCACCTTATACACCTTCTGGACGCCGAAGCCCAAGCAAGGGAGACCGGTCACGAAGTCCAGTCAAGTACAACCGAAGTCCAAGCAAGGGGAACCGTGACCCCTTTGCATAATGGCCGTTTAACATGGGAAATCACATGGTAATTCTTCTATGTAAAGTCGAGGGACTGTATAATAGCATGGCATTGTTTTGGGTGCATACGACTGGTGGCAGGTCAGGGTGGTGTTTTGAAAATGGGGCCCATTGTATACTCTAGCATTTTGGTCTGTCGAGACAAGTTGACAGATATCTCAAGTGTCTTACCAAGCAATGAAAAGACGCATGCCTAACACAACAGCATCAGCTGAGGTTCCTGTGAATCGCAAGACCCTACCAAGACCGTGAGCGGGGATTGGCGTTGCAGCGCAACGTCATGATCGAAGCTGAAGTGGTTGGATACTGAAGCGAGGTAGAGGTGATGACGTATTGTGGGGTAAAAGGAAGAGGGGCACACTGCGCGAAGAGTATCAAACTTGGCGAGGGAGCATCTGATACAGCGCTACAGATGCAAGAGACACAATGCTAGGACACTCTGGGGTTTCCGAACTCTACAGGAGAGCGCTAGAGGCTGTCTGCGGTCTTGGCAGCGGTGGGCTGTGAAGCTGTCAAGTAGAGCTGCCGACAGCGACGCCAGGGGAACGGCAGGCAACCTGGGCTTGTCGATCAAAGCAAAGCCCTTCTTCACCACCATCGCTTGGGAGCAGCGTCCATCATGGGCCACTAGCATCCAAATAGCTTCGAAGGAAGGCCCCTCTGACATCATTCTACATGGACGCAAACCACAGGAACCCCGTTGAATTCGCGAATGGGGTCAAGGCGGACGGGTTGGTTTCCAATTTCGACAAAGAACGGAACGGCACATGGGATTGATAGACATGGGTATTTGATGTGCAGGTTGCCAGTGCTGGAAAGGATGTGCATGAGCCTGGGAGGTTCCGTGATGATCCAATTGGACAGTTTGGACGATTGGGGGCTGTGATGGCACATGGAAATTGGTGTAAGCCTTGTCAAGGGACGATGAAATGTTTCAGTGAGTGTAAAACAATTGCGATCTATATGAACTATTAAAAGTGTTGAAAAACCTCAAAGATGAGGCATAAACTGAAGGAGTAACAGGAAAAAGGACCAGGATGGGGGATGACCAATCACCATCTACAGTGATGATTTCCTGAGTTCATGGCCTAACGTTGGTTGAAACATGACATCCAATTCAAGATTTGCGGTATCATATGCATCGAGATTTTCACATACCTCCAGCTACTACCTCGACCTCTAGCTCCAGAACTAGAGGGATACACACGCAGCACCTCGAGAAAAAAAAACAAGCTTCGCCTTCTCTACGGAACCTAAAGCGGAAAAATCCCCGTCCTTCCACGAGGAATCGCAAACCTAGATACCACTCTTGAGACTCGTTCCCCTCAATCTCATCATCCTTCATCCTTTCCCTCTTCTTCCTCTCCACTCGCAACTAGGTCATCCGAAGAGGAGCGAAACGAGACCAAGTGACCCGCCTGGAGCTAAACATCGCCAGCTCCACGAGACGATGCATCGTGAGACGAGACCCGGACATCGCGATCGACTCGTTGACTGAGAAAAAACGACGCCAAGCCTACCGAGAACGAATCGGGGATAACAAGGACGGGTCGCGACAGAAACAGACCAGGAAGAAAGAGTCAAGAGTGAAGCCAAAAGAGGAGCATCGCGCTATCCAAAAGCTTCGCCGTGATTCCACCCTGCGTCTAAACCAGCACGAGGTTGGCTTGGACTGGATGCGACTACTTCCTTGGTACTCCGTACCTTCCAAGGACAACTACCGCTATCGCATTCGCAATCGAGATCGGAATCACGGTCCTTTTTAATTCCTCGAGAGATTCAATTTCTTCCTTCTCTCCCATCGCTTCCGCTTTTCCAACCTATCCTCCTCTTCTTTCACGCGCCAGCTTTTGATAGTTGCCAGTCCGCGCCGTGCATGGGCCACGGCAAACGGCGACTGCCACTGACGGATACCCACTGGACCATCACCGAATTAAACGCCGCCCAAATCTGTTTCCCGGCTGCGGAATCATCGTCCTGCAGTACGCGAAAACGACGGGGAGTGAAGAGTGGCATTGTGCGCGCTTGAAAGCGCCGTCACCCCTGGCCTTTTTGATCGCCTACGTCTCTCTCTTTCTCCCTTGCTTGACTCGTAGGATCGGCGAATTGCTTCTCCTACCCCTGCACGCCAATCCGTCAGCTGTGAGCTTCGCAGCTCACCTCTACTAGGCTCGGTATAACCACCAGCTAGCTCTCTGCTAAGGAAAAATCACCCGACGCCCGATTCTCCGCCTCCGAGCCCAGCAATCGCGACTTTATTACAACTCGATCTGATTCGATCTCGAGAGCTTGGACCATTCTAAACGGTCGCCTCCGCCTTCACGATTTCCCCCACCACAGAAGGTGACGCGAAAGCAGAAGGAGGAGCTACCGCTACCCAAGCTGCACCGACAATTGCTCCGGAAGCTTTGGTGGTTGGTAGGAGAAGCAAGAGAAGCAGCTCCAGCTCCAGCTCCAGCTCCAAGCTCAAGCTTAAACCCACCATCACGATCTTTCCTCGCAGCATGTCAGACTGCGCCGCAGCGTCCTTCAACATCGTCCCTCCGAGACCTCATCACGCCGCATTTCCCCTGAGCTGAAGGTCGGAATTCGCAAACTTGAGACGACGACACCGATACTTTCATTCGAACGAATCTATTTCCTCTTCTTCAGCGCTCGTCGACGGCCTTCTGGCAAGGCCTAGAACGTGCGATGGACGTGGACAGCGCCCCTTCGGGGGGCCACAACCAGCAGCACCCCAGCTCTGAAAGCACGCCTCAAGGTCAAGGTGCTCAGGCGGGAGCTTCGGGAGCTCCATCCCAGGGCAACCCAACCCCCACCTCAGTCCACTCCTCTAATACAACTTCAACCGCCTCGGGAGCCGCAAACCCAATCAATCATTCGCAAAACTCAAAGCGCCGTCGTGGCTTGGGCGTCGTGACACCCAATGCTTGTACAGAATGTCGCAAGAAACGCGCAAAGGTATGTGGTGCAGCGGATCGCCTCATCTCATGATATGCTTCACTTGAATGCCCCTCTTTACTAACACTCATCACACCATAGTGTGACGGCGGAAAACCATGTGGGCGCTGTAAAGGACAAAAAGACGTCGAATGTGTTTACGAGATCCCTGTACGACAATCGAAAGAAAACCTGCGGTCCGAGATTGAAAACCTCCGCCAACGGCAGCGTTCTAGCGATCAAGTCATTGCTGCGCTCGTCCGACCAGATCTTTGGGAGGAGGTCCTGACCCGGCTTCGTAGTGGCCAGTCTGTTGAGATTATATCAGAATGGCTCGGTGGAATTCTACCCTCAGGCGGAGGCGCAATACCTTCATTCGCCCCGAGAGCTGAAGCGCCTACTATGGGCCCTGTTGCTGGTTTTCCGGGTGGTGGGCTTGGAACATTGGCGGCCATGAGTCTCGGTGTGAACCCTGTGGCAGCGCCACAGGGTTCGCTGAGGCCTGAGATGGGTCAGCATAGTCCTTGGCACTTCTCTTCTCATAGCCAGGCTGGATCGACTCGAAGCAACTCACACCCAGACGTCATGAACTGGACGACGGATCTTAGAGGGCCGCCGCAGACTCGAGTAGGATCATGGGCGGAGGGCATACATCCAGACCAAATGTCAGACGGCCTACCAAGGTATCGCGGCGTCGAGCAGGTTCTGTCACCATTGAACGAACCTGAGCTGCGAGCGCCAGCAACCACATGGACGAACATCACTCAGGACATTACCCTCGTACAACACCTCTTGGCGCTCTACTTTTGCTGGGAGTATCCTACCTTTGCCTCGTTAAGCAAGGAACACTTCCTGCAAGACTTTCAGGATGGGCGATATCGATACTGCTCGCCGATCCTGATGAACGCTCTTCTGGCCCTGGGCTGTCGATTCTCGACCCAGCCCATGTCGCGTGCGAATCCTAACGACCCCTACACATCTGGCGATCACTTTTTCAAGGAGTCGCTGCGACTATTCGCTCAAGAGACAGATCACCACTCTCTGACGACGATTCAAGCGCTCGGTATAATGTCAATTCGTGAAGCCAGCTGTGGACGAGACTCGGAAAGCTGGTATTATGCAGGCCAAAGCATCCGGCTTGCCATTGAGATGGGACTCCATCGCATTCAGGATGAGGGTGACGAAGATGAAATCGCAGTTCAGTCGGCAACCTTTTGGGGAGCATTTGCGCTGGATCAGTGAGTTTATTGCTCCAAGATGATGTGTCTGTTGCTAATCTGTTTCCACAGCGCCTGGTCCCTCGCCACGGGCTCATTGCCTCAGTGTTCCTGCTTCCCTCACCTACCACCGAAGCCCGCGATAATAGGAGACATCGAGGCTTCTCTGTGGGTGCCGTACACCGACGACGGTGAGTCAAGCAGCAACATTTCGCTTCCGACGAGTCTGACGATCGCAGGGGCTCCGCTGCAACGCTCATGCCAGCAGCCATCTAATGTACGATCCGTGTACAAGTGTTTTTGCGAATTGAGTGTGCTGGTTCACCGATCTCTGTACATTCTACACTCTCCGGGCAGGCCCCTGACATCTAGGGATCTGTTGGACATTTACACTCAGTACCTGAACTGGTATGATCGGATACCAGAGGTGCTGCGGCTGGGGCACAATTTTACCCCAGCCGTTTTATTTGCCCAGTGAGTGTTGCAAAATATCGACCATGGCGGAATGGGTTTGCTAATTAGCACAGCATGTACTATCACTTTGCGATTCTACTCCTTTTCCGACCCTTAATTAAGCTGCGGATCATTGGATCCAAAGTCTCGCCGCGAGACGTTTGCTCTCAGGCAGCAGACGCTATCCAAGGCCTCTTGAGGTCATATTCATCTCTATACACCTTGCGAAGAACCCCATCCTTCGTCCCCTACTTTGTCCTCACATCAGCCATCATGCATTTGGCTGTTGGGGCGACAACGGTCAAGTCGGATGACGAGGACGACGACATGGAGAGAGACATGGAGAGGGCAGCCAAGATTGACCCTCATGTGGTGGAATCAATTACTCAGGGGATCGCGGATCTCACCGAAATGGCTCCCTGCCATCACTTTGCCGAGCAGGCTCTCAACATCCTACGCTATCTCGCCCAGAAATGGGACATCGAAGTGGGCATCAGCGGCGACAAGCTGACAGCAGAAGAGTACGACCGGCTGGTGAAGCCGCACACAGGAAGCCTCAACTTCTTTGCGCCCAACGTACGCGAGGGGGACATGATGTGTCAATGGGGTACAGGACAGTTTCTTGCGGGAGGTGATGATACGGCCAATGTCAAGAAGACGGGGGATAGTATGGAGAACCCCCTCTTCTGGCCATTCCCGATGCAAGGGCGTCCTATTCTGCCGAGCGGCAAAGAATTGGAACAGGCAGGCTTTGCGGTGATATGAGAATCCTCGGTGCATTCTTTCATGGAGGACATTCTGCTCTTGTTTTGTTATTCCTTTGCGATTCTGATATCCAGGAATGTAGAGTACGGGATCATGCCTGGTGCCTTTATCAGGCGAACCGGGGGGGATGGCAAGCGGGAAGGCATTGCTCGGCGAAAGGGAGGCTCAGTCTGCGAGAGTATTCCCACCGCGGCTGGCAAAAGCGATTTTGGCGACATGCATATGAAGGGACGATACTTGTGTAAGAGGAGGAGAGATTTAAGTGGCAACGCAAGATATGGGCCATGGTGTTTTTGGATGGTTGGGTTTGAAACACGATATACCCTCAGGCAGCATTTGAAGTTTGTAAAATATGGCCACTATATGTTTGCCTTGAGTGATTCCATCGACGGGAGCCTTATTTCGGCCTTATGAAGTCGTGAGTAGAGTTGCTTTTGAGAGACAGGCAACAGTCTATTCTCCTATCCTGCTGTCCAAGATCAGCTGTCCTGAAGGACAAAATGGCTCCTGAAGAGGTCTCATCTCGTAACCTCAGAGTTCCAGAGTCAACAGGCTGCCATTTGGCTTAAGCGGCTTTCTCTTTCTGAGATTACTCCATCTTATTCTTAGGCAGCTTAGGAATACAGTTGTGAGAAGATAATCATAAGGATCATATCATACATAATGAGGCAAAACAAGAACAGAGCTGTATTACATTTACATATAAGTAGGCGCAAATTAAAGGAATCGTGATTACTTCTTGCCCTTGCCCCTTCGCTTTCTAACTCCCGCGGCGGGCCCATCTTCTTCGCTCTCCTTCTTCACATCGTCAACCGTCACATCGACGATGTCGTCGCTGGAAGTGGTTTCCTCTTCAGCGGCAGCATCCATGGCCGCATCGAGCACCTCATTCACGATACGTTGGCCCTCATCCATCTCTCCGTTGAGCGCCCCGCACGACATGCACCTCCAGGAACCCATCTCGGCGAGGGTCTTTGTTCCAGGAGGGGCTTGGCCGTTGACGAGGCGGCAGGACTGACAGATGAGCACGATGCGGTTCTTGGGAGCCGTCTCGTCTTCACCGAGGAGGACGTCAAAGATGCGGTCGTACCAGTGGGTTTCGGAGGTCGAATAGGAGGAGTAGGTGCTCGGTGGGGGATTGGGCGTGCTGGGGAAGAAGGCCGGAGGAGGGCCAGAGAACTCGGCATTGGGCGCAAACTCGGCACTGGGTTCCAAGGGATTCGAGGCGGGCATGGGGCTACCGGCGGGGGGACCCTCTCGGCGCTGGATATTAGCCGTAGGAGGAGGCGGCATGCGAGTGCGGCCCGGGACACCCTGAGCAGGGCCGCCGCCTGGCTGGTTCTTGCCGTCCATCTTGTCTTCGGAGTTGTCTTCGGCGCCGCCCTTCTTCTTCTTGCCCTTTGTCGGTCCTTCGCCGCCGTACTTCTCGATCAGCTCCATGGTGGAGTCATACTTGGTGGCATCCTTGAGCTTCTGAATAGTCTTTGCGCGCTCCTGTTGGTGATCCTTGAGGCGAGCGCTAAGGCTCTCGATGCGAAAGTTGTAGTAAGCGGCGAGGGTCGTGCGAGTAGTGTAGATGCTGTCATTCTCGTCAGTGCCTCCAAAGCAACCACGGGTCTGAGGAGCTCACAGCAACGGTCCGCTGCACAGGCCGGTCCATTCGTATGCGCCGAGGTTCTTATATCCGACAACGAGCAGCAGGACGATGGCGTAAACGAGGTAGGCAAAGGAAAGGTAGAGGGTCCAAAGAACTCGGGCGCGGCGGGAGTTGGATCGGACCTTGTCGAGGGAGGCCTGTGTGTCGGCGATCTTGCTAGAGAGCGAGGAAAGGGTCTTTTCGAAGTCGGCGGATTCGCCCTGGCAAAGAGTTTAGCTAGCTGGAGAGAGAGGGCGGAAGCGACGGACCTTCCAGGGCCAAAAGGCCACCATTTTGACAGCGGGGAGCGTCTAGAGCATGTGAAGTGTGTGAAAGGAGTGGGCGCGATCGAGATCGACAAGACGAGTAAAAAAGAGGGGAAAACAAAGGAAACAAGAAGAAAGCGCGTCGTTGCTCAGTAAAGAAGAAAAAAAGATGGCCAGATACGAGTTTGGCGGTGAAAAGAAGAAAAGGTTGTCAAAGTCGAACAAGACGAATGAATGGTTTGTTGGAAAGGTAAGAGTTCCAGTGAAGCTACTACGTACACTGAGGTGGCCAGGTGTGTGACCTCATTGAGCTGTGCAGGCGGGTCAGGAAATAAACGAGACAGAACACTCTAGCTCCAAGGTCATGATTATGCTTGCATAAAAAGGAGTAAAATAATAGAATAATATTAAAGAAATAATGGAATGTACTAAAACTCTCTTCTTTTATTTTTCTATTCTTCTTACTATCCTTAGAGTATGATATGCTCATTCTGTTGCTTTCGTTCGTATCCTTTTTATTGACCTGCCCGCGTGTCATGGAGCAAGGGCAAGCTCATGTGGACAGGGGTCAGCTGCGGGCTGCAGCTCCACCAACGAGATGACCTTGGAGGCAAAGGACAACACATGTCACATTGGACGATATAGTTTCTTGCAGTATGTTGTTCTTCTATCGCATGTTTATACTCTATAAAGAGCGAGAGAAGATAAACAAACAGCTTCTGGCCTCGGACGCGTTGGACAAAGCTTACGAGTCAAAGCGGCCAATAGGAGCAACGCAAAGCGGCTTACAAGAACACAAGTCATGAAGAGGTGGATTGAACTGTGCAATGAAACCCAGTCGTCCCTTGGATTCTAGTTATGAATATACGAGGGTTTGGTTCAAGTCCGAGTGTCATAGGCGAGCATCAAGTGCGTGTCAGATATCTATTGTCAAACATATTTGGTTCCTCGGTAGCATTGCCTGTTTCTAGTTTGTGCAACTTTACGCAGTCCGTAAGCTGATGTGAGTTGAGAACCTGGTCTCCTTAGCTTCCACTGTAACGAGGACCATGATGCACTCGAATGAATCCATGCTCCAAACTTGCAGCTCAAGCCACTGATAAGGCCGGATATGCGCTGTGGGCTGTACTATGCGGTTCTGGGACTTGACGTTTGAGAGTTCAAGGCTTCATAGAGTGCATTCAGACTCGACGGCATCCTTTAGCCTCGAGATGGCAATGAAAAGGATCATAGAAAGGGATAGGATGGTGGTTGCGATCATAAACTGAGGATGAATGATACGGGGCTTGGCTCGCTTGAGTGCCATACGACGCAAATTGTTGGGCTCACTCAGGGGCTCGCAACATATCTTTCCAAAGTACTATTTGATGTCGAGTGAGGGAGAATATGCGACTTTGCGTATATTTACGGCCTCACGAAATGCGAAAGCAAACTTAAACAATTGCGCCAAGGCTCCAATCCATGACGAGAAACAACCTAGCTTCAGTGCTGGACCCTTGAACGCGATGTTGGAATAAGGTGCACAGCATTTAAGCCACAGTGAGGCGCTGAAATTGTAGGGAACACGTGGAATTCTTTGGGGCGGGAGGGTGCCCCAGCCACAGGGAAACGCTTCGGCTTACCCCAGAATTAGCAGCGACGGCTACTGTACAGAAGGGCAAGTACCTGTCTGTCCCTTGGATTAGTACTCCTTTCAACAAGTCATCACCAACACTCTCTCAAAGTCATGAGGGCGCTTTTTTGAGTTGCTTCCTTTTTCCTCGTCGCAACTCTTGACCTCCTTTTCTTGCTTTCTATCCGTTCCCTTGCCTTCTTTGTTGCCTTATCGCCTGCGCGCGTCCCTTGGTCATCGCCAGCTGCTCCTGAGACGTTGCATTTGACCCAAGGGAGCCGCCATCATGTTCCAAGTAAGTTCAACCACTGATACCTTTCCTCCAACGACTTTGTAGCTCTCCTTGAAACTGTTCAGCCGACGACTGACATCTCCCTAGCGATTCAAAAGCGCCATCGATCGGACCATTGCCGAGGAACAAGCCCGCCAGCAGTCAGCTTCCCAATCGAGAAGCCCCTCCAGAACAGCCTCGACGTCGTCGCGCAAGGCTAATGCCTCCCCAACGAAGCGCGATAGAGCAAAGAAGGCGGCGGCCGATGCAGGCGACGCTGTGAACCCTGACCCCGCCGTCTTTGAGGCTGCTTTTGTGATCGACGACAGCGACGAGCCCAGCCGAGCCGGCACCCCGAAACCACCAGGTGCAGCCGACGAAGCAAAGGCCGAGAAATCGACGGAACAGACCAGCGGATTGGATGACAAGCCTTCGGAGACCAAGGATGACTCTGCCACGGACAAGACTTCCGAAGGTGTTGCAGACGCGCCAGCTGCCAAGCCTGAGCCGCCAGCAAAGCCTCAAGAGCTGACCCCGGAGATTCGCCAAAAGCTGCGCAAGCTGGAGAAGCTCGAAGCAACATATCCAGGTAGGTTGCGATACTGGGAGAGTGACACAGTGGTAAGCAGAGTGCTGACAGGGGTTCAGAGTTGCTACGGTCTTATCGTGTCGCCCATAGAAGGGCCACTGCCATCGAGCCTTTCGAGAAAGCGCTTCGTGAGAACACGCCCTTGACATCCATCGGCGACCCCGAGGCCCTCGTGGAATACCTGAACCAACTAAACCTCCGAAGCGACATGGTAATGGAGGAGCTGAAGAAGGTGTCCGCGGACAAGGATGAGCTACTAAAGAAGCACAACGAAGCCGAGGAGAAGGCCAAGAAGCTTGAGGAGGAACTGGAGACGCTAAAAGCTGGCAACGCCGATCAACCCAAGCCCGAAAGCGCAGATAAGTCTGAGGACGCCCAGGAGGAGGAGCCAGAGGAGGCCGCTCCTGAGAAAGCCAAGTCACCGGTCGCCTCTGTCATCGGCATGTTCTCGCCAAAGCACCGAGCTCAAAAGTCCGTTTCCGAAGTCACTGAGTCCAAGGAGTCGAGTGAGGAGTTCTTCTCTTACGACGACGAGTTCCCCCAACTCCAGGCTGAGGTTGCCTCGAAGTCCGAGGAGATTGAAGATCTCAAGGCCAAGGTAGAGAGTCTGCAGCAGGAGCTCGCCACTGTCAAGGAGAACAGCGATGGACTTGTTGAGAGCCTCGAGAACGCAACTCGGGAGCTCAGTGAGTCCCGTGATGCTGTATCAACTCAACAATCTCTTCAAACTCAACTAGAGGCGCGAAACAAGGAGATTGATTCTCTAAACCAGCGACTACAAGATGCGCGAGCACAGCTCAAGAAGCTTGAAGAGGAAAAGACCACCCAGACAACCAAAGTTGAGGAGATGGAGGCTTCACTTGCTACTTCAGACAAACGGGCGAAGGAGTTGGATGCGGAGCTTACCAAGGCTTCCAACGCAAAGAACATCTCCAAGAAGCTTATCGACGACCTCAACACTCAGATCAATGCCCTGAAGAAGGAGAAATCTGAGAGTCAAACCAAGATTGACGAGCTGACCAAGAAACTCGAGACCCAATCTACTCCCCCAACTCCCACCCCCACTGTGACGCCCACGCCTGCACCTTCGCAGCCTCCTGCGGCCCCAGCGGCAACGGGCGGCGGTAAGAAAAAGAACAAGAAGAAGAAGGGCAAGGGTGGTGCTGGTGGTGCTTCTGCTCCCGCTCCGGCAGCTGAGGCCGCTCCGGCAACCCCTGAGCTAGCGCCTGCAACTCCGGTCGAGACACCTGGAAACGCAGCACTTGAGGCAGAGATTGCCCAGCTCAAGGAGGAGGTTGCCGAGAAGGACAGCCAGATCGAGCGTCTAAGCAAGAAGCGCAAGACAGAGGAAGACTTGCGGGAGGAGATTGAGACTCTGGAGGAGAACCTCCTTACCATTGGCCAAGACCACGTTGAGGCCAAGGAGAAGATCAAGAGCCTCGAGGCCGAGAAGGTTGAGCTCAAGGCGCAGATTGTCGACCTTGAGAAGAAGGTCAGCTCATCTGCATCTGATGCTCAGGCGAGCTCCAAGCTTCAGGGCGAGATCGACAACTTGAAGACGGAATATGACGACCTCAAGGAGAAGACAGCTACTCTACAGGCTGATCTCGGCGCTGCCCAGCAACTTGCGCAGAACCGATTCAAGGACCTCACAGACCTCCGAGAGGTGCTACAGAAGGCGCAGCCAGAGCTCAAGAGCCTGCGCCAAGAGTCTACTACGCTCAAGACTACCAAGGAAGAGCTTGCGACCAAGGTCAAGGAGCTCAAGGACATGGAGAAGCGAGAGAAGGATCTGAAGCGAGATGTGGAGCGAGCCCAGAAGATTTCATCGGACCGAGAGACAGAGATCAAGGGTCTACAGGAGAAGTTGACAGCCGAGACGAACGCCAAGCTCCAACTTGAGAATGCTCAACGAGTGTCGGGACGAGACCTCCGACGATCAGAGGCTGAAAAGGTCGAGCTTAGTGCCAAGGCAGAGAAGGCAGAGCGCGAGCTTCAGACGGTGCAAGAGGAGCTTGGCAAGCTGCGGCCTAGAGTGAAGGAGCTTGAGGAGCAGATGCACAAGCTCAAGCGAGAGAAGACGGCAGCGCAAGAAGAGGTTGACTTTAAGGCGCAGCAGTATGTCAACGCCCAGGGTCTGCTGAGTAGCATGCGAGACCAGACGGCCGAGATGTCGGTGCAACTTAAGGAGTCCAAGTCACAGGCAGAATCACTGGAAGAGGAGCTGGCCGAGGTGCAGCGCCTACTCCAGGAACGTACTCGCGAGGGTGAGACGATGCGACGACTGTTGGCCGACGTTGATGAGCGTGCCGACAACAAGGTTCGCGAGATGAGATCACGGATGGAGGCAGCAGTCGAGGAGCGTGATCGAATCGAAGATGAGTCAAGCACACTGGCACGACGCAAGACACGCGAGACGGAGGATCTGAAGCAGAAGCTACGGGATCTGGAACGCGAGGTCAAGACACTTACACACGAGCGAGATGAGTTGGAGCACCGAGAGAAGGAGTGGCGTCGTCGACGAGAGGAGCTAGAGTCGGTTGAGGAGAAGGCCGAGGCCGAAGCTTCAGAGCTCCGATCGACATCATCACAGCTTCGCGCGGCACTCGATGCATCAGAGAACCAGGTGCGCGAGGTGGAGAAGCAACGGGCCGAGCTACGGAGAATGCTCGAGGAGTCCCGACAACGATACGAGAAGCTGTCCAAGGACCTCAAGGCGGCGCAGACCAAACTCGTTGCCAGCTCAAGCCGGAGCTCTTTTGACTCGGTGCGAAGCGGTAGCAATGGATCACCTGCGGCGGCTGGAGGAGCTGCGGACACGGCCTATCTCAAGACGATCCTGCTGCAGTTCTTGGAGCAGAAGGATACCAAGCTTAGGGCCCAGCTTGTGCCGGTGCTAGGCAAGCTATTGCGATTTGACAAGTAAGTTATAACACTGAAAACGTACCTTGATGACTTTGAACTAACGGTTGTGTAGATCGGACGAGCAGAAGTGGACCAAGGCAGTGCAACATATTGAAGTTCGATAGACGATGGATGGTATGGGATGGCGTTGATAAACTGGGTACAGCGCCAGGCAGGCTTGTAATGTGAGACAAGGACGGAATCAAGTGTAGTATTATTGTGATAAACCAACGAGGCAAAGGGTGTCTCGACCGTGTAAGAGGGAGTTGGTGTTGGAAGCTCAAACCAGAGCTAACGAAAGTTGGAGCTTTTTCTTGTGTTGGTGTGGATGTGACTACACCACCGATCTATACAGAACCAAGAACCTCTAGATATCAGGTCCATGTTTCTTTGTAATCTTTCGTTTGAGATCGTGATTTCTCTGTTGATAGACATGGGCTTTGCCAAGAGTTCGAATCATCATCCATCATGGTGACCCCACGTCGACGTCATGACGACTCTTGCAGCAGCCATGAACACCACAAGGATCGTTTCCTCCGGTGTTTTCGTCATGGACTTTTTACGCAGAGACAAGACCGTCATTTGAGGTGAGTGAGGTCGTCATTGGCGTTTGAGGGGAAGAACTACAAATACGAGGCCGTTGTCTTTGATGGAGGAGTAGACCATGTTGTTTTCTCGACTTTTGGGTATTACTCCACGAGTAACTCTATACAGCAGAAACTCTTACTTTACGAATTGTTCAAGACCTTTTGGAACTAGTTTTGTCAAGTTTGTTCCATCCATCATGTCGAATACGCAGCAGCAGGCTAGTGGTGGCTCCAGGAAGGACTTTTCGAGGGAGAGTCTGTTTGACCTCTCTGGAAAGGTTGCCCTCGTTACTGGTATGTTACACCTTTTACACTTTGTATCACTGCTGACTCTTCTAGGCGGTGGATCCGGTATCGGTCTCATGGCTACTCAAGCCCTTGCTGTCAACGGAGCAAAGGTATACATCACGGGCCGTACAAAGGAAAAACTCGACCGCGTCACCGAACAATACGGGAAGAACATCTCTGGAGAAATCATTCCTATCGTGGGCGATATCAACACCAAGGATGGCGTGCAGAAACTCTACGACGAATACTCTTCCCGCGAGAACTGTCTCTGTATCCTTGTCAACAATGCCGGCGTCTCGAGCAAGTCGATGCAAGTCGAAGCAAAGACGGCACAAGAGATGCGTCAAAACATCTTTGAAAACAAGGATAGCACGTATGAAGATTGGGCGGACACGTACAACACAAACGTCACGGGGCACTTTTTCATGACTGCTGCGTTTTTACCACTTTTGCAAAAGAGCAGTGAGAAACATCACGGCTGGAGTTCAACCGTCATCAACATCACAAGCATTAGCGGCATGATTCAAAAAGCTCAGCATCACTTTGCCTACAACGCATCCAAAGGCGCAGCTGAGCACTTGACACGCATGCTAGCTAGTGAGATAGCAGGCAACAAGCTCAAGATTCGCGTCAACGGTATAGCACCGGGTGTATTTCCCTCCGAGATGACGACTGAAGGAAGCGATGAGGCGCAGAAGAGCAGTATCCCGAGGGAAAAGTATGCGGAAAAGGTCCCTGCTGGAAGACCGGGTAAGGATGAGGACATGGCGCAGGCTGTACTGTTTTTTGCTACGAATCAGTATCTTGTTGGACAGACGCTTGCTGTTGATGGTGGGTATACGATTGCGGCGGGTATGTAAAGATGGTCACCGTGATCAACTGTGAGGAATAAAATTGTGTTGTTGAGTTTTTTTCAAGCATGAATTAGTTGTGATTCTGCCTTGGGAATATGCACGGGAAATGAAGACTTTAGGCAACCCGATGCCTAGCTCTCCCTCCAAGATATAAGCCAACTCAACCTCTCTCTCAACCGAAAATTTCACTTCAACTTCCCAGAAAAAAATGTACAGAACTTACACATCCTCTTCAACTTGAAAAATGTGCAGAGCTTACACATCCTTCAAAATCTACTCCTGCGGAACCACGGGTCAAAAACAATCCTTCATGGTTCAACCGTGCAGCCAAACAGACGAGCCTAACCATATCGTGAAGGAAGTCCCGATGGGTTCGAGTAGAGTCAGAGAGCGATGCGGAAAGTATACCTGCGCAATCTGCCGTGATACAGGTAAGCCTTTTCATCCCGAGTGTGAGTGTTATTAAGATTACTAACTCAACTGTTTGCCAAGAAGAAATGAGGGTTCCAATTATGCATCATGAGATGAGATGATAATATTAATTTAAGCTTATGATAACCTCAAATCCTCATCAAATGCACAACAAGCACTCCTCCAACATCATCTCCTGCACATCACCAAAAGCCTCATCAAGCCACAACGCCACAACCGCTCCTCAATCCATTTTCCTTTCTTTTTTCCTTTTTTCCTGCTCTCCACTAAATACGCTCCCGTTCTCCACCTCGGTAACCAACTTTTCACCGACCCTCACCACCCTTGTCATCCCCATCTCACCTCTCACACACACTCCCCAAGGGGTTAAAACTGTAAAAAAGTACCTCATCACCATTGTTTCCGGTCAAGGTACTTACTCTCTAAGAGTACTGCCCCCCTCCCCCCCACTGCAACGGCGGCAGCACCCGTCCTCGCATCACAGACATGCCGCAACCCAGAAATTCCCAGATGGATGGCTCACGCTTAACCTCTAGAGGAAGCGACCAGCACCCAGCCCCGACGTAGCTGCAACCGTAGGGCTGAGCCAATTCTGATCGAGGTCCCTACGTGCGTTGAATCTGTTACATGGGCCGAGATTCAGCAATTGCTTGCATCTCTACCCTTCTCCCTGTCCATCCCATCCATCATCACCACCCCAACTCGTTCCTCCGTCCACCCGAGTCATCCTCTCGGCAATGGCCTAAAAACTTTTCACACAACCCAAACACCAACATTCACTCATCACACATCACAATGGCAAACCAGACTAGTCGTTGGGCAAAATATCAGTATTTCTCATCTAAAAATTCTCCTGTGTGGCTAACTGATCCCTCCCTCGGGACAGCGGGTTGTGCCACTGTCCCTCGACATCACCCACACACTGCCAGCAACAAGACTCCCCTCGGCACCATCCTGTGGATCCGAGGTTCAAGTCACCATTCAATCTCCTCCGCCCCTACTGAATATCACCCCTGATAAATTCCAATAAAATGGTTCCGCGCTCCTCAGCTGCCGCTGGGAGGGACCATGTCACAAAACGCCGTACATGCAACCTCTCCCTGTCCATATATCCCCTCGCCCCAAACACTGGTATAGAAAGAAACATGACTTCAGGGGGCGAGATGAACAGGAGGAAAACAAAATAATAAAAGGGGGAATAAAAGGTGGAGTGGTGTGACGTGATCGCGCAAGGGGTCAGGTGTATCGCACTCCGGGTATCATGGTGAGAATTCCCTAATGCTCTGGTGTATCGTTCAAGAACTGTGCCGTGATGCCAAGTAGTGCCCGTGGTGTCATGCAAGCAAAGACAAGGGAAAAGAAAAGAAACAGAAACCAGCCAAGACCGCTGACTGTAACCGTAAAAAAGGGAAAAACATAAGGAAAAGTGCCCAAACAGGGCAGCCAGCTGGGCGCACTATAGTGTTTGCAACTCCCGCCGGAAAGGGCAAGTCATCCAAATCGGATGAAACACGAAGCCAAGTCGCTAGATGCAATGCTCATTCCCGTAAGCCGTAAAACAAATGGTCGTGACTAAGTAGAGATGTTGTCCCCAAAGGGTTCTCGTGATTCGTCAAAGTTTGGTGTGTGGGGTGAGTTCCGCTCACAGGTACTGACGAACCCAGTCGGTGTCGAGCCAACCAACCCGGTCAAAGGCAGTCCAAAGCTTGGAGGCCTTGTTGACATCGATCTTGCAGGCCTGCTGCGCATCCGTCTTGCGGAACTCCTTGTTGTTGCGGAGGCAGAGGAGTCGTCGCTCAAAGATGCGTCGCTTGCTGGTCAGGTACGTAGCGCAGTCCAGTCGCAGATTGCTGGCGAGCGACACCTCGTCGGGGTGCAGAAGGTTGGCATGAGGGTCGTTGCTCAGGTCAACGGGCTGTCCCTTCCAATCCACCTTCAGACTGTTGGGTCGGTTGGGCAGCGAGTTCAGAGGAGGGCAGTAGTCGGGAAGCGCCCTGAAGTCCTTGTCCTCACGGTTGGGGGCCACGACCCGACGAGAGGGCTCAGGCGTGGCACTAACACGTGGAGCAGGTCGAATGGGGCCGGTGGTGGCGGCGCCGGGGTGGGTACGGATCGGTCGCGGGGCAGACTGGGGCTTCTGGACCCGGTCACCGCGCGCCCGGTTTGGCTTGGTGGCAGCAGGCTTAGCGGCGGGCAGGATAGTATGGTATCGTTGGGCATGGGCGCGGCGGTCAGCCTCGAGGAAGGCTCTCTCCTTGAGAAGCCACTTCTTTCGGTTGGCTGTGTAGTGCTTCATGACCTGAGATCGGAAAGTGAGGGCGAGCTCGTACTCTTCGCGCTTGGGTGGGATCACTCCGGCGAAAGAGGTAGGAGATCGGGCGCGAACATGGTCGTCGACAATGCGGCGGTGGTCTTCGAGTTCGGCGGGAGCAAAGAGAGGAGTCTGAGCTGGGCTGGAAGGAACTTCCTCGGCAGGGTACAGAACGGGGTCCTTAACCTGGTGAGGAGGAGTAGTGGGAGTCTCGGCCGTCGACATCGCTTTGCTGTAAGGAGAGATGGGAGGAGACATTGGCATTGGGTGCTTGCTCGAGTTGTTGGAAGTCGCAGGCTTGCTAATGTCGGATTGATGATGACCGTGGTTGAAGCTATCGTGAACCTGATCCGGAGGCGACATCAAGCTGCTAAGATCATACTTCTTGGAGGCCATTGAAGAAGCAGGATGGGCAGGAGGGCCCATTGAGTTGAGCGCCTGGGCGCTGTGAGGCGCGTTCGTCGCCATTGTGGTGTTGTTTGTGTTGATTGATGGAAGTTGATGAAAGGGGGAAGAAAACAGAGAAGAGGAAGAGAAGAATGGAGACGACGTGAATTGAGTCGGTTTGTTTGACGAACTGTTCTTGTCGAATGTGGTGGAAGGTTGCATGGCGCAGGTATACACAGAGTATGGTTTGTCAGCCATGAATGGACTGCCGTCGCAGAACAGACAGTGACGTGGATTGCTTGTGGCGAAGCCCTTTTTAGTTCCAAAAAGGGACGGCGGATGCTCGCAATTAATAGGTCCGACAGCTTTCAAACAAGCGGCCGACTCGGTGTGAGTCTTTCTTTGCGACTCGTTTGCCTTTGCCCAAAGTGTGTGTAAGTGCGCTGTCAGTGACTGGGTGGGCGCCTAGTCCAGAGTAGGCAGCAACGGGGCGGGCGAAGACTGGGGGGCGAAGGCGGCGAAGGCGGAGTTTAGGCCGGACAAAGTTGAGAGTGGGGGGGTGAGATCTCCGAAAGAACCTCCTAGTCGCTAGGTGAGTGAGATGTGAGGAGTAGCGTAATAGCGTAGGACTGTGGATTTAGGCGGCGGAGTTTGTGTCGGTGTTTGGCAGTGATTTGGAATCGCTCCGGTACAGTTTCAAGAGTGCAAGAGAGGTTTCGTTCTTGTAAACCAGAAGAGTGAAAGGGGGAAGGGGAAGTGACAGGCTTATTTAGTCCTGAGTGATTCGAGAGTGTGTAAGTGCAAGTGTCAGTGCTGTTATGGGTATGGGGTGATATGATTGTCTCGGCGCTCAGTAGGGCGGGGGTAGGGGTCCATTCAATGGGCGACAACCGTATGACAGGATGTGGTGCAGCGCGGTGCAATTGTCGCGACGACGGGGCATTCGGATTTCAAGATGGGCGAATAACAAGCACCATGGGCAGAGAGAGGCGCAATGGGGGCTCGACACACGGCCGATTCTGAATCCCAGCGAGACGAGAAGGCCCAGAGAAGCCACAGAAGGCCAGGGGTTGTTCGATCTGTGGGACGGGCACCGTACCAGACCGTATGACTTTTGAGGGCAATGACTCTCGAGCCAGCCTTCCAGGCACTAAGTACGGCCGCGACCTGACGACTTTTGGGGGTCGCCCGAGGGTTTGATGATGTGGCAGAGCGGCAGCCCGGGCCAGGTTGTGCGTGGTTGCGACGGGGATCTGGGGACCTGGGGACCGCGGACGGGAAGCCGATTCGACTCGACTCTGATGCCTTCCAGGATGAATCCACGAGATGTTTGAATTGGCTCTGGAGGGGTCTTGTTGTCGCAGACAGACCGAGAAATTGGCTGATTGGGGGTTTTGATTGATCGATTGATGAATGAATGCTCAGTTCACACTGAGGTCCTCGCGGGGGGTCCAGAAGCAAAAGGGCAAAAGGGCAGAACGGTTTGCGCGCGTGTGCGCATATAGAGCCACACACACGACAGTAGACGCACACCAAGGCACGCAGGAATTGAGATGGCAGACACCGCAAGTTAGGCTTTGCTTTTGTGTTGGGGACAATGCAATACGCGTCAACAGTCTGCGCGGGATTACAATGGATGGTTGCGGAAGAGAAAGAGGAGAAAAGAGGAAAAGGGGGAGAGATCCGAGAGAGATGTCGAAACGTCTCGTCTCGCCTGCCTGCCTGCCTCGGTGACAAACCAAGCCGAGAGCGATAACGGACCGTTCCCCTCAACGGTTTCCAATCGGGAATGGATTGGGTCGCAACCGACTCAAGCTTCCGTCAAGTTAGGGGACCTTTGGAGGGACCGCTTCTCGCAGTGACAACTGTGCGCGCCCAGCTCGACAGATTGATTTGATTGATTTGCTAACAAGCTGGCGCAGACGTCTCTGGGAGAGGGGGCGTATGTGGGGGGCAGTGGAACGAGATATCGATTGATGCTGATGATGATGCCGGTGGCTAAAACGACGCAGCGGGGGTGCGAGGAGATGAAGGGCCCATCAAGCAGCTGCGATGCTCGTGCGATGTTTTGAGAGTCGCAGAACGGACAAGAAGGAGGAGGAAGAGAAAGAAGAGGAAGAAGGCTCACAAAGAGGCGCGTCAAGGTTGATGAATGAATTTGCGACTACGGAGTCGGTACTTCCAAGCACTTACTAAACGGGCAGCCTGGGGACCTCCATCCATCACAATCAATCACTCTCACCTTCAGGACTGGACTCAGACACAACTTTGTGGCGTCCAGCAAGGAAAGACGGGAGAAGAGGGAGGGGGTCGGGGGAGGGGTGTTCTGGGGCAGCGGCGTATGCGCAGCAAAGGAAACGTGGTTTCTCTCAACCAAGGCGAAATGTGACAATGCAACGATGCCAGATTTGTGATTAGAACACACCTCCTGTCTACAATGGCCCCCAATGCCTGAAAGGCTGCTGCCAATCGCCCAATTGACCCACTCCCTTCAGCGGCCCTTCAGCCCCCCTTTCCCCTTGCGCCAGGTTCCCAGGGCTGGACTGGCTCGTTCCTTCCCTCCCCCAGCGACTGCCTGCAGGCTGCTGCACTTGGCCTGGAGGAAGGGTCTGGTCTGCTGCAGTTCACGGGCTGGGCTGAGCTGGGGAGGAAACGTTCAATCCCACCTCATGCTCACCACCACGTATCTACCTCCACGCTGAGCTGAGCGCATCGCCTTGGAACAGGATTTTCTGATATCTGTCGCTTCAACAACAGTCCTGACTTGAAATTGGGGGGGCTCTGGAAGCATTGAAAGAAGAGCAGTCCAATTGCCTTGTCCCGCTACGTCCACTCCCTCCATCTCAGCAGTCATGTGTGGTTGCGCAACCGAGACACCACAGTCCAAGCGGTCATCAGGGACCTGCCATTAGCCACGGGAGGGGTGCGCCTGCCCGGTGACCATTCCCAAAATATCCCACCCTCTCTCGACTGAGGTGTGGCTGCCGTCTTCCATCTTACCTGTCTTGGTGTGTCGTCTGTGGGCAATGCAATCCATCCGTCGCGCGACGGACGGGAGACACTTACACCCCTCTTTCTCCTCCCCGTCTTTCAGCTCGCTCTCAATTGCGAGCCATTGCTCGACGCTCTTGGGTCTCTCGGTTTCGCTCTGGGGCATTGTCCAATCTCCTGTCCGGCCTCTGCACCAGGCAGTTGGAATTTTGAATTTGCCTTTTTTCCGTGCATGCGCACGCAGGCAGGAACTGAGCTTGCTTCCTGTGTACACCAAGCACAAAGAACCCCTTGTGCTAATAGTGTGAGTGGAGCGAATGACGAAGCGAGAACGGACGGTCAACGAGACAGTTAATGACAGTCGCAGGCAGAGCAACTTGAAGCGAGACGAGCGAGCGAGGGCAAGGAGCCCGAACCCAGCTCAAGAACGACAATATCCAGTACCATGCTATAGACGGCCGAGCGAGGCGAGGCGCAACGGGACAGAGACAAGGCCCCCCAGGTTCCACGGGTAAATATCCCCACGGCGCATCCCATCTCATCCCACGGCTCATGATTGTCTATCCAATGGCTCCATCTTCAAGGGCATACTGCCAGGGCAATTGATGCGCATTAGTGGCCGCTGGAAGCACCGACTGCATCTTCACCTTGCCTTGCTCGTAACAACTTACAGCTAGGCGATGAGGCCGGCGGCCAGTCGTCGGGCCAAGCAACCAAGGAATTGGCGAAGCTGGCGGTCCAATTCGACGCGCAGGCAGTTCGTGCGCCATCCAGGCCTTGGTATGCGACATGTAGGTACACATCCCATCTAGCCCGCCGAGCCATTCATCTCATCGACCGAGGCGCTCGTGGCTTGGTCAGGACGGGCAGCGTCCACGAGGCCCGGCGCCAAATCTCCCCAACCCAGCTAGTTCCAAGACAAGTGTCATGGCCCATCTCGCTGTTCCTACAGAAGCCCCGGAGAGACGTCGTAGATCTGGGCTTGTCGGCGGCAGATGCGCGTCCCCTACATTAAACACATGTCCATCGCGTCGTCGATCGTCCTCCCCATCTCGACTTGTTCTGATGAGGCTTGCAACCTTGGGATCACACGAGAGTCCCGCGACACCATTATCCGTTATCTAGACCACGCTCCCACACTCACTCGCTCGTTCTATCGCTCGGCTCTTGCTTCTCGCTCCGTCTTCCTCGTCGTCACCACGGCCGATGCCTGCTCTGGTGATATTGATCCTGTTACCCCTCCTTTCTCACGGTCTAGGACGAATCATGGTTGCTCCAGGAAGAAGACCTAAAATAGGGGGGGCGTGTGCCCTCTGCGTGTGACGGTTCATGTCTTGAATCAGCCCCTCCTCTTTCACGTCTTCTCGCTGCCCAACGCCCAATTGATCAAGAACGCTGGGCGCCAACTATGGGCTCTCTGGCTGGCTGACAGTAACGGTACGGCATCTTGCTTGCGACAGACTGTCACCTCACCGTTTGTCTGACTTGCGGTCTGGATTCAGCAGCGTTTCCCCTCTGGCTTTGCCTCACCTCTGCTGCACCAGCCTCAATTATTTACCACAGCTGCACAATGACTCCCTTCCTGACGAGCCAAGTGGCACTCTGCAAATTGACCTGCAGGTATTGAGCATTGACGCCTGTAGGTTATGCCTTTATTGAACTTTCAGGGCGGCACACAGACATGTCGGTTGCCTCAACTCTAGTAGCCCTCCTCGGTGTAAGAGAACTCATTGACGGTTCCTTTGTGGTAAGCCTGTGGCTTCAGTGCGCTGCCACGCTGCATCTCGTCAATCGGTCCCGCTTCCGGATTTCCAGACCCTTTGTTTGGGGTCCTTGAGAGTTGCTTCTTGGGGAAACCCAGGGAAGAACCCCCACCGCGGCCGACACGACGCCGATGTGGCTCACCCGATGGCCGGTGCTCATTTACACGGATCCAATGTCGGATGTTTGCTCGTCGACCCAACAAACCATGGGATCTTGTCGTGCGCAGAGAAGACCGAATTGGCCGCAGCCGACAACGGGCGCAAGACGCGGGCACTTGGCAATTGTCAATTGATAACGTCCAGCGCAAGCGCTTCCCTCCAAGTGAC